GCACGGAAAGCTGACGATGCCGGTTCAAGTCCTGCCCGAGTCGAAAATTTTTTCAATTTATTTTCGATTTTTAAATTAGAATGGTTTTCCACATTTTTTTACAGTCTGTGGTTTACGCGAACAGTACACGTTTAAGTAAAACACTTTTAACGGTTTAAAACGCAAGATATATTAGTTAAACTTATTTGGAAATGATTTTTGAATGATGAGCATCCGAAAGTCGGGCCGAAGTTAAAAATCATTTCCAAATAAGTTTAACTAATATATCGCGTTTTAAACCGTTAAAGTGTTTTATTTAAATGTGTACTACTCGCGTAAACTATAGACAGTATTCGTTTCGTTTAATTTAACTTCTCCATGGCTTTGCAACAAAACAAAACAAGTGCTTTGCTCATTGTTGTAAATAGAACCCTTTATGTGTATAATAATTGCGGGAAGCTGAAAACTTGGGGCGTAGAGCAGACATATTTCTGTGTCTGTTGCGTTCGATTTATCGACTGAGCCTTTCGTGCTTAAATAATAGTCAGGCGACCATTGAGCCGCAGAGAACTTAACCACAGATAACCTATTACTGAATATGGTTATTTGGATATTGTTTCATGAGTACAGTGCGATATATGCATCATTTGGTTAGGACAAAAATAAAAGGGCGTGGCGCCATCTGCGTTAATAATGTGTGTCGTAAGCTAAGTTGAAGCGATCATGACCTAACTTAACTTGCCGTCTGGCTGGCGTCTGATAAAGGGCATACAAATTACGACTTTGCGCGAGAGTTCCACTTTTTTAACTTTTATGGACTTTTGCTTTGACAAGCTTATTTTATTGGCGACCAGCGATTGTTTTTCTTTCTAAAAGAGGTAATTGTAACGCTAGCCAAATTAAGTTTTACACAATCCTACTTATATCTTAAACTAGTTGTAGCCGCGACTTCGTTCGCGTAGAATAGTTTTATTGGGCATTAAAATTTGCTTTTGTAAACCTCCGCTTCCTCCTTCATTTATACATTTTAGCTGTTCCCACGGATCTCACGTCCTTTCGTTAATCTTAAAAGATATATACTGTACACAGCGTAATGTTTCATAGCCTAAAGCCTTCTTCAATAAATGCTCTAAAAATCTTTTTTTTCTTTAATTCGAACTATAAGTTCCTGAGATTTGCGTGTTCAAAACAAACAAACAAATTCTTCTTCTTTATAACATTAGTGTAGATATATATAACAAAATAAGACAAATTACCAAGAATGTTTACAAAGTAATCTTCTACAAAAGGTGAGCTGATAGGCTCTTAGAATATCATTAAATAATGAAAAACAATACGAGATTACATGTTTTCAAGACATGTTCCGTTATTCAACCACAGACCTAATCAACCTTTCTCACGCATAGACCACAGAACTGGAGGTATGCAATCAACAGTTTCAAATTAAATTAACCTTAGATTTACGTTTGACCCTCTAATAATAGTTGTTAAGAAATGAGAAACATTATCAAAACAAATGACAAAATAAGACATAAAAAACATAATATAAAATAATAAACAGTTTTTCTTGGCTTCAATAATGTATCTATGGGACAAATTATATAGGTTAACTTTTTGCCATATATGTTTGTTAAATCTTATCTGATTAAAAATCTATTTCGATTAAAAATAATTAACGCCACGAGCGGGATTCGAAGCGGCATCGACAGCATTCCTGTTCTAACTAGTTAAATATAATGCAACAACATGACAAAAATGTTAAAGTCTCCCCGTGACTGCTGCAAAGCATCCGAAACGTCGGGCCGAAGTTAAAAATCATTTTCAAACAAATTTAACTAATATATCGCGTTTTAAACCGTTAAAGTGTTTTATTTAAAAATGTTAAAGCTTTTAAACATCGTCATATTTTTATGTAATTAAAAGTAACAAATTAAAATGATTTAAAGCCTACCGAAAGGTAACGATAGGAATATCGTCCGTAGCCTATCGTCTAAAATACGTGTTTCTTATATCCCCCATGCCATTTAAATGTACCACATCGTGTTCTCCTTCAATTGAAAAATTATGTTCTGATATCTGTCGAACACAAGCCGTCATATCTTAGACTAAACCTCATGAAAATAAATCAACACGCCGAGACGGCGCCCGCGCATCGGTTACCGTTTTAATCTATTGTCAGACCTATACAAATAGACGGGCGATATGGATATTATTAATATACACAGTAAGTTTATTTGCTAAGTGCCTCGGTCTAGGGGGTGGTACAATCTGTATTCCAAACCTGGATGGAAATGTTACTTCGTATTGACATTTTTTTGTATAGAAATCGCTAGTATATCTCCGCGGTTTAAAGGTCCCGTCATTCTGGTCATTGCCCCTGAGGTTCGGCAGGAAAATTGCATGTGAAACCATTGTTCCCAGTTATAACCACAAATTGAGTCGGGGTAGTAGTTAAAGCCCACCATCTTACATTTGAGTAGCTTGGTGGATCGAAGGTCCTATTCGAAAGGAGATCTGTGCCTAGCAGTGGACAATTAACAGGTTGAAATGAGTTTAAATTTAACATGTTCCAATACAGTCAATTTAAGAGAGAATGGAGAACGGAGTCGGCCCCCCTTGACCATGGCTGCTGCAAAACATCCTAAACATCGAGTCCTAGTTCAAATAAATTGCTACCAAGCTAACTAATTTGTGTCGCGTTTTAAACCGTTAAAATTGCTTTATTTAAAAGTCTGTTATTGCCTATACTTTGCTAAAACTATAGAACCCATCAAACTATTAGTAAGCTCCAAACTAAGACATTACGATGAAGTATTTCATTTACGTACGACATCTTAAGTTCTCAAAGACGTATTCCGAGTTGAAAACCGCAGCTTCCACATAACTTTAATACGAGTACCTTGGGTCACCGCATCCGTTAGCCGGCTTCTTATTACATGGTAAAGTTTACGGTAAAAATTATCAAAACCCCTTGTCTATTATAAACCAAAACTGCCTGACGACAACGGGCTACTGAAAAGCACTGGAAACGTTGGCCGTGGTAAATAATTTAACTAAAACATTTCGCGTCTAAAGAAGAAAATAAATAAAATAAAGCGTTAAGTTTTCGTTGCAGTGAATTTATTTAAACAAAGCAATTATCAAATTTAACAAAGGGTATTATCCGTGGGTATGTTTATTGAATTCCCCAACGGGAGCAATCATGGTTTCATTTTTTTCTGAAACATCAGCATGTTTCAGAAATTCCTTCTGGAAACCGGGATCCGTTCTTTTTAACGGGCAAGTAGTTCATCAGACTTCTGTGCCCTGCCCGACCGAAGCAATTTTGTTTCCCTGGAATTAGGACCCAGGACCTCTCGTGCTTAACGCAATGCTAGGCAATACGTTTAATCATTTGGCTACAGAGTTGGTCAAAATGGGTGGTAGGAATACAGAAATTCCGTCCGGGTCACCAACCATTGTTCACAGATGAAAAAGCCGTAAAGTTTAATCGCGTTTCTGTTTCCGCCTGTGGATTTCCGAATATCCAAAACCAAAATAGGACGACAGCGCATCTTGTTTAGATGCTATAGGCTGGGGTATATCACCGACGATCAAGTAAACCTTATGCCATGTCCGTCCTTCTCTATCATAAAAAATACCAAAATCAAATTTAGTAAACTGTTTTCTAATAATAAGCATAGCTTTTATCTTAATAACCCATCAATCATGTTATAAGCTGCATGTACATAGTATGAGTTACAGCAACTCATAATCAAAGTTGTATAGATAATAATTAATGATTGTATCGCGTAATTAAGTTTAATTAATGATGCTCAAAAAAGCGAACGTAATTTATATTTCCAAGCACTTACCCATCTGTATAACAGCTGCTTATAAATACAAATTGAGTAGGTAAATTACATTTTAATGTATTTTCTTTTTCATTAAGTACTAAAGTTTTAAAATTGTCCTCTTTAACTATGCAGGTAGGCAGGGTTTTTTAGTTTTATTCATCTGATGTACGGAAAAATTAAGTTCTTATTTCAAGTTGATATTATACAGATTAGTTTTTATTTACTTATTATTTTAGGTAGGTTAGGTTGTTTAATAAATATGTCACACGTTAGCTATTTCAAACTCCCGACCTTCACTGCTAGCTACAGGCTCGTAACTCTTTTTCTGAATAAAAAATAACCAGACTTTCGCTTATATGTGCTGTAGAAGAAAAGCGAATGTTTTTAGCGCTACTTTTTACAAAGTAGAAAATTGAACTATTATATGCCGCATTATGCAAGTTCCTATCTCAGAAACGTACACAAAACACGTATCTTCTACAGTACAGAATAGGGGCAGCACAAATCACCACAGAAAACATTGTAAATAAAAAGCAGTGCTAAGTATGTAGAGATTCAAACAGCAATTCAAAAACGGGGCAATACGATTTTTTTGTTTGACACAGAAATTTGTCAATAAAATATTGTTAATATATTTCAGTGTATCCGTTCCGTTGTTTGCAGTCTGGCGACCATTGACGCGTCCACGTGTTTGCTGTGCTCTATGCTAACAGCGGACTTCGGGAAAATTTTAAATTCGTCCAACGAAAAACATCGCCATATTTCGACGTTGTATTCCGCTTCAAAGAGGTCATTTTTTGGTAGTACTTTGTTAATTCTCTTAATATGACTTACAAACTACCTTTACTAGGACAATTAATATTATATATTCGTAATTGCTGTGTAATAATCTATATATCATATTGTATTTATATTTTGGACCATGTAAGTCATGTAAGGACTGATAATTTTACTCATCAAGACGACAGAGTTTCGTTAATTGTAAGCCGTAATATTCTTTGCATAAAAAATAATACTATACGAACTCAAAGAGTAGGAGCTATTATTCATACTTTTTGCTTCCTTTTTATTATAACATTGCGTATTTCTCTCTACAACACAAAAACCATAGGTTAATTTAAGATTTTTCAAACGCACTTCGTAACTAAATAAGTACTATTACGAAGCACCGCCATGTAAATCCCACTAACCTGCAAAAGGCACATCACAAACGTACTCTTCTACACAGTTATCTGTATTCCCACTCCTATCTGTGGCACCACTAGCCACGGAGACAGCAGAAGCAGCTCGTAGCAGGCTTGAATCAGTTTCCGTCTGATTATCGCGTACCATAGATCTTCTTTTGTATTCCTGTTGAAGAATTCTTTAATTACACTGTGTCGTATAGTCATATTAACTCCTATACGTTTCTGCATCTGTAGTAGTGTAATGTATAAAGCTGTCACAAGTGTGTGTGTATACACGCTGGCATCACCCGACTATTAAAAGATTGCTATTAAATTTTATCTAGCTGGTCTGAGTAAATGTCTTATTCAAATATTTAGAAATATAGATACTGTTACCTTTAGTTTATAGTAGTGGTGTTACATAGGCAGGTTAAATACTAAATAAAATGTAGCTTTAGTAAATGTAGGACCCTCTTCACCTTATGAAATTTATTTTCTGACTGTTAATTTTATCCAGTGAATTATCTTAAAGATATTAGGGTTAAGTATTTACAATATTCCTTATACACTTACACTTACCTTGTTTGCAGATATCTTAGTTCAGACTGTCGTAATTCTACACATTTTTTATCCTGTGTAACACTTTATTTTAATGAAATATGTGACATATTCATTTAAGAACAAGAAATGCTTTACTCATTAACTTTTGGCAATATACTTGTATCCATAATATAAGCAATGTAAGCTAAATGAATCCTCTTTATAAACACAAACAGAAATACAAATTTTATTTAAAATGCCGTATTGCGTTGACAATGTCGGAACTATTGATTCTTATAAGCGTAAGTTGTAAGATATAAACTTTGCTACGATACGTATGCAGGCGCCGTTATTTCAAACTACGTGGAAACAATCTATGTGCTATAAACGAATAAAAGCAGTGTTTAGCCAAATAAAAGAAAACAAAATGAAGAAATAATAAAAATTTATTGTGGTAAACTATGTAAATAAAATCGGAAATAATACATTAAAAGCCTTAAACGTAACAGGTATTACATTGAAAACTTAATGGATAACATAAATATAGGATAACTGTTTTATTAAATTTTACGCTTAGTTTAATATTTCATTTCACCGTCTTCATAATACTAATGGCTCGTGTGAGCTACCTATATCTATTTGACATCGACGAAGACAATTTTAAGTAAGACAAATTGATATAAAAGTTAATGTAACATTATTTATTAAAAGTAAATTGATTTTCAAAGCAAACTGGTAATAACTATAAAGTAAGTAAATAATGAATAATTTAATAGTGACCAAGTTTTGCCAAAAAATCTTATTTCAAAAGTCAAAAGTAATTTAGGAATGACCCCCAATGGTAATCTGTAGAGAACCCTTATTTTATTCAGCTAAATGCCACTCGAGTCTAAAAGGTAACATTGAACTTGAAAAACAAATACTTTTTTGTCCAACCGTTCTAATGTAATTTGTAAAAATAGATCTTTATAAAATAAAAAGGATTATTTATACTACATAGCACCTTAAGGAATACTTGTAAGCGACTAAATGTATAGCTAATATAACTATTTACATCTCAAAAGCACCGATACATAAAATTAAACAATCGTTGTCATTTTACTTTGTATAGTGTAAGAGCTTAACACAGGTTCATGTATATAGAAGACTGAAATATGACTTATCTTATTAATAATACTGCCATACTAATAAACCGAGTAGCTTTTGCACTTGTCACACATTTTCATTGGGACTTTCAATGAAAAGAGAAAGAGTTTTCTAGCCATATTTGTTAGCAAGGCGTAAGTTTACACTATACAAAAATGCTTAAATAAATGCTCAATTAAATGGCAACATTAAAATCAATTTATATGGAATCTTAATTTTTAAATATCACGGAATCGATACATCGCCCTGCGATTTCTTTCTAATTCTTATCTCTTCAACAACCTCCATTATGAGCTGAAATATTTCAAAGATTAAATTAACAGTGCATAACGTCGCATGCGCCTATGTTGTCAAAATAAAAAACAAACATAAATAAAATAATTCTAACATTGGAAATTAAAAAAAAAAAAGAAATAGGGATAGTTCTTTTTTTTTAATTTCCCGATAAACACAGATAAAGATCTCAATGTCACGTTATGTCATCTCGTGTAAATAAACGATATAAATTGAATGTGTCAATTGTCAAAAGTTTAACGACCTTAATCTTTATTCACACATTGTGATAATGTGACATGACATCACGCGTGCATTTACTAAGAACATGCATCCGTTAACGTAACTGCATAAAATTACGCCTACCACTAGCTGCTATTTCATTCTATGTATAGTTTTTTCGGTGTGCTGTAAATTTTGCTAACTATTATATAAATAAACACTTTTTTTTTAATTTAAAACGCCAAATATATTACTAAACTTCAACAGCTGCTGTGGTCATTGGGGACGACCATACCGGCAATAATAGTGATTAAGGCAAGTGGCACAAATTAAATTTTACAAAAGTTTAAGGGCTTACAACGCGACATAAGTTGCTGCTATAAGGAAAGCGTCAAGCCGTAGTTAATAATAATTTAACTAATATATTTCGCAGTTTCCATCTATTAAAATTGTTTTTTTTTAAATAATAGTTATATAAAAAAAGAATTTAACGATTGACTGACTCGACTTGATTTTACGGTTGGCAATGCGACTTATTTTTAAAATTAAGTAACTTTAATGAATATAAATAGATAAGTATTAAGGTGCCCTACATAGCAGAATTTTAGACACAGGGCAGGCAAAAGAATAGACAATAATTTATAAATGAACATTATTAGTTCCTGTTATCAGGACTAACCTGACTTAAGGGTCGTATCCTTTCGTGGATGCTTCTCTCCGCTTGCCTCGCTGATGGAGGCGGATGATCAGGGGTAGGAGGCTGTTCATAATGACTGGGAGACAAGGGAATCTCGATTTTCGGCCCGTCGCTATAGCGCTCACAGTCGCTTGGACTGTTCATCGACTGGTCATCTAATAAGCTCTCCATGGAAGACCGCTCTTGGTTCGAGTACTTTCTGACTCTCTCTATCGTATCTTCGTTTTGAGGTCCAAAGTTATTTCTTCTTAGTTTTCTTCTGGGGTTTTGCTCTTTGATCACCACGTTTTCGTACATGGCAGTGATAGCGACTGGCTGCGTCCGCGTCTTGAGACTGGGCCGAGGGTTGGGGACAGGGATTGCTCTGGGCGAGTTGTGGTTCTCCTCATATTCCATGTAGGACAGTTTACCGTCAACGTATTGGTCGACAGAGCGACCGTGTTTGAGGTAGTGTTTTGAGCTCTGGAACAAAGAGACACCGATTATTTATCTATCCATCACAATCTTGATCTTGTAAAGGTAAATCGGTAAATCAAGTACTATGAACATACTGAGAAATCATTTGTACGTCAGAAACTGATTGAGATTTGCTTTAATTAACATGGATCGATACTCTGTTGCAATCATTGGCACAGGATTTGTAAACAATTTAACGTTTGACGTTAACAATGGGAGCGGACGTGTAAACGAAGAACTATATTGAACAAATGCACGGCTTAGTGTAATTTAAGGAACTCTATTAATATTGTTGTATTATTAACGTTTTGTTGGTTACATATTTTTTTTTTGACAATTATACGACTTAAATCGACCGTTCTATCTGTATTTATCAGCTGATATATATATATATATTGTGTGTATTTTCAGACTATACCCTTATTTCGAAATTGATTCTTTTAAGTTTTCTCTTGGTATTATGCTTTAGTGTTATTCAATATTTCTTCTACAAAGGTCATGAAAGCTTACCTGTATTTCGTCCAAGTCATCCTGACTTCTAGCATGAGATCTGAGCTCATAGCTGTAGCCGGAAGATGGAGAGTTGGCATGGGTGGGAGAGACTGAGAGATTCCTCCGTGGAGGCTTCTTGGGAGGGGTGGGCTGTTGAAATATATTTACATGTAGGTGCATTATATGGGGGCAAAGGTCGTACAAAGTGGTATTTGGTGGTAAAAAGTACTAAAGATGACTTATAAGGAGTAGGACCAATCCATGACCCGCACAGTGCTGACAAGATTTAACGAGCAATGAATTGGATCATTTCAAAGCACTTAGCCATTTGATACCTTATTGCCTTTAAACGAATAATTGTGACCGCGATCCGTAGGATTAAAATTACCTGTCAAGTTCTTCAACAGTCGGATTATTGTATGGCCACAGACTGTCAAACCACCAAATTAAATGGCATTAGATGTAAGACATACCTCGCGTTGGTTTGTTTGAAATATGTATCCTGTGCAGCGAAAAGCGACCTTTTTAAAATATATTAACAGTTTTTACAGTAAAATCTTGGAAAAATAATATACTGATTTTCTTAGAGGAAGTTTATTTATTTCTTTATTTATATTTATATATACTTAGTCTACCCTAACAGGAGTTGTTGTTTCATATCGCATAAGCCTCCTACAATGCCGCCGGGCTAAAATCGTCGTCAATTTACCGCAATGTCAGCGTCTATTTATAAGGGATCTTACTGTCTTCGCTGCATGCAGATAAGTGGTCACAATTGCGTAATTGTGAAATTGTACGATCATGAAGCAGCGGACGCCGGTGTAGGATATAAAATCGTGTAGTATTATTCAAACTTTATATGTATCCTTACATTTTAGATAGAAAACAAGCATTGACGATTGAATAGTAAGCCCGGGCAGTAATTTTACATAATTTTAACACAATATTATAAGAAGTTAACGGAATGACATTCAATAAATGTAATTTAAAAAAAATATCAAAAACAAATCATTGTATCGAATGAAGTTAAAAATAAAACCTAAATATATATGAACAGTTAATCAATAAAAGATATCGTTACAAACGTTCGACAAATTTAACAGTTATAACCAATAAGAACGTCGATTTTTTTTTTAATTCAAAACGAAAAACTAACCACTTGTGCCGCTAGGTCTAAGCATTAGTCAAGGAATTGTTAAGAAGTAAACCCTTTAAATATTAACACCATTAGAAACGCAGAATCCGTTAACTCAGACCAATCTATTAAGGCACAAGCGGAGCGGGTAATCCAATATCGAGCCGCGGATGAGGTCTAAATTGGAAGCAGGCGGACGTTGAATGGACAATTTTCTCCATAAAAGCCTATTAGACATAGATATCCTTTCAAGCTTAAATAATTCCTTTGCGCGTAATTGCGTTTTGTATTTTTGTTCATTCATTATTTTTATTCTTTTGCTGGAATCTAAATCATATGGATTATTTTTTAATATGTTATAAATAAAAATATTGTTGTATTTTTGGTATATGCAGTAAATGAGGACTATTGTTATTGTATAAAACAGTTCAGAGAACGTAGCGGACGTGACAAAAGACCGTTTAATTTACATTAATGAGAATGTATAATTAGCACAGTTCTAAGGACTGCTTGTTCAAAACTCATGGCGCAAAATTAATTACAACTGGAATTATCTCTACTACATAGTATACATTGGTGTTGGTATTTAAAGTAAATCCAACCCTCCCCCCACAAAGCGTAAAAATGTACTTTTTTTTTTTTGCTTTTTTTTTAAACACACCCAAAAAAATTTTTTGGGGATTTTTTTTTTTTTTTTTTTTTTTTTTTTTTTTTTTTAATACTGTCAGCATTAAAATATATAAATATATAATAGTTAAATTTTTAGTAGAATTTGTGAAACTTGATTTCTCGACATACCTATAATCGAGAATATATATATATGAGTATATTCAATAATTCTCAACCCGTTTGAAGTGACCAACCTCGACAGATCTCAGACACAATCCAAAAGCGATTATCAACTGGACACATGTTTAAATCTTTCAGTAAACTAACATTACAATCTTGCTAGCACGTTGGCGCCATATTAATGCGCTCATCTTTACCGTGACGGCGCGGGCGCATCCAATTTATATCGAGCCCTTTGAAGTCCAGTGCATCTACAAGATGTTTTCCCGGAACAAACTTACTTTTTTTCATGTGATTTAGTATTGTTGAGTTAGCGTGTTTCAGTGGAAAAAACAAAAACCTAGCTGCGCGATCATTACTTAATATATAGATTTCCTTTTGTGCTGAGAGTTTCTCGGACGTTTCACTTTATTAAAATAAATTGCTGTCTAGTCTATAAGATAATGTAATTTCGCATAAATCCCTATTATTATCTACCAAAAATGATAGGGAATCATGGAATCAGGAACAGGAACTGAAATATTATTATACATCTTATGACGTTTTACGTACGAGTTTTAAATTTTTTATTTATTGCAAAAAAAGTGCGCAATGTATCATTGCAAAAAATAAACATCATCAATTTTATCTAGCCAAATTTTTCTTTTCTTGCTAACCAATGCAACATTGTATGCCATGCCTAGCGGAAATATCCCAGGTATTGAAATGAGATGTATTAATAAAGTGCAATAATCACAATATTTTCTACAAATACAACTTCTCGTGAAATTAAATTGATATAACCCAGTGGCCTACATAAAACATAATAACGTGCGCGTCTGTTTTCCCCGCAACCACATGTCGATACGTGATGCAATAGCCTATTAATTTATAATGAGAACTGGATGATGCTTCACATTTAGACGAGTTGTTAATACACGGCCACTTCCGTTAACTGATGATCGAATCTTGACTCCTGCATAAGTGGATAGATTTTCATTTTAAATGAAATTAAACGAGTATGATTGACAGGCTACTTGCCTTTTTAAGACTGAAATGAAATTAAAGAAATTGCTGTATAAATACTGTCTATAGTTAACGCGAGTAGTAAACATTTAAATAAAACACTTTAACGGTTTAAAACGCGATATATTAGTTAAGCTTATTCGAAAATGATTTTTAAGTTCGTCTCCCCGTGACCACGGCTGCTGCAAAGCATTTGAAACGTCGGGCCAAAGTAAAAAAATCATTTTCAAATGAATTTAACTAATACACATATCGCGTTTTAAACCGTTAAAGTGTTTTATTTAAAAGATGCATACGTATAGAAGCAAACGTCTGAATATTATCAATACACAATTTATTATAGCTAACTGGGATTCTTGATGCTTCACCATCACGAGTGGAAAGCATATTAAAAAGACAAAGGAACAAAGTTGGTTACAAGAATCGGCCTTAGAGATTCACATTATTTTGTTTTCGGTAACTGCAATAAAGTTACTAGTTATTATAATACAGTTTCAAATATTTAAATAAGAAAACCTATTTTAAAATAATACATTTCACACGAAAAACTATAAAGAGAAAGAGAGGCCCAAAAACCGCTCCCTGGCTTAGCCACTAATTGGCCTCTAAGTATCGGGGGAAATGATACAAATTGACTTCTAGCGAGAACTAGGTCAGGTTATTTAATAGCGATGTATTGGGAAGTAATTAGAACAGTACGGTATTATGGTAGTAATCTCATTGTCTCAATATTAACACGCATTCCAGACTAATCTTTATTTGTTGAAGTTTACTTTTTTGCAGTAAGTCTTTTCTTAAGGCTAGAGGCAGAGTTGCCTAAACGCATTTTTATTATTGGAGTTTATATTTGTATTGTCTAAAAATGTTAATTTACAAGAGCGCAGTGACCGAAAATTGATAACATAATTGTTACACAAATAATAGTACAAATATTCATTTTATTTTCTTCCTTATTGAAAATATATAAGATATACATTTCATAGGTACTCTAAACGTTTATTCAGAAGCTTATAATTTGGTGCCCAGAAAAGTATGTTTATTTTCTCTCTCTCTGATCAAATGGATTGAATGGGAGAGGTATTTCAGTCTGATGGAAAGAGCATCCGACTGATATTCGGACGACCGATTCTCGAAGAATTTCATGCTATCAGAAAGCTGATTTAAAACCATTGTAAGGGAACCGGTATAACTTTTTATAGTGTTATTATCAGCAACGATATGTCACACACACATCACGCATTTAGGTAGCGCAGTTTTGAGACGTATTTGAGACATAGGACTTAGGTCCTGCCAGAAATTTTTAATAACATCATCGATCTATGCCTTGCGTCTTCATATTATGTACACAACTCAAACAATAAGATAATATGATAGACGTAATGGTAACATCATTACGACTATCATGATCTACTACTATCTAACAAGATTTATAGCTTAAACTAGCTGTGCCCGCGACTTCGTCCACGTGGAATAGTAAGTTTGGGTAGAATTTTTCAATTATTTAGGCTGTTTATTTATTTATTTTATAAATTTAATAAGATAACTTGTGTAAATACAGTGTTCCACTGCAAAGAGCTGATTAAGGTATTCATAACAAGTATATCCATGGCAGTGTACGCTTATTTGAGTTATATAGTTACTATCGCATTTATAATATTAGTAAGTTGTATAAAAATTAATTACGATACATCCACACAACATTTCATACCTCACTCAACCCCTTACTACCGTTTTTTTCGTACAGCAAAAGGTTTTACAATGCAAAGGTGCATTCAAGGCAGCCAATCTGTGTTGTAAGTGCTACTTCGCCGCAACACTCCCACTCCCATCTCACATCAATTCCACTTCCATTCTAACTTCCACTCTCACCCCCATTCCCAAAAAGTTAAAGAAGAAAGTTTCATTGTTTTAGCTTCAAAAATCACGAATTTCCATAAACTTTCATCCCCCTTTTCAACCCTTAAAATTCCTTATATTATATTATAAGGAATTTAAAGCTTTGTCCTTTCTCAGGCTCTAGAATATGTGTGTACCAAACTTCATTTAAATCGGTTCAGTAATTTCCGATTCAAAGCCGGACAGACAGACAGACAGAGATACTTTCGCATTTATAATATTAGTAGTGATACTGATTAAACAAAGCACAAGCTAAACATTAGTATAATATTTTCAATCTGATTCCCTAAAAGTTGCGTAAACATAACTAATGTACTTTTCGTAATATGTATAAACACTTGTACTGGCGTCAGGCCAAATTTTATTTCATACTACTATTTCCGTCCGCAAACATTCGACATTTTCAATGGACACGTAATAGACATATTTGAAGTTTAACGTTGGTTCAATTTGTAACGCCTGTATATAAACAATAGTATGACAGACCTAGTTCTGGTTCGAAACAGGTTACATAGATTTGAAAAAAAAAATAGTTTTATATCAAGAAGTTGTTTTGCTTCTTTATGTCTTGTTATTGTCTGTATATTATTCCAGTAATACACATTTTTTATAAATCACTTTAAACGGTTTCAAAGTCGAAATATATTAGTTAAATCAATCCCCCGTCTGTCCATGGCCGCTGCAAAGCATCCGAAACATCGGAGTACATTCAAAATAAATAAAAATAAGCTAAGCCGATATATTTTGTCTATAAGACAAACAGAAATAGTTTCAAGAATAAAAGTGAATAGACTTGTTATAGGAAGAATTTACCAAGAATCAGTACGACAAACGAGGTTGTGAAAACCTTGGCATAATCCCGAAATAAAAAAAAGAAAAATTTTCTCGTCCGGATTGTTTATATTCTTGTTTTTGTACAAGGTTAATTTGTTTAAACACCGTATTAACATACGTAATCTTTAATTTAATGTTAGATTGTTTATCCATCCTAGAAAGACAGTATGTACTTATTTATCTATTATGCTTTGATTTGTAAATTGGTACCTTATATTTTTTAACAATGAATGTTTATATCCTTATTTGTAAAAAGTCTACTTACATGTACACACAACACACTCAAAATTCACACACACACAAAAACATTTTGCACACACAAAGTTTACACACACGCAACGAATCGTACGCACGACTCGTACGCATACCGCGCGATACTGACCGTCTCTTCAAGACAACGTGGGTTCGTCTATCGAATTGGATAATCTTGTTATAAACGTTATCATAATACATTTGTGATCTAGTTATGTTTTTATAGAAGTTGTTGAGATTTGCAATTTAAGATTGGTGGCGTGATATTTATAAATAGGTATTAATACTTCTCTTCTCAAATTCCTAAACACAATTTAAATTAAAATAGATGTTAGAAAACTTCATAGGGCTTGAATAAAACCCTCAGCGGTTTAAAACGCGAAATATATAAGTTTACTTATTTACTCTTTAACTAATATGGTTATTTAAGTAACACTTCGTGTTTTAAACCGTTAAAGGTGTTTTATTTTAATTCATAGAGCTGGATTTAGGGACCTTTGATAGATTGCACCAATAACCTGGGCGATTCCAGTCAATCGAAGAAAGTCAGACTTGTTTGCAATTATTTTAGAGTTAAACAAAAATATTTTTGTAAACTACAATAATTTAGGGCGTTTCCAGTTAAAGTAGTTTGTAGAAGTCAACTGGGTCACAGTTAAGATACTCAATATTCCAATCGAAGAACAACTGAACAACTTTAATAGTGGTGGTACAGTTCAGGCGTTCATCACAAAAAGTACAGAGAAGCCATGTGTCGGCCGAGTCAACATTGCTTTCTCACGAGCTTTTTAATCATACTCTATTAGTGAAATGTATTTTAATTCAACGCCTTCATTAGCTTTTAGGATGTGGTCTCCTATAAACGCTATACTCTGCAGGCAGCGTTACACCGCTTCTCATTAATAAACTTGTTTTGTCTCTGGCACGTTAAAAAAACTAGTTCTTATCTTTGTTTGTTTATTTTTAATAAGAAATGCTTACAGGATCTTATACAGTAACAGTATATTACATACGGCATTTTTAGAAGACCACAGCCTTAGATTTGCGTGCCGAGAGCGTAGATTAATTTCATTAATGATCGCGTGACGGTTGCGGGCGGGTCATGGGATTGTAGGAAATGTTTTGTCCTAATTTACGAGTTATCGCAACTGGAGGTGTATAATCAAATTATGGTTGAGGAAAATTGGGTGTCAAGGTCGTTCGTTTCAATTAACAATAAAAAATAGTGCTTTATGAATTCACATACACAGTATTAAACACAAATTTTGGAGCGTCATACATATTTTGATTGAGTAATAAATTTGATTCAGTAGTTTGAGCTGTTACTAATATATTCAACAGTTTGTATGCTAAATTATAAAATTGTATTTGACTCACCGACACTTTATTGTGTTCGTAGTGATGCGCTAGATGCGGCGCACAGCTAGACGCAGCGCTAGACACGCTTAGGGCGTCGCCTTCGCTCGTTCCTTCCGCCTCGTCCCAGCGCCGACGAGACCCACTGCGAACACCCACCAAGCCCGACCCATGCTCAAGCGAAGCAAGCGACCCAGAACCCGGAACACCACTATCCCCACAATCGGATGAGGAATCCGATTCGATTATGATACCGCTCTCGGATTTGGAAGATGAGGTTTCTAGTTTACTTGGCTCCTCTTCGATAACATCGACACTGCTGTCTTTCGTCAAAGAATTACCGAATCTAAACGAATTACTGTGTTTCCACGGACGTTTAGATGTACTAACATCAGATTTTACCGTCTCCGCGTCGGAGCTTTCCTCATCCGATTGCAGAGTACCATCGGAACCATCATCAGATGATGATTCCTCTAGACAAGATTTGAATGACGCGTCAGACACGTTTGTGTTGTTAGAGTAGCACGATTGCAAAGACCAATGACCAGAGTGTTCCGAGGAGCTTGACTTTCTTAGCGGTAAACGTTCGGAAGCACACAGAGATTTAGAATCGATCGATGATCTAGTTGATTTTAAGGATATCACATCGGATATATCCTTTATTGAATAAGGCCTATCGGTAGATGATAATGATGTATGCGGTGACATCGTAACATAAGTGAAGCTTTCGCGAGTCTTAGGTTTATTTCTATCTATGATATCTTGCAAAGTTACTACTGCGTAGGGTTCTTCTAAATTCATCGGTACGGATTTATTTTTAACCAGACCACCGGATTTCTTTGACAAAGAAAGAGTGCCTAATGTGATATCGGGAGTCGACAAACTCCTTTTGATTGCGGAAAATTTTACTATTAAATCGAGAGGCGACTCCCGCTTACTAGCATGTAAAGAACACTGTTTAGAATCACAAAAACATCTAAATGACGTGGACACCATTTCAATTTTATCTCTTAAAGCGTCCATATTAATTGTGACTGTCTCTTCGGTTTTAGGTGGAATATCTAAAAGATCCTCAGCACTATTATGAAATTTCGGAGGTTTAGGCCTGCAAAAGCATATAGCCGTCTCAAAGTAACTATCTCTTTTCTTATTTGTATGTGGTGTTAGTGAGTTACTCTCTAAAGTATCCTTATTGAAAATTGATATAAATTCCTGAACTGTAGGGCCATTATAAATACAATGCCCAGTTCCACGAATATGATAATGAGCTAAAGTTTCCTTAAGGAATTCATTAGACCACTTAGGCAAGTCCTTAACATTAATAGAATCTCTATCAACTTCAATATTTGTGAATGTTTTATGTCTAAATAGAACTTTTTTCTTAACAGACTTTTCAGTTTTCTTAGATGGTAAGGTACCGGTCATGGATAAATAAAGAGCTTTATCGTCTATGTCACCACTGCAGTCTACATTTTCAATAGCGCTTGCTTCTGTAATGTCTGAATATTCAGAGGCGTTTGACTGCGTTCTATTGACGCTAGATTTTGATTCTTTTCGTATCAATAGTTTTTGACCGTGACGAAAAGATCTCGATTTTTGTGATAGTAATATGTCTTCCAAGTTTGTTTCATCAATCATGGAATCTGATGATAATGTGGACGATCTACTAACACTGCGTGAAGATTCGTTTGACTTTTGTGGAAAGTATGTTCTTTTTGGCGGTTCAGGTGCTTTCCTTACTGGAATAATAATATTTTCATATAGCGTAGGTTTATTGGACGGAGCGTTGAATTCTGTCTTAGGAACATGTGTTCTTTGTGCTGGTTTCGGAGGTAAAGTGTTACTTTTCTCTACTACTATATTTTCATAAATCGTGTCATTGTTATTTATGGTATCTGGGATATTTCTAGGAGGAGGCTTAGGTTTTGAAATATTTATTTGACTTTCGGTTGTAATTTCGACAACAGAACTAGAGAATTCATAAGACTCATAACATTCATTTACTAAATTAGCAGACTCTAAGGACATGTTTGATATTAACGACTTTCTGTTACTCTGTGGACGTGGTTCAAAAATATCTTGTTTAGAAATAGGATTGATAGCCTCAACTACTTTTTCCTTGCACCGATTGTCATTTTCATCTTCTATAATAACAATAGATTCTGCGATAGATTCTCTCGAATCACTCAATTCGTTATTTTCCGATATATTAGGTAATGAATTTTTAAAACCTGGACAGCTTCGATTACTCCTATTTACAGTAGAATCTCTATTTAATGTACCAAGTCTATCCAATGATATGGTATCGAATTCATCGTTACAATTAATTTCACCTGACTCCTCTTTCTTTGCCAGTCTTTTGAAAAATTTACTGTTACCGATTTGTAAGGCGTTTGGCGATTTTAATTCAGACTTTTTCACATCGACGTTCGATTCAAGGATATTAGTAATGTTGGGAGCAGAATTAAATTTTGCTTTGAAGCTCAAGCATTTAGAAGCAAGCTTTTTGACAAAGCTCTGAGATGGATTACGTGTTACAAGAGATGAAGATGATGTAGTTAAGCTATTATTTATATTTATATCTTTCTGGGTCTCTGGGGCTGTCCTGTAAAACACATAAAAGCAACAAAAATAAATAAATTGAAAATAAATCATAGTAACTAAATTCTTACAAAAAACAGTAGTAAATAAAAGTAAGAAATAAATTCGTTACTTTACGACTATACACTAAGCTCGACTTAGTTACATCTTGACGTTACATTTTTATTTCCTCTAACTTCCTAAAGCCTTTGTTAGGTCAGAAATTATTTTAATGGTATCATTTTCAAAGCAAAAATGTACGTTTCGTTAGTATAAATTCTATTTGAATGTTCTATCTCAGCCGGTTCTTTGCCCGCCATCAAAGGACGGCACTCTTTATCTCGCGTACAAACTCGTACCTGACCGTTTTCTAGGTAAAATCAAAGGGATGGAAGATTTTAATGAGACTCGCATTGAGTTTTTGTTTTGCATCGTTTTAAGAAGTGCTATGTACAATTTTAACGATTGTTCGTTCGAAGTTTTAACAAAAACGAATGGCGAACAATGAGAATCTTTTGTAAATTTCCTGCAATAAAATAATGATACTTTATTCATATTAACGCTTACAGTTCGAATGTAGGTCACGTGTTTGCGATGTTCGTTAAAATAAAGTATCTTTGAATAAATATCAAAAAGACATCCCTAAGACAGCAATCAGAAGTTCAAAGGTGACACGTAGTAGGTATGTTATAATTGAGACGCCTCACTCCAATTAAAACTGAATATTTAGTCTAAAGAGCTTCGAGTAATTAGAGGGAAGGATTCCTTTGCCGTTTAGATAAAACGCATTTAACATCAGCGTATACTTGTGTATACGAAGACATGCAATGTTAGTAGGTTAACAAGCAACACAAAAAACATAAAGATGTTTTACAAGTCACCCCAAGCTTCTAAATTAGAGAAATATTTAAAATTTTTGGGGCGGAATTTTAACGAAGTTTAATGAATATTTGATGTTGATTAGTATCTACTATATTTAATTTAACATACTTTAAAGCATTATATTATTTTCGTGGACTTTATAAGAATCTAATATTGATGATAGACAAATTTATTTATACTCACATGACAAGTTGGTGAGTGTAACTAGTGGGACTATTGTCTTGCACCGGAAAAGGCGGAAACTCATCTTCGCTTTCGTAGTTATTTCGGGCCATACTTTCGTAGTCTGTAAAATAAGTCTTTATTATTCGAAATTAAAATTAAACAGTAAACGTCATAAACTTTCTCTTTAAGTTTTACATAACGCATATTCAAAATATCATTTTTGATTTCAAAATATTTTCTTAGGAAACTATTATATAACTGCAACATTAAAAATATTGGCCAAAAAGTAACGAGACGTGAATCATTTGGTCCCAGTTTTTATTTACTATATCTGAGGAAAGTTTTAGAGCTAGCGAAATATACTTGCCAAAATGTAACACTAAAATCGTTTAATAATGGAAAAACTATGCTTATTTATGAATCCTACCTCTTATAACTCTTCTGACCCTTCTCGTAGCCTCTTCAGAATAGTCTGCTAAAAGGTCTTCTACGGTCTTCCCCCGACCGTCTAGCGCGCGAAGATCAGCACCTTTGGCTAATAGTATTCTAACTACGGACGCTTTGCCGAAGCAGGCTGCGTCATGAAGGGGAGTCCCTGAACTTGTGCGTATATTAGGGTCTATTCCCGCCGCTAGTAGGACCGATACAACTTCTCTGAGGACAAAATAGAATCGAGTTAATAACTATCATCTCATTTTCAGGTCAAGGATTAACTGTTACTAAATTCTGTCGTTTGACTCTCGCAAATTAAAAGACTGGTATCTTTGGTATATTATAAGGGTGATTATCATACTCATAATACAAAGTAAATTAATATGCAGATATGTTAATACAGTAGGTACAGTGATTGTAGAAAAACTATCAAAACAAAACCCCGCCGAACAAATATTGACATGAGGCCGCCCGCGCCGGAATATTTATGAATGATTTATAGACATACTAACGAATCAGACCCGCCGTATTGCTGTTCCTATTTTTACTTCCCTACATAACATAAAGGAAAGTTGTCGCTGTCTGTCTGTCCCTATATATGCTTAAATCTTAAAGACTACGCAATACTACAAATTTGTAAACAATAGTAATTCATTAACACGGTACGTACATTTTACAGTCTTCTAGATAAATAGAAAGTTACGTTTCACTTTTACCATATCTGCAGATTACGAGAACTAACGTGAGGATAGCGATATTAATTTCTACTTATTTTCCAGATATGCAATAAAAAGATCCAAGAATAGAATTTGTATGAAAGACTGATTCCTCTTCAAATGATCTAAAAGAATGTCCCTGGCAGTCATGTCTACCCTTTGAGATTAAGTCGCAAGAACCGTTTTTAATATATTTTACCAATTACCAATGAGTTGTGTCAACGTAATAATGTTAATCTTCATGAAAACAACTTTTGCCGGAATGAGCTGTTGCGAATTATTATGATTAGATAAAGAAATACTAAAATTAAAATATTTTTCGCTAGATCCAAGTAAATAGGTTTGCTATTTTTCTTATAATTCTATAAATCAATTAATTTATTTGGGAAAAGGGTAAGTGAATTTTATGGCCTACGCGAAAATCTTATTAAAAATTACCAATTTCTAAAATATGTCGACGTTATTATAAGATACTGTGTGTGGTGGAAATACAGTGTTCTACGAACTACGTATGCTTTATAAATCTTTCCAACTATACGCACGCAGTCTCTTGGTAAAGCATTTGCAACACTACATCACAGATCGTCCCTTTATTGGTCGACAACGTGGAAAATTGTCAGTTACCAGCGATGTAGGAAGCTTGGTACACGTACAAATTCACAATAAGTAGAATACACGATGACTTTCAAGTTCGACGTACTGCTATAGAGCCTAGTTGTTAAGTCAGACAATGGCAATATATAAATGTACCTTTATGTGAGTCGATCACACATAAAGTCTTAAGGCATGTTAAAAAAAGTATGTCTTCTATATTATTTCGTGAAAAAAAATCAAACGTATTCAATAAGTTTTCAAAACATTATAAATCAAGGGCGTTAAATAATATTTTAACATAGCTTGTGACATCTAAACATTGTTATGTCTATGGCATTCGCCGCATCCATTCTTCTGACATCCGTGTAGCAAATTCGCAGAGAAACCGATTGGAGCGCGATAACGAACGAATGAATATGAATATGACGCGATCGCTCAGTGTGTACCCGCCTTACATTAGCATGCATTAATATTCAACGGTAAATAGTTGCTCAAAATGTTATACACAGCGACAATCGACGGATCTATCTATAGGGAGTCCTATAACCCGAAAGATATAGGATAGCTAGAGCTGACCTCGATAGAATTTAACTAAGGAAAATCCTGAAATTTTCTTGGCGTTTTTAAGAATAGCCATCAATTAAAGACTGCTTAAACATTAACTAGTCTTAAAAGAAACTGCTATCAGGCTAAATTCCACCCTAACAACATTTTTTTTACATTACAATATATTTTTTATATACACGCAATTGAAACGCTTCTTTTGCTGTCATATAAAATCGATTTAGATGATCTTTACTCCATTACAGATTAAAATTAGCCCCCACAGTTACACAATGGAGATGAATATTATTAATAATAAAGATAATATATTTACCATACAAATGAGACATTTTGTTAATAAATCAAGTACTAGACACAAACAATTCACTAGTTCAGTCAGGGCACAACAAGACAATCTTCAAAACAAACGCTCGTTGAAACTTGATAGTAAGAAAAATAAAAATGAACACTTACTTGTGTCCGTTCTTGCTAGCTCGGTGCAGAGGCGTCGACGAGAACGATCGAACCTTCCAATTGGGATACTTGTACGGCTGGACCAGCATAGGTTGAACCCGAAGTAGGTGCTGGACGGTTTCCAACCTGTTACACAACAGCAGTTAAACAGCGCGCGTGTCAACGCAACTGGAATATAGCGCACGACCGAACGTTTATTACCCGAGATAAGGCAGATAAAATTACTACGTTATTGAATTGTTAGAAAACGTCATTTGTTACATTTAGGAATTAAAGTTTTAAGCCATTTTTTTAGTCTGTTAAAAAAGTTACTTCGAAGACTTGTGCCTAGAACGATAAAAATATATAATTCATTTTTAATGTGTATTTTGGTAGGTAATTAATTTAAGCCATAGGTTATTCAAGTTACAATTTTTTATTGCACAGCGATGTGCATCCTAGCTTATATGCTCTATATTGGTTATTTATCAGCATACAATAGAGAACGCAAGTTCAAATCTTCGATTATCCAACATAAAACATAACTGTATTTGAAGAGGTATACTACAAATGATAGGAATCAGAACATCTAAATATAAGTACGGTAAAATAGATTGTTACTTTGTAATTTACACATTCTGGTCGCTTTTCTAAAGTCATATAAATAATCCTCGACTTGTCGGGAGCGACGCAACACTAGTCCGACGCGATCAAGGCGCGGCAACTGTCAAATACGAACAAAGTCCAATTTTGGCTAATAAATGAATATTATCGAATTTAACATTGTGTTTCCGTCTTAATAAATATAAGAAACTTATTGGCTCTCGAAAATATTTGCATTTCCCCATTCTATTTCCTAAAACAAACTTACGTCACAACACATCACACACATCCCGCCAAGCAGAATAGTAAAGTTCTACAAATAAGCGCGAAACTTAAGTAGCTCACTTGAGCAAACTATCTGAAAGCCAAGAAAATCTTATTACCCCCGACTGGCACACGTCAAAGGGTTTATAACTAACTTGTTACCACACCTCAAACATTGGGTTGGTAGGATTATTTCGCGCTTCTAAAGGTGAATTATTATGTTATTTTAGTTTCGGCCTTTTCGCGAATAATTTTGTTTAATTAATTAATAGGCTTTAGTTTTATAATAGTTGCTTTATAGTATATAACCCAATAGATAGAGATCTTTTCACTATAGAAATACAAGGAAAAGAATAAAATAATGGTACTTATAAAAAATTATCCATTATAATTAATTGGACCTGTGTAATTTTACTTTACATATTGTATATTTTCCAGCCTCGTATTATATATAAAATATACCACGTAGATTTAAATATGTACTCAAATGCACATATTTTTAACAAAAAAATAAAGACACGGTCACGGCAATTTGTGGAAACTAAGCTATGACTTCCACCTTACCGTCCATACTGAGCCGCTAGGTCCAAGGCGCTCTCCTGTTTGATATTCCGTATGTTGACGTCAGCTCCCCGCGAAATGAGCTGAGCCACCACATTCACGAAGCCAAACTGAGCTGCCATTAAAAGCGCCGTCTCTTGGTCTAGCGTCTGTGAAAAAACGTACCTTTCAAACGTAGTACCGATACGATGGCCCTCACACAACTAAATTAATGACGCACTTTTTTATTTATCTATGTCTTATCGTTATGATATCATATTTAATAAGGGAAATTGTATTGTTAGGAATCAATAGCGATGAATGTTTCACAGATAATATTTTATTATTCCCACCCCAGTGTAAAATAGATATGTTATTCTAAACTTATCAATATCACATAGTTCAATAGAGACACAGTTTCAGAAACATTTGAAATACATGATTCATAGTTCAGAATGAACTATCAAGCAGCGAAAGCAAAGTGTAGAAATTAATACATCATTAGAACTAAATACTGTCTGTAGTTTACGCGAGTAGTACACATTTAAATAAAACACTTTCACGGTTAAAAATCAATCAAAGCAAAGCAAAGCATCCGAAACGGCCCGATGTTTCGGATGCTTTGCAGCAGCCGTGGTCACGGGGAGGTCACTGACTGCAAATCATCCGAATCGTCGGGCCGTAGTTAAAAATAATTATCAAACAAGTTTAACTAAAATATATCGAGTTTTAAACCGTTAAAGTGTTTTATTTATATCGTTACAGTTTTTGCTCCTTTTATAAAATTAATTATTTTAGACATTGTGATAAGGAGGCTGAACTAAACTCAGGTGTTGGTATTTGGTTAGTATTGAGAGATGATGTTACTACATTATAAGTTCAATCCATATCTCCAAACCTATCGAAATTAGATATTTTTACCAAGGTTGCCTTTCCCGCACAGATATAATTTTTTATTTTTCCGGTATTAGAATTTGTAAACATTCATTCATACCATGGCAGACAATTATATTGGCATAATCATAATTTACAAATAACTTAGTACTCTGTTACAGTTAAGTGTTACGAAAATTTGCCTGTAGTGTAAATATTACTTTGCATTCCCTATTCTAAATTAAAAGTTCAATTACTCACCACCTGATTGACATTGACCGGGGGGTTGTTGTGGTTCAGAAGCATCGCCACAACGTCGGCGTCCCCCTTCCACGCGGCCAAGTGGAGGGGGTAGCACCTTTCTTGTCCACCACGCATGGTGACGCATCCACTGATAGCAACAATCGAACTATCTCCCTACAACAAAAACACACATTATGTATAATTAAAACATTTTTACCGGTTTCAACACGAAATATATTAAAGACAAAAAGCGCTGTCGATCGTCTCTATTTTGGCTTTGGATATTCGGAAAACCGAAAAGCGATTAAACTTCGCGGTTTTGTCATCTGTGGTGAATGGTGGTTCGTGATTCGGACGAAATTCGATATTCCTACCACCAATTTAATGTCTAGATTTTCAACATGCTAACATGATTCAGAAATTATAAATAGACCCCCTGTGGGTCTCGAACCCGCGACCAGTTTTCCATAAATTACTGCCATTAGAGCAAGCAGCTATAGTACCATTATCGATTGACACATTCCTGTATCTGTTTAACTCATGCGGTGCAAAAAGACGTTCAAAGGTTACTTAAATAACAATCAAAGCCGAAACGCGGAAGTAACCCAGTACTTCCATTACCGTAAGTAAATTTAACTACGAAAAACTCACTTGTGGCCACGTAAACAAGCGTGATGCAGGGGAGTATAGCCATTATCGTCTTGGACGTTAACACCAGCGCCTCTTCTTAAGCTGTTAACAAAAAAAAAGAATAAATATAATTAATAATAATAGCCTAATGTAGGTTATGAATTTGCTAACCATTAAAAATTAGACTTATCGAATACCATTAAACTAAAAACATCTATTTAAATAAAACGGTTTAAAATGCAAAATATATTATTGAAACTTATTTTCAAATTATTTTAACTACGTTTCGCTTGTAGTTTTTACTTTGACATTAGAGACACCCTCCATCTTTAGTCTCCCCGTAACCATGGCTGCTGCAAAACATCCGAAACATCGTTGTTAAAATAATTTGTAAAAAAGTTTTACTTATATATGTGTACTATTCTCGTCAACAAAAGACAGTATTTAACATTTAGTGCAATGAAAGAGCTCTCCTTAATTTCGTTTGAAATTTAATCACTCGCATCGATAGATATATCGAATACTTAATAAAACATAATCGCACCCTTTCCTAAGAAACGGTACGATGAAACGCAATAAAAAATAATTAAATATTATTTTAAAGAAATAAAAAAATAATTCGCAGTCGGTAGGATTCGAACCTACGCTCCCAGAGGGAATCTGATTTCTAGTCAGACGCCTTAACCGCTCGGCCACGACTGCTAATATTTAAAGGGTCAGAATAAGATAACACAACGTATTATCTCGGAATATTTAATTACGTAATTTCAAAACAAGGCGTAATAATTATAAAGCGTATAAGTTCTTATATTGATCTCAATGCCAGATTTTCGGAGCACGATAAAACTATAACACGTAAAAAGGTGAAATCCCAATTCCACTAGTAGACAGACATAATTATGTGTCTGCAGCAGGAAACTAAACTTAAATAATACAATTTAACTTTCTATATTTCACAAAAGTAATAGTAACTTTAAACCATCGCATGTGAATGTAAAAGAATTCAATCTATTTACTTCAGATTCATGTTTATCGCAGGCCGGTTAGTTTTTGTGAAGGAGCGAAGCGAAAAACTATAAGAAAATGGAACATTGGAAAACTATTCTTATTTGCTCTGCTTCGAGTGCAAATCATGTATTAAACGGTTATAAAACTAAGAACGTTGAAAAAAAAGAACTGGCAATAAGCGTCGCCTTTTAATCGCCGAATTTCTTTAGGTTTAAACGTGACATTCGGCAAAAATAATTGTTTTATTTAAAATATAGGTAACTACTGTACACATGACTTTATTGGTGACATACATAATTTACCGTTACGCCATTCGAGTAACAGATATGCACACAAAGACCCTCTCGAGATCGGCCTTGACACGATGTTCAATTTCACATCGGGTCATAGACCTGCCTGAAACAATGGTCACGCAGAAACCCAATTCTAGCCTTAAGATTCTGAAACAGTTACTTGATGCAACTTCGTCATAATATAACTTAGCCTCATTACTAATACATGGTAATATTTACGAACATGAATTAATAGATTGGTGCAAAAAAGCTCTTCTGAGTACCTTATAATTCTTACACAAAAGTTTGTCTCAAGTCCTTTCGTAAACTAGACAGTAGATGAAGAAGTATAATTATGTATATGTATCATTTACACCTTTCTACAACTTTATTTTAGAAAAAGACATAGAAAAGACAACGCGCACAATCTTCGTTAAGTTCTATCTTATTCCAAGGCAAATTTAGTATCACTTATTTGTATCGAATATAAATGTTTCGCCTATTTGATACTTGTATGAATCATGGCAGGATGTTTCCCAGACAAAAGCAAGTTTTACTAGGTGCCTCGAACTGATTTTAATATTCATACTGTAATATTAATTAACAAGGTACAATATTGTACAAAGACTACTATTTATTCAAAAATATACTCTTCACAAACGATAATCTTTAGGCAATTACACGTCAATTTGATTGTTCTAAGTTGTATTTACGTTTTGTATAGCATACCATTTGTATTATTATGTAAGATAGACAGATTTTTCTTTATAAATCTTGACAAAAACGAACACAATGAAAAGTATTATCTGGTACACTCGTTAGATAAGTTAATTTATATTCTATCAATAATTATCCATTTGATTAATTTTCGACTCACCTATGAAAATCGAACAGCTTAGAACGAATCTTCTTCTTAGCTTTTACGCACTTCCTAAACACATGACACTTCGCATCGCATACATTCGCACAGATGTCCATTGAGCCAAAACACTGCACCTTTCTATCGGATTCCATTATAAATCTATAATTCGGTGTGACTGAGTGGCTACCTCTGACGTACTGTATCCATATTTCTATACTGAGTCATAGGAATCCACGGTCCCGAAAACAGGTTTGTGACCACAAAGGGACAATATCGTATACTGGCACCTCCGTGTAAATTATAATCGTGAAACGATAGCGATTGATAAGATTAGAGAAGTAGACCAAGGAATTACCATAATAAGAATATTATCTAATTATAGGTGCGCTTGCGCATTGCGAATTTTGCGTCGCAAGTGGGTTTTTTATCGAACGATTGGAGGTAATTATGCCCTATTTAAAAAATTAAATCATTATTTAATATACACAATTAATTAATTAATGGTATAAAATAAACGCGATAGATTGTTAATTCATTTTCGTTGTATATAATTCAGCAATAAGTATCTTTATGGAGGAACTATAGATTAAACAAGTAAAATATTTAGGCACTGTCTTCCTGCAATTATAGGATTAGCTAAAATAATAAAAAATCCAATGACTACCTCAAAAAAGTTAATTGTTTCAAAGTCATTGCGTAGAAAAAAAAATCAAAGCTAAAAGTATGTTCAATTGAATTCGACGAAAAAGCTTCTTAAACAGCTGCTTAAGTGTGCAAATCTAACAATGTTTACAAACAATTCCAGTAGGCAACATTCTAACCACATTCTAACAATAGTGGTGTTTAGTTCGGGGTCAACCGTTACTGGACAATTAGTCATTGAATGTGGGCGAAAGAAATTATTATCCTCAACACTACGATTAAAATGAATATTCTTAATTTAAAGAAAACGGTTTAAAACGCGAAATATATTACTTAACTTATGTCCTCTCACGGTTGCTGCAGGGTTTCTCAAAACCCGGGCCGTAGTCAAAATAAATTGTAAATAAGTTAACTAATAAGTATATTTCGCGTTTTAAACCGTTTTATTCAAACGTGTACTACTCGTAAAACTGCCTAAATTGTTAACTTGTAGCTTTTCTTACTTAGTAGTATTTATTTAAAACACAGTATTCAACCTCAGATTATATTTTTAAAATTAAAGTGTTCACAGCACCTTTGCAATTTCCTTTGCCGGTTTCAAGGTTACTGACACAAACAGGATCAGGCAATTTATTTTAAATACGCACCTTATAATCAAATAGGGCATGTAAATTAAAAACAAAAATCATTTGTTTTCAAACACGATACGACAAAGTTAATGGTTAATCTATTTTGTAGGAAAACAGTGTATTTGTTTCTCCTGTGACAGTTATATAAACCATACACTACCTGAACCGTCTCCTAAGCTTCCTAAACATATCCCTCTTACTGAAGAACGGTATCCAAAACTTCATCTTCACGAGCACTACACAAGTCGGCTGTTAACGGACCGTTAAGAATCGATTACGCGCCATCGTTATCACAATTGCTCCGGTCTAATATTGATTTTAAATATTTACAAGAGCACCATATCGTGGAAACGGTCGCCAGTGACTAACCATCACACCGTGCTATGAATCATCGTGCCGGCAACAGGTCGCTTCAGTTAGACCTTTTCATTGCGGTATTTTTGCGGTGTAACTGTTGTTTTGGATTCGGGCTCTAATTATTTTGGCCGCCGTTTGCGCAAGTTCTAACGTGCTTACTCCTGCGTTCTAAACGTGAACAGCTATATATGTCATCTAAATCTCGATAAAAACTGTATACCAATAATAATATAGCTACCTAGTTTAGATCAGATACTTAGTTACACCTAAGCATTAGCTACTTGCAGTGTGGCCATTTGTGGCAGATTTCTGCCATTTGGGCAGATTTGGGGCCTAAATTTTGAGTCTGGCAGAATATGTTGACGATTGCAAAAACTGGCAGATTTTGGCAGTTTTCAACGAAATCCATATAGATGTTTAAATTGATTGATATTTCTATTTTTATACACAAAAAATAAATAAGTAAGTCTAAAACCTGGGCTGCAATCTTTCCGCCAAAGAATGCAAACGTTTTTAATTGAACTCTGTATTCAGTTAAAAACACGATTGCCCTTAATAATATCTTTAAAGATTTACAGTTTTTAAACCCACAAAATGTTGTTTACAAAGATTTTGTATCAACCGTAAACATTGCAAATAAATTTCCCAACATAGTTGATGAAAGTAGTATTCAGAATGTTGACGACGAACTTAGACAACTGAAATTTGACAAAGATGTACGTGATTTATTGGAATCTGGTGGGAGTAGTAACAGTACAATTTTAAGTGTGGATAAATTTTGGGGAGCGATTGGGAAAATTCGTGATGCAAAGGGAGTCCCAAAATATGCAAATATTACAAACTTTGCAAAAGCTCTTCTAAGTTTGCCTATGTCAAACGCATCATGCGAGAGAATATTCTCCCAAGTTAACCTAAATAAAACCAAAATAAGAAACAGGTTTATTAACAAACATGTTTCCGCTCTTATAACAACAAAAGAAGGTGTAAAAGAACACGGAGATTGTATGTCTTTTACACCTACAAAAGAAATGCTTAAAATGATGACCAAATCAATATATATTGAAAAAGAAGAGGCGGAAGCAAATGTTGACACATGAAGATGGTATTTGTATTATGTTTATGCATATATAAAATAGATTAAAATGAAAATATTCTGTATTTTATTTATCCTACTTGTCTTGATGGAATAATAATATGATGGCAAATTTTTGGCATTTTTTTGAGTTAGGTTTGGCAGTTTGCAGATTTTCTTTCGATTGCCGGGCAGATTTGCCTTTTTTTGATATGGCCACACTGGCTACTTGCTTTTAAGTGCTTGAACAGACCTTTGCTGGTAATGGAACAGGGCAAAGCCTTAATTCATGAAATCGATTGACTAATATTGTAATGGTGAAGTGTTTGCTTGTTTGAACGTGCTAATCTTAGGAATCTTAGGATCTGTTACAGCTTTATTTAGTTAGCCTTAACCCATGTAACCTTAATCCACGGGCAAATTAAGTGCATTTTAAATCACTGTTGACGAAATTGTATTTAAGTTATGTCTAAGCTGTGGCTAAACAAAACGACGCATTTCGCGCTTCATTTGAATAAAATAGTTAACTAGATCACAATATGAAGAACACGAAACGGACAACGTGAGTGACAAATTACAATTTTTCCCAGAACGTCACTGATGACTATCAAACCTGTTTAGCATGCGCGGTTCAGTGAATTTAATAGATATAGCATTTTAAGTTTTAATTAAGTTATTTAACTTAAATGTTATAATTATGAATGTTTAGCTACTTAGATCGGTAATGACTTGGGTAGGACAGGAACCTTGAATGAAAATTTACGATATTACTTGGTGTTTTATTTAAATGAGTTAATAAAAAAATCTGGTAAGGACATTCGAGATCGGGCCGATTAATTTGATAACAAAGTCCTCTTTTTAAATAAAACATTTTAATCGTTTTAAAACACGAAATATATTAGATAAACTTATTTACAAAATATTTTACTACGGCCCGACATTTCGGATGCTTTTAGCAGAAGCCCGTGGATCACCCGTATAACGGGAAATTTCATAATATGTAATATATTTTGCATTTTAAATCGTTAGTGTTTAATTTTAACGTGACTTCCTCTTCCCCTTTTTGAAACTAGGATCTCTACGAGCTTCTTGCAAACCATTCAGTCAAAAAGACGGTAAATCAATATATCATTTGTTATAGATATTATCACGAGTAGTACATGCAATAACACACTTCGTGAAAACGATTACCAATTCTGACATTCGCTCGCAGCACGTCCGGAGCATTGTTCAGTCCATAATCCGTGCATTTTAATCAGACGTCAAACAATCGATATTCAATACTAACATTTGTTTATGACAACTGTTTGGATACATGGCTGTCACGTGTATGGCTTGAAATAAGGTGTTTTACTTGTTTTCCGCCACTTTGCGATTTGCTAAGGTCATATAATATTATACAATCTTCACATAAGAAAAATACATATTGTGTTTATATTTATGTCATTAATATATATACTGAAAGCTAATCTAGTAAACTTTATTTTCCTCACATTGAACTAAATTGTTAGAATTTTATTATAATTGGCGTTTTTCAAATTGCAAATGTACAAAGTGTATCGTTATATCGAACCCAAGATGTATACCTAATCTAACCTAGAAAGAGGTTATTAATGACATGTTTACCTAATTAATGATATGTAATTATTAATGTTTGCACATTAATTACTTAATACCTTATGAACCCTAAGTGTCATTATATTCCTATGATACAAGCAAGTCTCAAAAGCCTGGTTGCTTAGAAATTAAGACACATTAAAGATAGCTGTCCAGAAAGATATTAGGATACAAAACTAATCACTTTGTATGAATACGTTATCATAAATAGATAAACAGATACACAAAAACCCCGCCTATTTTACAGAACTCCCTATACAAATATATTTATGTACAACAAAAGACAGTTCATTCAGAAAATTATAGTATATTTTTTAAAGTTTTTTTTCCTATAAAATTATTAGTATTTTTTTTTTTAATGAAAACTTTTTTTGATTTTCTTCTTTTTTAGTTCTCTATTCTGGTTTTACTTTGAATTAATAGGACAAAAGAAACAATCTTAAAGTTATTTTTTTCACTTAAAAAACAAAACTAGAATACTTTTATCTGCCTACAAATATATAATTTGTAAACACCATTTATCAGACGTAAACCTTTAAAACCACTTCTGGTTTGCAACGATAAATTGATAACATATTTGCCTCGATTTAGCACAGTTTGCCAATTTAAGTTATTTGAAGATATGTTTTATAAGTGTGTAAATAATAATTATCAAAATAAAAGTTCAGTTAAAACAAATTCAAACTGATAACCATCTATATATTCCTTTAAACTATCTCTTAACCAGCATACTGTCAACAACCACACTATACATATAAAAACACAAGAAAACATAAAAAAATAATAACTCATACCATAGTCTCCCCTTAATTTTCGAACCAGCCCAAGCTCGTTTGAAAATTGTATGACCTACCCGAGTAGGTCATTAGCTTAATGCACTGCCTAAGATTGTATTAAGTGTGAAAGGTCCCAGTCCCAAAGCCCGGTTAAACTCCAGCAAACAATATATGTATAATGTGGAAACACAGTCCCATCCCTCACATAGAAGAAATAAGACTTCATCATCATTCTAAATGTACTTTAATTTCATTACTTAATAACAAATGTGATAAAATTCAAACATAAATAAATGCATAAATTGTGTATATCATTGAATGGAATAGTTCAATGTACTGGGTATCTTGGGATGCACCTTTACTACTTGGCAAGCATCCAAACACTTAAACGGTGTATGTTACTTACTTCCTTAAATAGATAATGTTAATTTACCAGTAAATTTTATTGATTATCAACCGTCCATTGTATTAGAGGTAGTTTTTGTTACAGCTAATTGAATATATAAAACTATTGTCTTGTGGGAACAGGCATTAATTCCTATTAATTACATGTGTATGTTGGTGAATAGATATAAATATACATGGAATTTTTACATTGAAGGTATTTCTAAAGAATCACTTAATAACAGAATATTTAACAATAATTGTAATTTTAACAAGCATTCTTCTAATATGTTTCTATTATTATCAGATAGCATGTATAATCTTCCGTTTAACTACATCATACAAAAAATATATATGTATGTGTTACGATAAATTCCAGCCTTATAATATAATTTTAGAATTGACGTTTACTGATATATTGTCAATGCCTGTGCTTTATAGATAACTTTAACTGATATACATTTTTTATCTATGATTTGTCACTGTTACATCTATCCGAAAGGTACTGAAAGTATGGTTTTTGGTTGACTGGTCATTAACCAATTCTTATTTAACATAATAGCCATGTAATGTAAGATATTAAGACAATGTCTTAAATGAGAGTAAAAATAAGAGGAAAACCCACTTTAAAGATACATATTTCAATCTGTTAAGATAAGATTTGACTCAATATTGTAACCATCTCTGACTAATCTAAATGCGACAATTTCCTGCAAAACTACTTATCCAAGGCAAAATAAATCAAGAATACTTGCATATAAACCTTGTATCAAATTCTCTAATTGGCTACTCCCTTTAACAGACGCAATGTTTAGATATAAACAAATGTAATTAACCTGACAAAGTAGACACTCATATTTGCTACTTCTTTAAGAGAAGAAACAATAGTAAATGATAATATAGCTTTATTGTTTAAAACAAACGTTGAAGGTGTTACATTGTTTATTTCACTTATAAAGCTGGATATACGAGTCTTATAAATGAAAGAATAACTACGGTGCCTTAAGACTACTAGGCGATTCTGAAGACAACAAAATTAACATAATCTTGAAGATGGTTTGGTAAAAAACATGAACTTACCTCGTAAAAGGACCACTCCTTTTAGTTATTTGTGCCAATATCTTCTCAACACTCCGCTCATCTCCTTTTCGAGCCGCATCTAACAGATCCTGGCCTCTTCCCATGGCCCATTTATTTCTTAGAACACAAAACAACCACAATGTTTCACCATTTCAATTTTTTACACTAGACTTCACTACACTACAACTTCATTGATCGAGCCGCCATGTTTAAATTAGACGTGAGTGCGCTCTAGCGGCCAGCTAAGGAATCGATATCGTGACTGAATGACCGACTAAAACACGACACAGTCAGTTAATGTATGGAATGTATGTATGTCTTCATAAAAATATAATTATTGCACTATACGAATGAAATTTTATTACGGTGTAAGAAGAATTTATGAATTTTAATCATTCATTTTTGCATACACTAAAATTAAACGTTTAAATTAACATAATTCAGTACCCACTATTCATTAATTACAATGCCTCCAATTAGTCCAAACAGTTGGACTAAAGTTACTTTAGTGAAAACTTAGCTTAAAAGTTTAAATAGACATGGGCTTTGTACTTTACTGGACTTGGACTTTAAAAAATATTAGTTTTACTTAATAAGTTTAGGTCTTTTAGTAATATGTATTAACTAAATCTCCGCGATGGTTTTGGAGGCATTAACGTTACATCTACTCTACATGGCATATAGTTGGCACTTGGCACTTAAGTAAACATGAATAAAAAAATATTTATAAATATTTACTACGCATTGTTAAATATAAATTTATATTATATAGACCTACAAAGAAGTTCATTCGATTCGAAGAACGAGAACGTCCTTTATGCGACGGTAGAAACATCTGTCATTTGACTATTGACTTTGACAGCTGACAATTAACAATTTGTTTTCAAAACAAAACACGATTTGCTTATTATAATAATCCTTTCAGAAGATTGTTGATATTATAACAAAGTTGAATAAACTATTAATATATTAATTACTTTCACGAACAGTTATATTTTGCAGTAGAGCGGACTCTTACGTGAATATTATAATAAAAAAGAGATTTCAAACAAAGCCTTTTGTAATAGGTGTTTCATAATGTCAACTGAAACAGCTGATAAGTAGCTAACCAAATTCAATTAGTGGATTTCATTTTAAATTTCTCGTTAATTACTATTCTTGATGTTAATAAGTCATATCTAACGCAATGTCTGTGATCAAGTGTTTATATTATGTGTTGATAGTTTTATTCTTGAATTCGTTGAACACTACGAACGCCGAAAGTAAGTTTTCAGTATTCCAAAAATTAATTTAAAATATATTGATCTTTAATTTTATTGCGAATATTAAATTAAACTTATAAAATACATTTAATTTATTTTTCTTAAACTGAGTAAATACTTACTAGTTTCCACCCAGAGCAATGATGACATCTCATACAAAATACCAGGCGATCTACAATTTTAGGAGTATTTAATCTACAACTATTATACATAAATAGCAGTAGTTACTGTCTTTTAAAATCCAGAGTTATACTTGATTCAATAGCGAGGCATCTGAAACTTGTGTAATAATATATTTTCTCTTCCAGATATAACCATTGTTCTAAATAATACCTTAACATGGGGCAACAAAGAGCTTTATAGTGATTTTGTAAATGTCACGGCTAATTCTACATTACAAGTTGACTGTATAAACAAAAATACTAATGTATCATACATAATCTTCCAAGTACACAGCCATTTGTATAATATAACTCTGTATAATACTACAAATGTGCAAGGATCGTCTGTGTACGGTACAAATGTTGGTTTATATAGTAGTGTACTACCGGCGATTGATACATTTTTTATATGGAACCAAAATGAAATCGATCTCATCTTGTACATCTCCATCCATGGATATGGTTTAAATGGTAATTTAGTTTAAACTAAATCTTTTCTAGGTACTTGTAGATTTATCCCTTTCTTTACTATAACGACAATAGCTCATCCATAAAAAGTACATATAAAATAATAATTGCTTTATCCAGATCAAAAAATATTAAAATAATTATTCCAAACAATAAATATTTTTTTATATATGTTTATTCATGTTATGTTAACTAAAAGAAATGAATTTATAGAAATATGTCTTAAATAAACTTATTATGCATAGCCTTAGATATATATAATACTACTGACATATATTAGTAAATAACTAAGTCATATAAATAAAAAATATTTATTTCTTTAACCTTTTGGCTTATATATCTTTTTATTAACCTACATCTTATTGATTCTATTTACTTTATCATAATGGTGTTAATTAATCAGCTTTAATGTTGTCTCTTTAATGTATTTGATTTATTTTTAATTTTTATATTTATTCGATGATATTCAAATAAACTGCTATATTTATTATATTACAATTACTCACAATTTTTATAACCTATCAGGGTAATAACAAATTGGGAAGCAGCCTTCAATGGTCTTAATCATGAGTTCTGAAAACACAATATCAGTTTTGTATTGAAGAGAAGAAAATTTTCAGGTGTGCTAGCTTAAACTTTTAAGATTTTTCAGACCCGATCCCTGGTGGTTGCAATATGGAGTTCCCAGTGCCAATATCACCATATCTCCGAACTCAATATAATAAAGATTACATCTTAGTTGACGCACCTTCACCCAAAGATAAAATGGACGTTAAGTGCAATTCCATTGATGAAGTGGTGTTGGTATTTTACAAAATGAACTTACCGGAGCGAAGTTTCGATGCCGACGTTTATTTTGACGGTATTATGAAAATGATGACAATTGACAATATACAGGAGAATGGAGAATTTGTAAGCTTTTGTATTATGTTTTTTTCCTATGAAATAAATAACTGCTACTTCTGCTTCCTTTCTCCCTCTCTCTTCAAAACAAGGCACCTCTTTGAATCATATATTGATGATGATAATAACACAACGAGGCGTAACCACAACATCCAAAAAAGGACATACCCATATAATTTTTTTTTCTATTTTATAATGACCTTCTGTAATGCCTTTTTATTATTATTAATTACCATTTTTTTAGATACCTGACAACGGCCTACATAATAGACGTATGCTAAGCGCATATCCCGGTGTAGGTTCTATATATGTAGCAGTGGCAATAAGCGTTGCTAATTCAAGTGCATATTCAGTATACGCCCCGACATATACTTACGCTTGTTCGCCGATCGAAGATGGAGATTGTGACGTCTATGGTAATGTCAACTCTTGCGCATGTTTAACGCTAACTTCTATAATTAGAGCGCGAAATCTAATCTATCAATTAGCAAATTTGATAAATATATTGTGTTGTTACAGATGATGCACTATCGCAAATAATTCTGGCATCTTTACTATTTTTGGGTTTATTTGTATGTTATTACGGACACAGGTTTTTTAAGACTGAGATGTTTTTAATAGGCCTAACGAGTGGCGGGATTGTGACGTATGTGATTATTTCAATTATGGCGGATTTGGACAGACCAGGTGATATTATTTTTTAAGGGTTGACAAAAGTATGAGCGTAAAATAATTTCAAATTACTGAGATTAAATATCTACGCTATATACTTTTTTATCCTGCTATAATTTTGTAATAAACTGCTATTAAGGATTACCTTTTCACAGCCCTCCTAGGCGCGTCAATTTTATCAGGAATATGTTTTGGAGCTATATGGCTCCTATTTTGGTGGTTCTATGGAATACCATTACTAGCTGTTTTCCTTTCAACTTTAAATGTTGGATTTTTGTTTTCGGCAATTATTTATAATGGATTACCAGGTAATTACAAATAATTTAATGTTATATTAAAAATTGGGTTTCGCTAAATGTGTCTTATTAAATTACTCGCACAAACTTTACTTATAAACGTTATATTGTACTTTGATCAAGATGTTATTGTTTTTTATATGTCACTAAAACGTTATTCCATATTTGTAAATTTTGTGATAAATCTAGTTTCTATATTTTTTCTACTACCCTCAAATTGCGTTTATGCAGTATTAACGATTGACGAAATATTTTACTTTGTTTTTAGGTGGGCTAATAGCTTTACAATCAGATGTCAACTTCTGGTCATTATTCATTTTCATAATGCTCACAACCTCTTTGCTTCTGGTGTCTATGACTCTGCTGTCAAATATACTTTGTTGCGCGATACTCGGCGCCTACGCAGTTGTATACTCTATGGATTACTATATGGGATCCAGTGTTAGGTATATCATTATAAATTCGGTGCGGAGAGCGACGGTACCGAAATTCAATCGTGCTGTTTTGTCACCTCCTTTTGAATGGAAGGGTAAGAAAATATGATATTCTAAATAAATATATAATATATTAATTTAATGCCGACTTCTGATTTTTGACTAATAACACTGCTTTTTGTTTTGTTTTGTAACCTTTGTTCTCAATCTTACGAATTCTAATACACAGCACTTTACAATATATTTTTCTAGTCGGATACAGATACGAATATAACCACGAGTTTTAAAACCTATTTTTCTTATTAGATTTAGCAGAGTGACTTTTGAAATGTATAAAAATTGCAAAAATATGTAATTCCTATAATATTATTTCCTTCCATTGTATTTTACTTCTATTTCAGATTCCCTTATGTGTTTGTTATGGGTAGGATTGGCTATGTCTGGATTCCTACTCCAACACTTCCAGAACTATGGCCGGCCCCCTTTCCCCCCGCCACCCAGGAGTGTAAGACCTGGAGTACCGAGGTCCTTTTATGGAACAACGGTTCTTGGATCTGGACGGTAAGTTTATTTCTTTTTTATACCATTTGGTACTTTTCGTGTGTTAAATAAGTCGAGTAAGTGGGTACGAATAATTGAGATTAAGTTTTTATTATAACTTCCCCCGTAGCTGATTGGTTCAACGTGTTGCCTAGTCTTATCAACTTCTTGACTGCAAATAAAATATTATTATTCTTCAGTATTCATTTTATTAAACTATTCTCCATTATGGAATAGTGATATCGAAGCCCGGAGACGGTTTTCTTACTTGCCCTTTGTGTTGTAGTTATTTTATTTGTAGGTATCTGATAACATTTGAGCCCTTCTAATAATTCTTACAACTAATCTCCGACCAACTTTACTCAGTTCCTACCCCCCAACACCAAGCCCCACTATGTATATTGTAAGCTCTAAATAACAATTATGTTTTCAATTTTCAGTCAACCACGTGTCGTATCGAGACATCCACGCAGCACGGTAGCCAGCGAACGGTCTCCGTTGTTAGCGTAACGTCTGTCTTTTAACGAATTTACGAAATCAAGATATGCTCAATATTCTCGATATAAACATTTATTAGGCTTAGATCATGCATATCACATAATTTATGTTCAGAAAGACATGATACACATCCAAAAAACCCAGTTAATCATTTATTTATTAATTAAAAAGCTCGTTAAAAAACTACATTACCAAAGCCTAGTGTAAAATGTACTTTGGACTTAAATAAGTTATACTTTAACTCAATTTCGACGTTATGTAATGCGTGTGCGCATAATCATGCGGAACAAATTTTATATGCCTTGTCCACGAAGAAAACATTTTTTATGTGGCGACAGACGATATTTCTAAGACTTACCTCGGATATAAAACGGGGCTGGCGAAGACTGATGTAGCGTTTCGTTTTTATTTTTATGTAATTTCAACGCTGCGCAGGAGTGTTTTCGGTGTGACTTTGTGATTTCAAGCAAATGAAATATTATGCTTAACACCTTACATACGTATAGTATAAGCACAGAGTGTGTCTTTTCTACTTCCAATTCTATTGATAATGAACCTAGTTAAATACAAATTTTGGGGCAATAATTATACTACATATTAGGAAAACTAATATCCTTTAATTAAAGCAGTCTTTACACTCAGATAAAGTATTTTTATATTATAATTAAGTTAAATTTAACATGACAATAAGTGGGCATATAAAAACTCCTTTATTGCTCGTAAGACCGCACATGTCATGGAGTAACAAAAGATGCGTTCGCAATTCGAAATCCCCTAGTGAGGGGAACAGATAATCTGAACCAATTATAAGCGACGATAATCTGTGCAATTGTTTATTTCAATACATGGGACATGTGTATAGAAGTTTAAGTTTTTTTGTTTTTATATGCTTTGTTTGGAGAAATATAGCACATTTTCTTCAAACATGTGTTTTTATTTAAGTATATTAACTGTTACAAAATTCTGACTTGGTGTATTTTACTGTGTAGATGTGTCTTCATATTTGTCTGTCTAAATTAAAGTTTGAACATTCTATATCATATACTTGTGGCATATTATGTTATTTAAATTTGAATTAAAATCACGAACGGAGCTTTTAATTGAATTATACAACAGTTTGCATTAAGTAGTTCGCTAGACGAAGAAAAAGCCATACGCACGAATAAGTTGAGATCAGCCTAATGCCTACAATACAAAACATTTAATCCCATCCCATTGTGCGACCCTTCTGAAATCTAAAGAGGGGGAATTCGTGTGGGTCCGCTGTATGAAAACACTATCGGGATTATAAAGCGCCAACACGCAAAATTAATACGCACCGCCCAAATATAGTTAACGTAATTTTATTGGGAGCACTTGGATGGCAACACTACCGCCTCGTGCAACAAGGTTTTATATTGAATGCACACAACGCCATCTGTGGGTTCTCAATATAAGTGTCTATTGTGAATTTGGAAAGAAACCAAAAGAATAGGTTAATGCCATATTTATTAATAAATTTCACTGTAATCTCCTCAATCTATATGCACTTATAATCGAGTAATAATTTATTTTACACTTACATTCAACTTAATTACAGTTAAACATTATCGTCTACACATCGTATTGCGTTTAGTTTAATGAAAATATATTAACCATTTACATCTCCTTATGCTAAGATGAGACTTGTGCTGTACCAACATTACTAATCGATTTCATAACTCGACATGATCCCGAACTATTTGAGATAAAAATAAACTACCTAGTCCCTACATAGTCGTTACAATCACAGCAATATTGATCTTAAAATAATATAAATTAATTCGTTTCGAAATGTGCTATTTTTAATTGTGACTCGACACATTACAACATCTATTAATGTAACTATTATACAATAATACAAACATGCCTCCGAGATGTCAATTTGTCCGAGGGTCGAAACTAATCGCTGTAACGAAGCTTATTGCCACGTTTCTCTCTATAGCATTAATATTTCGCACCCCCGCCGCGTACATCAAAGGGTTGTGCCCGCGGAGGGCGCAAAACACTCAATTATTACAAATGTTGGCACAAATAATTTACATTTTTAGCATCGTGAACACAATATCGTCGGACACTTCCTCTACTCAACAATAGATGGCGGTTATATACAGAGATACTTTGTAAATCTAATTGTAATCGGAGAATTAACATAATTCATCGAGTATGATCTTATATGCTAAGTTTGAACATTGTCAGTATCTTACATTTTAATATACACGTCGCACCACAAAAACTGACGCGCTGATAACCAACGTGGTGTGAATGAGACATTATTCATCAAACGTAGAAAAAATCTTAGTCTGTTTTCAAATGGTAGCTGTTAAGCTAATAATGACTAAGTTTAGTTATTATTTTATGCCCTGTAGTAGTGCGGATGACAGTTGCTAAATTTTTATTTCAATTTGATTTTGTTTGCAGACTAGAACATTCTGACTGGGTAATTTAAGTTATTATATTTACAAATAATTTAATATATCACGAATATGATTTATTTGAAATAATAAGTAAGAAGTTGAAATATAATCTGTAAATCGGGGTAACTTTTAGAAGTAAACGTAACTGCCACACACCATCCTACAGCGCACATGGTATATGTGTTTCCATATTCGACTGATTTGAACGTTGAACTTGCTAATTGCGTCTATCACACCGCATAGATCATCACCAGAGGCTGAAACACTTACGACACCGAATTGTTCTCTTGTATCTCCGCCGCCAGCACGCTGTCGTGTCCCGCGGTCATGTTCAGCGCATTCATAGACAAGTGCGCGTCCGAATAATTGTGCGCCAACTCGCCGCTAGATGGCGATTCGGGCACACTCGGGTTCTCCTGCATCGAGAGCAATCGATGCGGGAACCCGAAGAGCTGAGATCACTGAAGCCGTCCCCAGTAATTGGACGCGAGGTCGGGCCCTTGCGATGGAATTTGCACTGGCACGCTGACGCCCGCCGATATCACACCTACCGACAGATCTCAAATTAGGAAGCAGCCGAGTGGAAAGTGCGCGATATTCAGATGCTTCTTTTGAATTATTATCGGACTATAATGGAATATTGTCCGGTACTAAGCTATGTATATACTATATTATTTATCTATACTTATATATAAAGCTGAAGCTATTTGTTTGAACGCGCTAATCTCAGTAATTACTGGTGGGAATTGAAAAATAGTTTATACTGGTTAGAGCGTCTATCAACATGATGTCTATCTTTTAAGACTAACTTGCAAGAATGGCAGGATTGACGTCGTGGGCAACATCTTAAATCTAAGTACCTATAAAGATGAATGTTTGCAAAAATCAAAGTTGAAGCCCAAAATAACTATTTTGCAAGGACTAAGTCGCTGACACAGCTAGTCTGAGATATTAAACCATTTGAATAAGTACTAACTAAACGTAATCCGTGACTGCGACTGCCGCAAAGCATACGTGTGTGTAACGTCGTGACGTAAGTAGTTAATTGAAAATAAGTCAACGAATATGTTTCCCCTTTCAAACCGATAAGTATTTTATTGAATTGTGTACTACTAGCGTAAACTACAGACAATTCTTGAGTATTAACTTGTAAATTATAGTTTATTTGTTTTTTCTAAATATTTATCATATCAAGAAAACAATTACAAAGTAAGTCTAGTGTGTTATAAATAGACCTAGTATGTTTAACAATTTAACAATATTGTGTTGCGTATTGTAAGTTTTTATTTTAAGTCTATAACCTACCTATATATTATAGATGAAATATATTTAATAAAATTTCTTATAATGCCAATGTTAACTCTTTTTAATTAGTTATTTTTATGATAGATGAGGATAGATAAGCATCCACTTGATAGAAGGTAAAACACCCCCGCCATATAATATCTATACTGTTCGCTGTCGACCTCTAATTTAGTACTTGTAATCATTAATTAATTACGTAGAAACCTCTACGTCATAAGCAACGTAACGTTATCCACGCGCCCGTATAAAACGTGCAAAATCAATGCACGTAGAAATAGCCATCGTCCAATCAAAGGGGGGTTTACATGTACAGACTATAGAGCGAAGTGGCTTTATGACTCGGCCGCCATATCCAGCGCTCGCAGATAACACGATTGTGTGTAATAGACGGAATGCGATTGGAATCCTATTAGACATATGCTCGGAAACTGATGCATGATGTTAATAGGTTTCGTATTAGATTATGTATGGTATTTGATTGACGTCTAATCTCTATTAATATATAGCTATGATTTCAGTAATTGGAGTCGCGCTGAGGCACTGAGATTACGTGCACTGATTATCAATCAGTAATGGCTTAATATCAGTTTAAATTAAAATTGTCTACTTGAATTCTTTTGATATATACATTCATCTCAATCCAATAAAGTACCTATTTTACTTAACCAGTTTAGTTTGATACATAATAAGTAAATATGATGGCATTATATAATTAAAACATTGATTTTAGATTTAAATTTTTACGACACAGGCTCCACGGCGCGTGCTGTTGCTCTAACTTTATACTTCAATACAATCTTTAATCAACGGTTTAAAATGCGATTTATAATATAAGTTATTTAACGGTCGTGGCCATGTAGGGACTATTCGGGAAACAATGATTTTTAATATAGTTCACGTTTAGATAAAAATTAATCTAAACGTGTAACATCAATAAATGAATTTAAATAAAACACTTTAACGCTTCAAAACGCTTATATTAGGTAAACTTATTTGGAAATTATTAACTACGTCTTATTTGGGAATTATTAACTGCCCACTGCTGCTGCAAAGCATCCGTAAAATCTGGCCGTAGTCAAAATAAGTTTAACTACTCGCGTAAACTACAGACAGTGTTTAACAAAAACTAAAGTTTAGTACTACAAAACATTGATATGTTTTTAAATTTGTTTTGACTTAACTTACTACCAGAATACTCTATTTCAATATTCGTAATGGGACGCCATCTTTATGATTTATAGTGCGCTATATGACGGTGGATATTTCCCGGCGCGTGTGCGGCGTTGATAAGGAAAGGGGTACAGTATTCATTACACGATTATCGCCACTTAACAGCTCCTTGGAGACCCGTTTGTTCAATGGTTTGTGCCGCCCGCGCCGTGTCACTTACGGAGACAAATTGATATTTATAACGCGGTCTTCAGCACGCTTGGTGTACGTTTTTACATAAGAATTATTAGTGATGTACGTTGTATGTTATTGTCTGTATCTATGTTTCAATTGCAACATTCGAGGTTAAGAAAAAATGTACAAGTTAAGCTTTATTCTTAAGATATAGGCCAACTTATACTTTGGCTTTGAACATGCTGAAATTTACATTTTTTTAAGATCAGTCAATCAAGGTTCACTTAACGGTAAGTAATCAGCTACATAACATCTCGATAATTTTCGCTGTCGACATATTGGATTGCTTTGGATATTCGGAAAGTCCTAAACGTGTGAAAAAAAGACGTAAACTTCACGGCCTTTCCATCTGCGAACGGTGGTTCGGGAACGGGACGGAATTACGATTTTCTTTTAATTAAAAGCCGGTAGGAACGTGTACTTATAGATACCTAAATTATATGTGCCGTCACCTACATTAATTTAGTGTAAGTTTCTAATTACACTAGAGCTTAGAAAAAAAATGACCACTATGTGTAGGACACGATACCTCAATTGGTAAGATCAATACGGAATGCTGTGGATGGCGGTTCAAGTCTTGCCCGTGACATCGATTTTTTTAATCTTAAATTGATTTTTATCACCGTTACATTAGTTATAACGGGTCGATATCGGTGACAACGGTCAAAAGTGACGACAGCAAAAACAATTCCGTTATCAAATAAGGCACAAGCTGGAAATGGTCCGTTGGAAAGAGTGCAAAAGAGTAAATGAAACGCGAGCGTGCATTTTGAATTGTGAAAAACTCCTTTGTTCGCGGTTGACGTTGGAAACTCTGCAATGGAACAATGAAACGCGCCAACAACAATAATTCATACCGTTTTCCGCCACCTACCGGTAAAAATGTCCGCCGCGTGATATATAATATCGAATGGCTGAGTTATGGCTTTTTAAAACAATGGCAGCGCCAAAGGATGTTTTGCTCTCTTTATTATGCTGTAGGGAGCATTTGTAAATCGTTTATGGCTTTTTATAATACACTATAAACTTTATATACTGGTCCGACGGGAAAATACATAGAAAATGCTCAAAAAGTTTAGTTTCTAGTATAGTTCTATCGTAGCAGTTTTTACTTTAACGTCAGAGATACCCTCCTTCTTTATTTCCCCCCATAACCACGACTGCTGCAAAGCTTCCGAAACATCGGGCTGTAGTGAAAAATGGTTTTCATTTGTTTTACTAATATATACCGCGTTTTAAATTGTTAAAGTATTTTATTTAAAGGTTCTAGTATGTAGTTTAAGAGAGTATATTAAAATCCGGTTGCACGGGAATCTAGTTGATCCAATTTCTTAGCTCCGTTTGACCGAAAGAATCTATTGATTCCCGGGATTGGAACTCAGGACCTCTTGCGCGTACCTACTAGGCATCGCGTTTAACCATTTAGCTATAAAGAGAGAGTTGTACAGATCGAAAAACTCTGATGCTTCACATTGACCGTGGTATAATATCACCGATATGTAAGATGGTAGTTACATATTAGTTAATTCATATAATTCTCGTTTTAATCAGTTTTTAGTCCTACTTCTATTTCTAGTTCTGCCATACCTCACTAATATTTTTATTTTTTGTTCAAAATATTACATTAAATGGAGACTCATTTTCGCAAACTTGTTAAGTTACTTTTTATGTACAGTAAGTACGTGACTGTTTATTTAGATGTAGAGCAAAGAGATTTGTTTTCATACGTTAAAATTAAGTACATTCAATGCTTTACAATTGAATTATACGAAAGAAATTACTAGATGGAATGTTCAATAACAGAAGTCTAGTAAGAAACGAATTGATTCATACAGTTTTACACAAAAGCGTTCAATATTCAAAATCAATTTAAAAGCCATTTGTAAGGAACAGACAACGGCAAATCCAATTGGGGCTCGAACTTCAATTTTTTCCTCTTTTCCCTTTTATTTTTTGTTTCCCCGCCATGTCGCGGTCTTGTGAGCCAGGCGCCCCCAGCTCTTGACTCAGCGTTTTTTACATTTTATTACGGAGTTGGTAAATATTTTTCCAAGCTTGATTTTGCCGATTTCGTAACAGAAGTAGAGAATTCTCTTTAAGATGCTATACCGCGGTTCTAGTAACGACAAACAGAGATGGATATCTATAAGTTTAACCAAGAATAACAAGCCGCGTCTTAATGTTTCTTAAACCTACCTAATAATAATAAATACTAATGTTGCTAAGGTAATTTTGTAAAAAACTGTATGTAAGTAGTAAGGTAACTCAATTGGTAAGAGCAACAGCACGGAACGCTGTGTACGCCGGTTCAAGTCCGGCTCGAGTCGTAATCTCTTTCGATTTATAATCGATTTTTAATTTATATAGTGCCATCATGTGAAAGATATTAAAGTTTTCAAAGATTATTTGCTAAATTCCTTTCATGACTGAGAAAATAAAAGATTAGAATTTTTGACGTTATAAGTTTTAATATTTAAAACTTCTCAGGCCAGTATAGCCACTGTCGCGAGTTCGAGTCTTATCGTTGTCATCCTATAACCACCTGCCAGTACTGGAATTTTGGAACTATTCACAAATACTTATTGCAAACTTACCGGTGCTAGCTGCTGCTTGAGGTTGTGAGTACGCCGCGTGCTGCTGATGTGCTGCCGGTGCTCTGGAGTATCCTCCGCTTCCTAGGACGTCTCCGAACATGTAAGGGTAGCCGCTGTCCCGCTGCTGCAGGCACGACGAGGATAGACCGCCCGACATCGAGCTGTCGGAAAGCGCACTGTCAATGTTTGGGCAAATCGAAGGGATTAGTAAAGGTATTTTGTCATGGACTTTTATTATAGTGGTCTACCGTGTTTAAACGGTTTAAAAATTGATAATAAATAGAGCAACGACATCGACATACGTAAGAAAATAGAACTGCTACAAAGCATCCCAAATGTCGGGTTGTAATCAAAATAATTTTCAAATAAGCTTGACTAATATATTTCTAGCTTAAAACTTAAGTATTTGTCTTAAACAACAGACAGCATATAATGAATATTCAATTGATACGAACTAAACCATACAACAGTTTTATTTTTAAAAATCTTTTATTCCTTCAAAGGATTACACACAAATGAAATTAATTGGTTGCATTAAATTGTGTTATTTATTATAGAGGTGACTTTTACGTTTCTTTAAATAAATTACGTTCTCATTTTCAGACAATTAAGTATACTGTAATATGCTGTATATACTACCTTATGTACCTACGTGTACAATACTGTCTGAACTACATTGATTCCTAATTTAAATTATCAAATTAAAATCAGTCGCATTTCTAATTAACAAGGCAGCTCTTTTGGTAAGAATAACAGCACTGATCTGGATGCCGCTTTCAGTCCCGCTCGTGTTTTTAATCATTTTTTCAGTCTATTTAGATTTTTAATTCACGTTAAAATCATTTTAAAATGATTAAAGGAGCCGTAAAGTAACTTCTACGAATAATAGTTAAAATTGCAACGTGTCAGAGTGAATCGAGATTGTTAATCTCAAGAAAGTTAACGAACAAAAAGAGCATAATCAATTTATTCCGTGGACTGAGCTGGAGTGGCGACTCGTCTCACTAAGTTAATTTGCACCGACAAACGCTAAAACCCGTAGGTTCACTATTAAAAATCAATTCGAGTGGAAACTCAGACGACCTTCGGCGGTGAACTTCGGGGCGTCTCGGCGCAGTGGCGGGAAATGTAAGGAGCCGCGACTTTTGCCGCCCGATTTCTCGCGTTATCAGTGTAGTTCCGCCAGTTGGTACTAGGTGGCGGCACAAGGGCAAGTTCAATTGTTTCAGGGGGAACGGACGGTTTGATAAATATGTAAGTAGTTTAACAGCTTTATAATGGATAATAATAGTAAATAGATAAGTTAGAATACACAAGCGAATTAACAATCTTATATAAAATTAAAATCTTTCAATTCAAAATATGCACAATCTTTAAGTGTGTAGATTGTTTGACAAAGTACAATATACAGTACCTATGTATTCGTTATTATCTATGAACTACCTACATAGTAATAGACTCCATTATATTTTTAGTAGAAAATGTCATTAGATGTAAACAGTTTTTTTATTACAATCCAAAATGAACGTACTAAGTAATAATTTAGCGCATTTTTTTTCTGCAAATTAGTACCCTAAAAAAAGTTATTGGTGTGGCAATTGTATAACATATGTGCGTTATGGAATATACTCTAGACTCACCTATAGGTATCGCTCATCGTGGCGATGGGCTGCGGTATGGGGCTATACATGGAGTTGAAGCCTCCATTGAGCGGCAACCGCGCGGGCGGCGCGGGAGGAGAGGCGGGGGCGTCTCGCCGTTGACTTCGCAGCTTCTCTTCGCGACGCCATTTCGCGCGACGATTCGAGAACCACACCTGTGTGAGCGAGAATTTTAAAAATCGAATCGTGTTTCGGGTGTTCACTAAAACTAGGCGTTGGTGAAGACCTATTTAATCATTTTATTGAAAAAGTGCCCGTATCAGTTTGCCAGTAGTTTAATAAAACTGCTAATTATAAATTCAAAGCCAGTCAAAATGAAATTTTTATTTATATTGTAGAATTTAGATTATTTCAAAATTCGTTGGTAGAAAACTTTTTTATCTATCATAAAGATTTTAGATTATAGTATATCGTTAATAGTATGATTATAAATTAGTATTTAATTCTATAAATTGTACCAAAAATGAATTGTTAAGTTTCGTCGCCACAATATTATGACATTGAACTGCGTGAAACGGAACGCGCCTCCGGAAACGCTGCTCACGTGCGCTTCACTTCCGACAGTCATGGCGTAACAATATGGCGCCCAGCCTTCCCGCGCTTTTGTTATAATATTACAAAGCTCCCTGAATATTCTCTTGAAATGAAATGGTATATTTGTGAAATGATTTCAAGAAAGTTATACCTATAGATTTAACAGAAAGCCTAAAAGTTAAACTAGTTAGGACTCTAGTAATATTGATTACTCACTAGTTATTAGGCGATATGGTAATGTGGTGGGTAATTACTGAGTATTTCAATAGCTTGTAAATTCGTAACGATTGATATTAATTAAAATTATGAATTATTACATATTTAATTTGCATACCTAATACATGTCATCAAGTGATTAATGATGTTTTAGACACTTGAAAATGTAAACGCCATTCCTCTTGTTTGTTGCCATATTCAAAATTGTGTTCAAATCTTTATGTAACGCATGTTAAATATGAATCTACTAATATTATATTAACAGTTATTGTTGCTAAAAATAGTTTCATTAGAGAAAAGCACTTCGCAAAAAATAATTCGTCTCTGTATTTCCGTCGGTAGAATAAAAAGGAAAATTTATACGCAAAAGCTTAGGAGGTCGGAGGGGCAAGGAGGTAATATGTCATAATATTATTGCCCAAGCCTCGACGAAATCGCGAGTGGCCGACAATATTTCATCCCGGCCCTTGGAAGTTTGAAAAGAAGGGTCTATCCGTTCAGTAGGACGGAAAAAGGGCGTGCGCACACATTTAGTTTTTTGTTATTAGTGTAGGTGGTTTTATGTATGAAGATTGCTTTTAACGTTTATTGCGAATGCTGTTTATGTTACTTTGATATAACTCTGTGGTACATAGATTTATGCTGAAACGGCTACATCGATTTTGATAAAATTTAAACTCATCAAACCGTGTAGCCGTAATACTATTATACTGATTACTTAAGATTAGAAAGTAATTATTTAATAGATTAAATGCCCAAATATCATACAGATTATAAGAATATGAGGTTTCTAGAGCAAGAGTGGCTTAATAACAAAATAGCATGATTTTCAATAAGGAGGAAAATAAATATGCAAATACAAATTAGTGCTAAGTACTATCATTTGTATATGAATTATGTTTAAAAAAATCGATCAGTGTGGTCTTGTAGATTCACATTTTGAGACTATGAACATATAAATAAGTCAAGTCATAAAATTGCAGTTAGGCTACTCTGGCTCTAGCGGACTCATATTCAAGTAACTTCCCCAATTTTCTCAGAAACCCTTACGCAGTGAATTATGACATTTCTTTTTTATCCATAGACATTCAAGTGACAGCGATGACAGCTCGTGGCCCGCCTCTGTCGCTCATTCGTTCTTGGCCTTTTATAAATTGTTACCCTCATAGTTGGGACGAAATAACGTTAGCCGGGTTTACCAAATGAGATTTGCCATAATTCTGTTATTCTCCTGCCAAGCCACAATTCACGATGTTATTCTATTATTGTTTTAATAAATTTTCCCTTATGCAATAACAATTTTGAGATGACATAAATAATACACATTTTGACATATTTTATATTGCTGTGTTTGTTTCGTTGTTGGTAAGAGTGAGGGCCGCTCCTTTTTACGCTCTTTTTAAACATTTCAACGTATATGATCACATGAAGGCAATTAAAATATGGATAAAAGTTAATACCATATTCTACCGACATTACCACCTTTTTGTGCTAATTCTGAAACATCCAGGCGACCATAATTTTCTAGGTGTTTCAGTTAAATAATAAATTTAGAACCGTTTTATTTATATTATAATTGACTTTTGTTAGTGCAGTACACACAGTTCGACCCGCGAACGAGAGCCAATATTATTAATTGTACATACTAGCTTATGGAAAAATATTGCGCAAATTGAGATTTTAAAATCGTTAGAGGTGCTGTGGGCCATTGAAGGACAGATGACGAAATAATAAAATAAATTACATGCGACATTTGAAAGTCTTGTATTTATAAGTTGCGTGGATGTACACACTGTGTAATAGCTAAAAATTACTAGTAGATGTTAAGTAACATGACCAGAATCGCCAATCCAATATAAAAATCCATTTACAGCGCTATACAGAACAGAGACGCAAAAATCTATCAAGCCCGTTATTGGGGTATACGAATTGCGACCATATGTACCCGACATAAGGTTAGTATTCCAATGTTTTCATGTAAAGGCTGTGTGGGTGCCAATTTTTCAAAACACTCCCCTCTTTACAGGAACTTACCACCCCGCGTTTCCTATAGGCTGCGGGATCAATACAACCCCTCGTAGGGTGAATATTATTTTGAACATTCCGTAGAATATTTGAATTTATAATGTATAGGTATGGTGGGTTTGCAGAGAAATATTACCTTCATAATAATAATTTTTTATAGAAGACACTTGTACACAATTGTATAAGTACCTACGTATATTTGTCCAGTATATCTATTTATTATCTAGTCTATGTACTCAAAGAGAATTAGTGGACGCGCTTTTTGTAGAAGTTGTTATTTTTTTGTTAAAAAAATGGATTTGTTGCTAAATGGTTAATCGTGTGGCCTATCATGGCGTTAAGCGCATGATGCTCTGGGTTCGAATCGCGGGGATACTAAGCAACCACTTGCCCGTAAATAGAACCGATCCTTGAAACGGACACAGAAATGTGCTCGTCCCATGCCCACAAAATCGGGATTTCACTAGCACTACAACTACTATTAGTCTTTTAAAAGTTTTAATATTAGGAATAAGCCAGCTATAAAATAAATCAGACTGTTTAGACGATTGTCGGTTTGTTTTTTTCGTATAACCAAAACAGATCTTCGTCCCAAGAGTTGGAAACAGAGCCAGGTTAAACCATGGTGAACGATCTGGCCCTGAAAAGCTATCGTGTTATGGAAATTGAACTCTGTATCTCAATGTTAAAGTTTAATCTAGCTTGAAATATGCTAAACACCTCCGGCTTACAATTTCCATTTAGGGCTGCTTGAAGGGGGATAATTATAAAAACTCGGAAACATGCTTTCAGATATAAGGAGAGCTGTTAATTCTTCTCTATGAATAATTTGTTAAATACTGCGGGGTAATTTTGTTTTTATTCAAATAAAATTTACGTAAAATTTATTGAAATTAAACTCAACAATTGCTGTGTATAATACGTTGATTAAGAAAGCGTAGAAGATACAGTTTTTTAACACATTCAATTTGGATTTGCAGTTACTTTTTTATGTTATTTAATAAAAGAAATCAATTGTTTGCGAAGGTTCTATACCATATAAACAAATAGCTGTACATAAACTTAAAATTTATATTTTACACTAAATACAGTATAATACAAAATTATAATATGTAATTTAAACTACACGCCGTTATTTAAAAAGGCTATGCACAATATTTAAATGAAATTCTAAAGAAACTTGGCATTTAACTCACTGTAATTTACATTCAGTCGTTCATATTGTGAAGCAGTTTGAATAGTAATTTTAAGTTTAACCTACATATTAAATAAGTTGTATTTAGAGTTTGTTTATTGAAAGAAAGGAAAAAGTAAAGGTACTCTTTAAATTTTTAGGAATCCTTACTTACTTACTAACAAATATATTTTAAAATGTTTTGCAATTTGCCAATGTTTTAATAATAATCAAACGCATTGTTTAGAAGTTTCCGTCGACTAAGATAATCCTGATTTACTGCCTCCAAATAAGTTGCTTTAAGTGTAACATAACAAGGCATATATGTAAAAACCTAGAAAGAATTTACAATTTTTCCATATTATATCTTTTAACACATAAAGTTTATGCCATAAGAATATTTTATGAAAAAATATAGTAGTAGTACCGTATGACAGACATTTTTGTATACATATAAACAATATCTAAGCATGTCTGCTTATTAGTAAGCGAGTGTTAGATCCACGTATGCAAGTGATATTTCCTACTTCTCTGAAGAGCTTTCAGCCCTGAATACTCGGTGACCGTGCGCTAGGAATGTTAACTAGCATCCAACAAGAGGTTAATGTGAGAGCTTAGTCTGACCCGATACGAACAATGCCAGTTTTTATTCCACTCACGAAAATAGCCTACAGTCGTGAAGAGTTTTACTAAGAGGAAACGAAAATTAAAAGTTATTAACAAGGATGAAGAAGATATTGAACAATTAGACCTAAGTATTAAGTTATACAAGGGAACTTTTAATAGATCGAAGTTATACATTTAAAATCCATTTAGTTTGAAATATAAAAACAACTGTAGCATATTACAATTGCTTTTATAACACTATTGTCACTTTAGAAGAATGAACGAACGATTACGTCATCAAATCGTTCAAAAATGGCGGCCTAATTCAATATTCCCGACGTAAAACTAAAATTGCTAAAAGCTTGTTGCAAATATTGCATTAAAAACGTTTTAAAAGTTGGCAAGTTCAGTGATAAACGATCTTTTAAACTGTTGGCAACACTAATGCGGTGTCGGCTAAATGGCACGAGTGCTTTACATGCTTGAATGAAGCCCGTACGTTTTAGTGGCGATGACATTTTAAGTTTTTTAAACGGATTAATATTATTTCATTTAAAATGTTGAATGCTTACTGTTTCTTTCCTTTTATGAGACCCTCTAAAATAATTAAGTTAGAGGATACGCGTTGTGCATATTTGCCGTCCTTGTTAGTTTAATGGCAGCACCGTATGGCTAATGACGGTTCGTAAGTTCGATCCCCATCAACAATTTACTAATAATTTTTTATTAATTTGGTGGACTTCGTCTGAAAAACTAAAAGGGATGAAGGAATATTGAAATTCCGACCGGGTTACAAACCATGTCGATAGATGAAAGAACCGTGAAGTTTAATGGCGTTTCGGTTTCAGTCTGTGAATTCCGAATATTCAAAGCCAAAATAGGCCGACAGCGCATCTTATGAGCTGTTGTATGGCTGCATCACTTGATGAAGACGAAATACTTTCCATTAAGTTAACCCCCCTATGTTTGTCTGTCTTCCACGAATATAAAAAAAATGAAGTAATATTTTTTGAATACCAATTACTAAAGCATCATATAGAAAACGACCCTTGTAGTAACCTCGAACGCATTACAATAATATGCAAAACACATGCACATCAGTACAAAAAATACAAACAATAAAACATAACCACGTTTATAATTCCCCAATAGCCGTGTTTGTTCAAACTATGTATTACATATGATATATTTACACATCGGGGTTATAATATAGCCCTTGTTTTTTTAGCCTGTTTGCTAAAGACGCATCTACATGCGGCCCGGGCCTATGTAAACAGACAGTGTAAACACGGCCTCATAAACGCATCTATCGTCCGGTTTTTAATAAAGCTCCCTATTTTATTCGAGCTGTGAATTAACAAGGTTTGGTTTTTTTGGCGTTGAGAAAATTCGTATTTTGGTGTTTGTTGAGTGTAAAAACGCACGTTGTATTGGTTTTATGTAAGTAGATGTATACACAGTACGATTCAACTATCATATGAGAGTAATTACTTTTTAAAAGCTTTCTTGTGTATTCAACCATTTTGTAAGTTGTATTTTTAAATAGTAATGTTATAGACGTCCGTAAATATTACGCAAGCATAACTTAAGTGTATTTTTACGATAGTTAATTAAGTAGTTAGTAATAATTGCATTTACTAATAGTTATAATGATAAAAATGGTGGTTTAGTGAAATTCCAAAGTTAGTAAGCCACAGCCTCCTTAGTACCAGCGGTAAACTCCGAGGCATAGACAATAGAGCCACCTTACCGCGGCGTAAACTGGAGTTTATTTTACCTGGATACGTGCCTCAGGCAATCCAATCTTTTCGGCCAGTCGCTCCCGCGCAAACACGTCCGGGTAGTGCGTGCGCTCGAACTCTGCGAATGGAACGAATGATTAATTTCTAGTTAGAACGAACGACCGAACAATTTGCGCGCTTTCATTCGTTCTTACAATGTTCATGGTTTTTTTATTTGCAATTGTTGAGAACGTATAATAATAAAAATAACCGATCATTAAATATTTTTGTCCGCCAAATCAATGGAGAGACAAACGTAAAGCAAGTTTCAAATAAAACATTGCACCAGTCCTAACGGGTCACAGTTAAGATTAAGTCAACTATGATATCTCTTGATTTAAACTGTTAAAAGTGTTCTATTCAAATGTGCTTTGCTCACGTAGACTTTTATATTCATATGAAGTTAATAAGACTCGACTTAATTGAACCGTCTAACAACTTGAAGTATGAGAAACTAACAAAACTCATCAATACAATACATAAAAACAAAGAAAAACAATATTAGAAGAAGCAAACAACAGGGTATTAACACGGCGTATAATTGGGCACAATGCCATATCCCAAGAGTTGAGCAAACACACGGGAGAAATATTTATTTGCTAATAACAGTTATAGCAAATAATAAATAAGGGGACAGTCCCAAATAGGTTTATGAGGTCCCGGGAGGTTGGTGAGTGTTTGATGTCCTTAACTCGGCTTTACAAGTGGTAATTATTAGTTTTGTGGAGGACTTTATTGGTGCGTGTTGAAAAGAGGGAAACAAACTAAACTTAACTGATTTTAATAAATTCGTTGTAAAACAACTCTTCGTAAAGTTTCGCCCATTTTTACTAAGAAAATAGATGATATAGTTTTTAAATAAAATACGTTAAGGGTTTTAACCGCGAAATATACGAGTTAAACTTTTAAATTGTTTTAAACACGGCCCGACATCCGAAACGTTAGGACGCAGTTAAAATAATTTATAAATAAGTTTAACTAGTATATTTCGTATATAAGATCGTTAAAGTATTTTATTTACGTATGTAGTTTACGCGAGTACCTAGTACACATTTAAATAAAACTCCTATATTTCGCGTTTTTAACCGTTAAACGTGTTTTATTTTAATTTTTCTCAAATTAAATGAATGATTCGTTACTTTGAAGTTATAAAATTCTTGGTAAAGTAGAAATAAGCTCACCCTTTTCCAGACTGTCTATTTGGTCATTGGTGAAGGAAGTCCGGTTTCTTTGCAGTTTCCTCTTCAGCCTCAGCCTCATTTGCGAGTCTTCGTCTCCTGATGATGCATGCTCGCTGTTACCGTCAGAACCAGCCTCTGATTGAAGGGTTTCGGCTAAAGAAAACAAAATAAGTTACAATATTAACACAGTTTTTAGAGCGAGAGGTACTACCTGAACCTGAATCGGTTGAAAAATTTCGACGAATACGTGCAGGACACGGTAGAGTAGAGCGAATGCTGGTTCAATTCCCGCCCATAACGTAATTCTTTTAATATAAAGTCAATTTTTAATTTATATAATGCCATCATGAGCCACATGTGAAAATGTTCAATCACAGTTGTTTAATTAGTAAATATTATGTATTTTTATCACCACCGTCTCCGCGGTTCAATAGATGATGGTGCTGATGCTTTGCAGCAGCCGTGGTCACGGGGAGACACGGCTGCTGCAAAACATCCGAAACGTCGGGCCGAAGTTAAAAATCATTTCCAAATATGTTTAACTAATATATCGCGTTTTAAACCGTTAAAGTGTTTTATTTAAATCTGTACTACTCGCGTAAACTATAGACAGTATTTAATATAGCTTCTTATTATTATTTCTTCTTAACGTTTTTCTATTAAAAATGTTGTTATATTTGATCGATAGTATATTTTGCATTCAAGATGTTATCTAAAGAAGTTCAGCTAAATTCAATCGTTTCTATTTTAATCTGTATAATGCGTGCTTCAACAACTTCAATTCCAAAGGCCGTTTCAAGCAAGAGTTGAGATAATTATCAGAGTCTAAAACGTTCAGTACAAAGACCTCTCCATCATGAACTATCAACACTCAACATTGCGAACTATCAAATGCGTCAGCAAAATTACAATTGCCCCCCAAAGAAAAACGCAACCAAACATCAAGACCCCGCTACTAACTAAAACTGTTGCAAACGTAGCTCCAGTTACCCTGGTCGATTCCCCTATAGGGGTGATACACAAAATTAAACGTAACGTCGACATGCCTTTGGCTAATTGATTAATTTGCTTTATGGTCGGAGTACTTGAGATCGATTCCCGGGCCTGTAATGACCGCACGGGTTGCTGATTCCGATGAATGGCGGGACTGTTACACAATCTGTCACATTTCTCTGATGATGTTTTGGACGCGGGACAATCGTAATGGACGACTTTATGCAATATTGCCTAATCGAAATAATGGTGATCATGGGCATGTCTTTTTGTCAATACATTTAGTAATGCATACGATGTCAATAATGTATACTTTTTTCATATCTGATCTGTCATATTTATTTAATCGATGTAAAACATGATATATGCAGACGTAAACAAATATTTTTTATTTTTAAAAGAAAACAATTTAAATAGTGCTATCTTTAATTAAAAATTGACTTAAGCTCGAGTCACGGCAGCTCAATTGGTTAGAGCAACAGCACAGATCGCTTTGGAAGCCGGTTCAAGTCCTGCCTGTTTCATTTTTTTTTCCCTTTAAAAAAATTTTTAAAATTTTATAGAGCCCCAAAGAAGGGGTAAAAATTTTTGGGGGCCCCCGGGGGGGGAAAAAAAAAAAAGGAAACCCCCCCCAATTTTTTTATTTGCGTTACATACCTTTCCTTTTTTTAACAGTTAATACTGTAAATAAAATAGGTCCAATAATATTGCGCGTTTTAAACCGTTGGAGCTTTTTATTTAAAACGTTGAAACTCAACAGCCGATAGCGATCGTTTATTCGTAACATCGACGTCAGAAGATTGATGCGAGACGTCCTCAATCGCTTGACAAGTTTGATTGATTGTCGTCGTGTGCGGGGCGATGTCATTCACAAGTGAGACAAGAAGGGTGACGCAAAACTTGCGAAAGTTCGACATTGGGGAAACAACTTCAACATTGGAGTTCTTTTCAACGACAGAAGGGGATATCAACTAAGGTTTTTGTAACTAACATTCTAATTAGCTTAACATATCGATATGATAAAACGGATCTGCGATTAAAATACGACAAATGCAAAATTTTGAAACCGAGATATAAGACATGAAAAGGCGAAATATCGTTTCCCCCATGCTGTGTGGGGACATAATATTTCCGTGTCAGATTCACTAGTAGATCAGACAAAAACAATTGACTGTTTACCCGAGACTCGAACCCAGACTTGTGCAAGCAACGCGTTTAACTAATGAACAACGAAGGTGATCATTATCATTGTCTTTCGGGCTGTTCGGCCGACGTGAGCGAAAAGAAATACCCGACGTTTCGCTATCACGTGTGGACGGCATCACCAGGAGATGTTGACTCCTCGATTGCTAGAATTAGCGAATTAAACTCGAATAATTAAGAAACGTTGAGAACCTTTATGCATATATGCTGAACGATTACCGTGAAAGCCTTACACAATTGATTAAAGGTGATCATTATTTAGACATACAAATTTACTATTGTATCTTAGAAAGAAGAAACACCTATATCTTTAGTTTAATTTTTTAGCATTAAATAAAGAAGAATGATAAGCATTTATGTTGATTAAAAGAAGTATCAGTGTAAAGACCTCAGCCAAGACCGCTTCGAGCACAAAAGACGATAACGAAAACAAAACAAGTTCGATTCTAAAACCTTTGTATCTAACACTCAAAGGAAAACAAAGATTGATATTTTCAATTCAGACGTTTTATTTACAGTCGCGGAGCGGAATATAAAGGAATTCATTAAAAAACCCACCCGCACTTAGCCACGAAATAACGACCTACAAAACCTACAAATGATCGAAGAAAAACTTTCCGATATAGCAGACAAGGAGAGCGGAACACGTATAAGAGAATAAGGGCATACACTCGCTTGCAAATATTTGGTAACGCTCGTAATATTTAGAATAACATATCTTAACAGCATCAAGAGAAGTGTTCCTATTTATGTAGTTGTAGAGTCCTAGACGTTTGTAGTTTAGTTTTTGGGTAAAACAATTTTTAACGGTTTAAAACGCGAAATATATGATTTAACTTATTTTAAGTACGACCCGACGCACGGGATCATTTGTAAGAATCGTCACGCGGGTACATATGTATTAAACTACACTACTCGCGTAAACTTGTACTTTTAATATTAAAAGGAAAATTTTATGTTTTCAAGCGAGTGTATTAAGGTGAAAAAATTGGTGAAAATAAGAGTCGCGATAGAATCGAAGCAACCGGAGCGAAATAGACGCGGTAGGCGGGGGCGATCGCTGGCAAGCGATTATGTTAGATCGATACTGTCACTCAAAAATGATTGCCCAAGTCACGAGCGAAAGCGGAAGTTCTTTGTTAGTTATGTTTTTTTAATATTTTTTAGAGCTTAAGCATGTTCAGCTTGACATGTATTAGTTAATTATAATACAATTATAATATTAATTCAAATTATCATTTAAATCAGAGTAAATTGTATTTTAATAGTAATCGAATCGAATGAAAAATCAAGTTTTTTCATTCAAAGTTAGTTTTTGTTGGTATAAATAAAGTATATAGATTTATGGATGATTAATAACATATATTTTGAGCAGTTTATTACCTAAACTCTCTTTTTTTGGTGAAAAATAATAACAATCCCTTAACTCGCAACCGCTTATGACTCACACGCTATCCATCCCGCGACCTTCTTCAGCCGGACAAGGCGCATTTCGCCTAATTCGCCACGCTTCCGCAACTCAACGTAAGGACCCATTTACCACAACATAAAATTACTGTCAATCTCTTTTTTGTGAATAAACTTCTGTCTAGGATATATCTGAGATATTTACGCACAAATCTGCTTAGCACGCCAATTGTTTATAGCATGCAGTAACAACTTAGTATACTTATTTTGAAAAATATAGTGTTATTTTGCTAACATCTGTTTATATAGACTGTTGTGTGAAAAGTTAAATAAACAAATCGCTTTGAGAAGATTTTGTATAGATAGTCATCTTAATATTGTATCATTGTTAACAAGGTTAGTTAGTGGTAGTACAGTAGTAGTTAGGTAACAAGTTTCATTCTTATATCAAAAAAGAAAAGTAGAGAGTACTAAGTCGTCTATGATTTTTAACTTGTAAACATAATGCGAATTTTGAAAGTGCCTTACTCACAAAATTAAAATTATTTAAATAAAATCTACGGCTTTATTTATCTTTATTTGAAAATAAATATCGTAATTATGTTGTTGATATCAAATCCCGTAATACAACACGTTTAATTTGGCCGTCCCTTCGCCACTTAATAAAAACCATTCTGCATTTCGTTCATAACATCTATCAAACAGCTACTAAGCGCCTTATTTATTACAATTTAATGACATGTCATTCCCGCCCTCCGCCCTTATTTATAATCAAAGATCAGCCATTCAGACAAGATCTCTCCCAACTCGAACCATATTGCTAATTCCATGGACTTTACGATCGTCGAGGGAAAAACTAGGGTCACGGTTAGTGGCTACTTGTAATCAAGCGTTCGCTACACTTTGGGGTCATCTAAATTACTTAGTTGGGGCAGATAACGTTTAGTTTTTATCGAGAAAATGCCTCCAAGAAGTTTATGGCCGGCGCTTTTAATTTGTAGACTGGTGATAAAGGGAATAACAGTAACGGCTTCTGTACACAAATAATTAAAGAATTACTCTATTTAATTTTCAGGAACTGACATTGTGTTAAAAGTTTCCTTTTATCTGGATGACATTGCCTCAAACACATTTTACAAAAAAATAAACAATACAATTATAGTAAGACAAAAGTCTTGTACAAATACTTAGGTCTACTTTCTTTTCCCTTAGAAACTAATCGTTATTTTATTACTGTCCATTTAATCTATCGTATGAAATATTATCTAATAAGAATCTTGCCAATCAGAATCATAACTTGTGTCTAAATACTGTCTGTAGTTTACGCAAATAATACACATTTTTATGACACTTTAACGGTTTAAACCAAAAAGTAATTTTCAAATGAGGTTTCATTTAATCCCGTGTCTACTTCTAACACACAATTGAAACCGTTTAAACACAAAAAGGGTAAAAACAATTACCAGAGGGGTAAGTAACAATCTCTAAACTATTTCAAAACGGGAAACACCCCGAAGTAATAATAAAAATTAAATCAGAGAGAATAAAGGATATCGATTTCAAATCAAACAGTGGAGCCAACGGTGCAGAAGCGGTCTATTAACTTTGCAACACGTGTTACTCCGCCGAGCACACTTTCGATTTTAAAGTCAATTGCATTGTAGTTCACTCGGCGTCCAATTAAAACGCTATTGTTTCATTCACTCATTCATATCGTTCGCGAATGCACTTGAATTTGAACGATTGTGTTATCGATAGCTCGCGATGCCCTATCGCAATCATCAGCTGCCTAATTTAATTCAGTTAAAAAAAATTATTACGTTTTTGGATACAACGGTTGTGTAAGCTTATTCACTGTGGCATGAAAAGGTTTGAATAAAAATGAGTAAGGCGAATGTTTCTTAGATAGCAGATAACATTACTTTGCTGGCAAGTTAAGAGAAGGATAATTTTATAGTACTTTAATATCGTTACGCTTCTTAACCAGACAACATGCAAAAAAAAATATTTATTTATAATGAATTCTAAAATAGTTTTTAGCGTAAAATTTTATATGTTTACATTTTCATTTCATAATATATTTAACAATTATTAATACTAATTAAATTATTGATAAATTCAACACATGAGAGACTCGAACCCACGACCCGAACTTACCGTATTACTTGTCACGGTAGCTCAATCTGAAAACCAACGCGAATTTATTTAAAGCTTTTTACTAATAGCCAATTTGTTGTATATCAACGTTAACTAAACCGCAGTCCACATTGTGTTTATGTTCTAAACCCGTGTACACAAACAATTTGTTCAATTACTTGTGTGACCAATAAATGTTGTGATCTTTGCCGATATTATATTATTTGTGTCTAGAGTACTTCAGATAATCATCTGTGACCTGGGAACGAAAGCATTGTTTTAAACCAGGATCTTTTGCGCTTAAAGCAATGCTAGGCAATCTGGGAATTATTGATCCATTAAATAAGAGCGTAGAACACACAAAGGCCATTAAAATAATATTCTATTTGGTATTGATTTATTTTTACTGGATATATTATGTTAACTACGTCCGATGTATATTGGATTTGTCAATAAAATCAAACTTATAAACTGACTTATTGGAATACTCTATGGCTTATTGGATACGAAACATAGTATTAGAATTATTATAAAACCAATGTAATCCAGTATTCAATGGTATATAATATATATTATATTGAAAAGAGAAATTCGATGTTTTTCTTAGTGGAATTATGTCTCATAGTTAGCTAGAAGTCCCGCCAAAAGCTTAATTGGTAATGAGATAACAGTCACACTGAAACTCAAAAGTTAACATTTTTGGCACTGGCAACACCACATTAACATTTCTGTCACGCCCTCATGAGAGCGGAGACATGAGTCACGAGGTGTTAATTTAGACAACAGACGCCGAAGTTTTTAACTTTCGGAGTAAGGCTGTATTTATTATACACGAATTGTATTTTATGGACGAGTATGTTGTGACACAAATTTCACACATAGAGTATGCCAAAGCACAGATTATAAACGTCTCCATAGACTATATTGGTAACTGTCATACCGTATACCGCCATATTGAAGTATACCGTGATTTTTCCTAATACCATTGGTCAAAAACGAAATAAAAATAACAATAATAATTCATTACTATCACATCTTGCCATTCCTCATTGGACACATGACATTGGCAGAATCCATTAACAATGGGAAAGCCATAAAATAAAGAAGAAGAAGAAGAATTAGGTACAAGCGTCAATGATTACTTCTGTCAATAAAGATATGATTAAATCATAATCTGTGCTTGTATTTGAAAATGTTTTATAACATAGGCCAACTAGAAAGAGCTACAGACCGCTATAAGGCATTGAGAGCAAATTGCAACAAGTTAAGGCAATAACTTGGCTAATATTTTCACTTGTTCCTGCAATTGGTAAGGACGTTAAATTTACTACGCTCCGGAGACCGGTTTCACGAGAAATTACCTTAGAACACGTGCAAGGCAGGAGCGGAAGCGATTTGTCTTACACGATATCAAGAATAGATTAAAATATATTTCCATAGATACATCTATGCATTACATTGCATAAGACAGACGATAATCACGCAAAATATCTTACATTTTCCCTAAGCTGTATAAGAATAATTAAATCGTGTTCTAATTAAAAATATCGCTCACTTGAAATTCTTACAAGATAATTATTTACTCTTGAAGCACCTAGATCCTCGTTATTTTGCGAGGAAATTATAACAATACGCTTTTACTTAGGGCTGTCGCAATATTAAATTGTCTTAGAATTGTTTAATTTAACCGTCTGATACCCGGAATTATAATTATGCTTAAGTATAAACATTTAAGAATAAATGAATTTACAACAGTTTTAAACGTATATAACTAATTATTAAAGATAGATTCAAATACACATGTTACGTAAATGTGATCATCGTTAAACGTTATATATTTTCTGATTATTAACTGGATTATAGGATAATTTATTTTTTAAAAACTTGTCTAACAGAATTGTTCCTGCCAGCCCTAAGTCTGGAAATAAAGGATAAAAGTGCGGACAAGATTCGAGGTTCGCGTCAAAGAGAAAATGGAAAAACGACATCTTTGCGACAGCGACACCGCGACAAAATACTTCCTACTTCAATGTGTATATATATATATATATATAACACATACATTTCACATTATGTTGACAGCTTAACTTGCTATTTCTGTTTAGTATAAGTAGTTATTTAAAGAACTAAAACTGTTATATACCTAATAACGAACCTATATCTACATACATCTAGTAATTTGTTATGTATATTAGTATCGTAAACTATGTCTATCAATAATATGTATTCTTGAACAGATGACAGGGCGCAATACGTTTAAGAGGTCAATTGTAAAAACGTTAAGCAGTCCCCATGACCACGGCTGCTACAAAGTATCGGCAACGTCGTTAAAATAATTTAAAAAAGAGTAAATGCTTAAGTATTTACTCTTTTAACGGTTTAAAACGTTCTGGGTAACCACGGCTGCTGCAAAGCATCCAAAACGTAGGGTCGTAAAAAAAACGAATATATAAAAATACATTCCACGTTTTAAACCGTTAAAAGTGTTTTATTTACGTGTGTACTACTCGCGTAAACTATAGACAGTATTTAAGGTTCAGTACACATATACAAAGCCGCTTCTTAAAAAAACTATCAACTCTGGGTATACCTATGTAATAGTACATTTTCGATTCACCATAACAAAAGCGAGACAGACGGAAAACGAAAATTTTACACTAACAAATCGTTTCCAATGTCCACAAACCACAACATCCTACAAACAAACGAACTTCCACGAAAGTTTAGTTTAAGTCGTAAAGTCTTATTTATTTTACAACAACATTTTCAGCGATAGAACAATAGCTATTTCGATCGTAAGTTGTTTATTGTGTCTGAAAAAATGGTCTTTATTATTATAAACGTTCATTATGTAAGTTGAAAAATTTTCAACTTACAATAATATTTAAATAAAATTTTTCAACTCAAATAGTTTATTACAATCATATAACAGTCAAATAGTTTCAAATAGTTTATTACAATCATATAACAGTCAAAGACTTCAATATTTAAATAGAAAACCTCTTAACAATTTATAGAATTTATTTTTCTTTCCTTACCAAGACGTCTGTAGTTTACGCAAGTAGAACATTTATATAAAACACTTTCAACGGTTTGAAACGCGAAATATAGTTTTATGCATTTTTAAAGTTATTTACATTTTTTTAACAATCCTACGTTTCGGATGCAGCTGCCGTGATTATCAAAAACGTTTTAAGCCGTTAAGAGTAAATACTTAAGCGTTAGTTATTAATTTAGTTTAGTTAACGTCTGTTAAACTTGTCCAACGATAATAATCATTAAACAAAGTTACTTTTATAGGTGTGCGTTTGCGTTTAAACTAACTTTTCTTTTAATACGACATTTATGTACCTACCCTCCTACTTTCTATTATAAATAAAACCTTTTAGTAGACTGTCATATGCCTATCGCCCAAATAGCCAAACGAAGATAGACCCGTGGAAGGAATACCTACCTCTTTTATGCTCCTCAGCCGGCCGATTTAGTTGTGGCGGTAAAGGTGCTGGTATGGTCGGCGCTGGTGCCGTGGGTAAACCGGGATACCACCACCCTGTGGCCGCCTGGCCGTTGAACATTCGCAACTTTTCATATACGCTATCATTCTGCGCGGACGCAGCTTGCTCCTTTTGCGACGCAAGGTTCCGTAATACCCGGTTTATTGATGATACCTGAAAAAAAAGCTAGGTTTAATATAAATAGGAAAATCGCAAGCGCAAGTTACACATAAATGGTTGTATAATTTATGTGTTGTTTAATTAAATGAAACACTTGAACGGTTTAAAACGCGATATATTAGTTAAATTTATTTGAAAATGATTTTTTAACTTCGGCCCGACTTTCGGATGCTTTGCAGCAGCCGTGGTCACGGGGAGACTGTGTTGTTTTTTAAATTAAATTAAATAATTTGTTGAGATATTTTTTTATGATACAGGAGAAAGGCATGGGAGCCATTTGATGGTAATAGAGTCATTTAACATCTAAACAAGATGCCCTGTCGACCTGTGTCAACTTTGGATTTATTTGAACATTCCATTCATAGGACTCGCCGATAACCTCGCGATGTTTATTACACAGATAATATGACGTACTTTACTGATGTATTTACTTCGCTGATACAAGTAAAGCTAACACCTATTTAGTAGACGTACGTTAAGTTTTATTTTAATACCATCAGTTATAGTAAACTATAATTCATTACGATTACAATTAACTTAGGATATTTCGCGGCTATAGAGAAACGTAAGAAGACTTAATTACTATTCAATTGTATTAAACATACAAACAACGCAATAACATTTAAAAGTCTAAAACACGTCACCCTTAATGGAAATACATCCTCAGAATAACCAGCAAACAACTATCTAATGAGAAACAAATTGCAGAGCGCCCTACAACTTTCGAGCACGTGTAATTTAAAATTTAATATGATTACTAAATTCCAATCGGGAGCCTCAAAGGGACACAGATTAGGGCATTCCCTCCCGCCGCCCCTCGACCCCTCGGAGCCTAAAAACCCCAATATCCATCTACTTTCGTCGAAAAAGCACGCATGCGTAAAAACCTGACACACGGCTATTCTATTACATAGGTTGTATATACCGCCGGGCCTCCCTAGACATTATTATCTATGTTTTCTGGTTGCTATTGGCAACGGTGGAAATTTTTCCCCCAAGTCGGTTGCGGAGTATAGCTAATGTGAGTTTTCGCGGGAAAAACAATTGACGTTCGGGTAAGTTTAATTCAGAGCAGATTGAATGCACAATAAGATATTAATGTATGTATTTAGAACCATTCTTGTGTAGTTAAGTTCGAACTTTGATCGAAATGTTTGTATTTATTTTTGTAACTAAATATAAATAATGTGAAAACAATGAATTAAAAAGTCACTTATTATTATTTACCGTAATACCTATGAATACATATTCCAAAAATGTATTTTATAGATTCGTAAGCAACTTTGAATAGATTCGTGTCTCAAGAGACAAAAAAGGCTGTTTCGCAAAACTCAATTCTGTATAACATACTTCATATGTACGTGACTAAAACAATATTACAATATGTATTGGAATAGCTTTGCACCCGTAATTCATTCTGATAATGGAAATCAAAATGGCGTCCATATTGGCCCGAATGTAACACCGGTAGAACACCGGGCCGATAATCCCTTGTACCACTAATGGAACTTTACCTTTCCGAGCCTGAGCTACAAAATAAAGTCCGAAATAGTTTTGATTTGAAAATGTACTATTTAATATTAAATGTCTTTAAACAAAATATGGTCAATGGGTTCCAATATAGTCTTTATGATTGCCTTTAATCCGTTAATATTCAAATTCCATTTTTAAAATAGCCAATAATAACAATAGAAGCGCATTTCAAATTCGTTCTGCGTCTGACAGCTCGAAAGCCAATCAGATAGAACAGAACGCATGTTCCTATTTCAATTTAAATTTAGATTTTTTGTACGCCGCTAGTAAAGAGGTTTTTATTGATTTAGTTAAAATAAGTGGTCCTGAACTTACGTCACTGCCGTTACTCACTTAAACGTCCATATTTCGGAAAGACGAGACACTTGAGCGATTCGTTATGACGTCAAAATCACTTACGGCGTTTTGGAAGCAGTGAGGTCGCATCAGTGGCCAGTGATGTGTACAAAAGGCCGAAAACTTTCGTCCGTTTAAAAGTACGGCCAACAGGGGTGTAAACGGGATTTTAAAAATAAAAAGGGGCTAGCCTAGAGTGCTCAAATATTTATATATCGTTAGCGCTTCATTGACAAATTTCGCGATTTACTGCGAAATTAGATTTTATAATTAGTTTGATATGATACAATTTTTATAAATGATAGAAATTACTTACCCCTATTAAGTAGTAAGAGCAAATTTACAAAAAAAGGTAGGTAACCTCTGAAATTTCTAAATAATTTTTAACATGTAGTTAGGAAGAAATTATTGTAATTTTAAGAAATAAACTCGAAGCATAATTTAGTTTGAAGTTTTATTGAAATGCGTAAGGTAGTTTACTTTTTAGAATTAGGGTATCACCAATAGCATTTCTTATATTAGTAGTATATAGGTAGCTATGTTTTTTCTGCAATTTCCGCCTTTACATTTTTATTTCAAAATATGTTATTTTTCAAATATTAAAATGTGAAGTGAACCCCGAAATCAACTACCGAAATCAGAGTTTATGTAAGCGGATACTTTCCAACTTGTGACAGATCGGCGCGCGCCTGAGAAACAATATTGAGTTACATTAAATGGTTTTTTGTTAAAATCTTCGAGAACAAAACATTGAAAACACATCTTTGTTATTAAACTGTGCATATTTTGTATCTAACTCAATGTTATCTGGTTAAAAATAGCGTTTAGTTATGGTTTCTTTGGCCCTTGATATAAAAGAAAAAACATAGGTGTTGGAACTTAACGAATTACTTTTAAATATGACTTGACTTATGGTTTTAGACATTTATTAACCCAGATAACCTGAAACTAAAATTTTCTGAAAATTTTGAAAAAAGTTATATTAGTTATTTATTAGATCTTATGCAACATAAAAAAAAATATGAAAAAAAAATTAAGTGTAAGCTTTAGGGAAACAGCCGTCCTATATGTAGGACAGTAGGATAATAAGAGGAAAATAAAAGACCATTTATGACAAAACAGAATGTAATCAAAAAGTGTAGTTTATTAGATAACTATTGATTATATTAGACATTGTTATATGTAATTTACTAGATTAACACTATTTATGAATATATGTTTCAAAACACTTACACACACTCCAACATCACATTTCTCAATGTCAAAATTTTTTTAATTGACGACAGTTGTTTGCTTCGATTGAAGAATAACCAGATGATTCATTTGGTCTTTACGACTATCAGTGTTCATGATGGGAGGGTCGGCTAGGCCCTCTTTTGGCATTTTTTCTGTTTGATTCAATCAAACAATTGCTACCCTTCTGCAAAGCCAAGATGATCCAGTTTTCCATGATTTATTTTATATAACTGCCATGCATTATGTTCGGCAAGATCAATCATTTGTGAAACGGCATGTACCATTTCTTACCTCTATACCAATTCGGTAATGTTAAATATTTTCATCAACATCCACTCCTCCCATATATTTGTTATTGATGGACACCATATGTGGTTCTTCTATGACAATGTTTCTCTTCTCCATGCGTAGGTACGCCTACGTTTAGTTCGAACTTAAATCAGAAGGTTCTTCTTCTTATCACTCACCATAATCTGCCCTTGAATCATTACTTCAGCCGGTTGAAGCAGAATGTTTCGTGGCAAATTATTCAAAGTTACATTATCTTCTTCACCCGAATCTTCGTCAGTGAGACAGTCAGGATCAACAGGAGGAGGTAGAATACATATCAGTCGTTCTCTATAATCTTCTTCATTATCAGAAACATTTTCTAAAGCATCTAAAATTTCATGCGCAGCTAACGGTCTGTAAAGAAAAAGTTGTATTATTGTACTAAAATCATGTACATATTACCTACTGTTAAACTATAGTACGCTAGTATTTTAACAAGTTATACTAATTTATTTATATTATTTTCTAGAATATTTATTTATACAAAAGTTAAGGTTATCAACTAGATATTAACACAGAAAAAAAAATACGAGTAAAATATAACTTTTTATACATACCTGTATTTGCCATGTCTGCAACCACTTTTATTACACACTTATAAGGTAAAATATAAGGTAAAAACTGTTAAAATAACTGTCTTTTTATTTTTTCTAATAAAGCTGACACGTTTCTTATTGCAAATCATAAGACTAAATAATCTTAGATAAAGAGGGTATTCTGATATTTTTTTTTATTTCTACTGTCCTAAATATAGGACAGTAGGCTTATCTGGGTTAAAGAATGTACACATTCACTTATTACTAAGTTAACTAAATATTACATTGGAATTTGGTTAGTATTTTTATTAAACACAACTATAAAATGACTTGACTTATATTTTTATAGTTTATAAATATTAATCTACGAAAACACAATGACCGAAAATTGTTAATTTATGTAACATAATTCTTACCACAAATAATTCATTTTCGCCCAAGTTGATTACGCATTTTTATTTTCCTCCTAATTAAAATTATGTCTTTTGTTATTAGGCCACTCTGCCTCTAGCAGCCTCATATTAAGAAGAAGAATTAAGATTGATTGTATTAAAAACATTTAAAACGCTTCTACTGAACTGCGAGTTGTGTGAAACAGGGATAATAGGTTCAGTTTTAAATGCACCAAAGCTTATTGGTCGTCAATAGATCATGTCGCCGGGCGTTCCCGCGTCACAGTGACGGTTGACAGGTGTCAGTTCGCGACGCGCGCGCGCACCTCATTACCCCAAGACATGGCCATAGATCATAGCGATAGTGTGAGATCCGCCAATATAGGTGGTCCGGTGTAACAACTAGAACAAAAGACCCTATCGTCTATTAGACCCTGTCTGCTTAATTAACGATAGGCCTGTTTGTCAAATCGAACGTAAAATTAACAAGGACGTTGATTTTCTAAGATACTTCGTTATTTGCTTATTTCTTAGACCAACTTCGAGATATTGTCTTGTTTTCTTTACCCAATATAACACTAATTTTGAGGTTATGTTAAAAATTAATTAATTAAATTAGAAATGCGAGTATTTTTGTCATAGCTACTTACTCCGGTAGGCGTTACAACCCCAAACACGGGATAAATTGTAACAACGCACTTGTTCTGAAAACTAACTAATGACCAATTATGTTTGTATTATTTTTATTTTTATTCTTAGGGGAAGAGTTATAGCATCAATTAATCTTAACTTAGTAGCAATTTAATCAATAGATCTCATGATATATCGGTTTTCATAAAAATTTTTAGGTACAAAACCTAAATATTTTTGTAAAGTAAGTAAAGTCTCCCCGTGACCACGGTAGCTGCAAAGCATCCGAAACGTATGGCCGTAGTAGAAGAATAATTCTCAAACAAGTTTAACTAAAATATATCGCGTTTTAAATCGTTAAAGTGTTTTATTTAAAAGTAAGTAAAGTATAAAAGATATGCTCACATTAGTTGGAAACCAGTAGGTATTGGTAAATTGGTAAATATATATATTTTTTAATTTCCATGGCTTTTTTTTTATTTTATAAGAACTGTTATTCGACTAACTGAGAACAAAAAAGCATAGAAGACCGTGTTGACAAGTGCGATCTACATCAATAAGTGAAGTAGTTTTCATTTTAAAAATTAGATTTCATTATAACATCGTTGTCGGGTCACACATAGATATAAAGCCAATAATTCTTTTATTAAAAAACAAATAATAAAATGATATCTTTTGCATTTCAAGACGTTTAAAGTACTTTTTATTAAATAACTGTATAACAATTTTTCCAAGCCGCATTAGCGTTATCGTATTAAGGATGAGATACACAAAGCCCAAAAACGGAGAAGACGAACAAAAAGCATTACACAGTGTTCTGAATAGAAATTCCACCAGACAGGGGCGCGACCCCTAAAATTAGAAATACTATTACCTACATCGGTATTATCTATAAACATTTTAACGTCGTCGCTTAACCCGCGGAGACCTAAGTTCGATTCCCCGATGAAAAGCGATTGGGGTACCGCACCCCCACCGAATACCTCTATTGGGGTGATTTTTTACTATTCCCCCGGGACGCTGAGATTGGATAGTTTGATCGTGGTTTTCAGGGTTCATTATGACTGTTAAATTGTGATGAGATGAAAGATAACGTTACGGAGTCTATTAGGAAATTGGTTTACAACTCAACAATTGAACATTTTTAACAATGTCTGGATTTTCTTAATGTTACTTTCGTCTATACAGATCAATCTATAGGCTATAACATAACGTCTGTGAAGAATTTGACACGCCTTACCTAGAACACGTTGTTACCTATCTTAGGTAACAAAGTCGTGAAGTATAAGACCAAATCTTGATAGAGATGTAGCTTTATGTATCTTCTCTTTAAAAATATTTTTAATTAAAAAAGAGTTAATTTGTATAAGGTATTATAGAGGTAATATTATAAAGCTAAGGATGTTGTTTGCAAAAATAAATAATATGATGCACAAAATAACTATTCCATGCGGACGTAGTCGCGGGCACGGCTAGTTATGATACATGATTAGCAATCTATGTACTTTCGATTCATCCGACCAAAGTTTTATAAATAGATGGAAAACAAATCTAGTTTGATATCTGTAGGTACCATAGTCTATAGTTCACGCAAGTAGTAGTTTTTGCGTTAAATAGAACAATTTTCATTCCCCCCGTGACCATCGGGCCGTAGTTAAAATAACTGAAAAATAAGTTAGCTGTAAATATTTCTCGTTTTTAACCGTCAAAAGTTAATTTATAAACGATTACTATTGTTTTTGTTAAAACATTATGGATGTCAAACGTCGTCGTTTAAAGCGATCTAATTACTTGTGCGTGCCGATTCGGGCAATACAACACCGAAGCCTCCGAAATGCGGCTCGGTAGCGTTTGGGTGGTGTCAGGTTGCGTCCTACATCGACCCGTAATTCAGGATGTTTACCTATTCCGGGAAAAGTCGACATCAACTTATAATTAATGTCTGTAACTTTCTTAAGCTCTAGGAATGTGTACGCGATACGGACGCGTTGTAATAAAAAACAACTCGCATTTTGAAAAGTTTGGTAGCGTTCCATTTTTAAAACATTTCAAATTTAGAATTAGTATTTTTCTACTATAGCTTACAACTAAGTTTCTATGTTTTTGAAGTATATATATTGGTTTTGAGGTAAAACCATAATAGCTTGCTATGTTTCGTAGCTTAAGTTAAAAAAATACAAAACATACTGTTCTTAATTTATTAAAAAGAAGGTAATTTTTGAAGGTAGATTTTAGCATTCATTTAGTATGATATAACCGCACCTGTAGCTAAATCGTAAAAATAGTTGCCTAGCATTGCGTTAAGCACGAGAGGTCCTGGGTTTTAATCCCGAGGAAACAATAGATTGTTTCAGTCAAAACGGACTCAGAAACATGTGCGCTCCATGTCTTAGACTGTAGTAGAGTGCCTATAAAAATTATTTCTGGAGTCCAGACTTGTCAATAGCTATACCATAAGCAGTTGACGTTAATCCGCCGAACGAGAGGGGAAAACAACTCGACGGTTACTTGTAAAGAATTTCTATGCGTGTGAGTAGGACAACAGATGTTTTGTTCACTCACGCGTGAAACGTGTAGTGAGGACGCGGGAAGAAAAATGACGTATGTCGATCCATAAGAGCGCATTGAAGGTCGCGGATATTGAAATGGAAAGGTGGAAAAATAGGAAACTGTCTTTTTATAAGACTAGTAACCACGGTAGATACAAAGAATTCTATGTAGTAAGAGATTAAACAACCATAAGCGGTCAAATGATAAACTTAAAGCAGTCAAATTCGAATCAACTTAAAATATAACTGTTTTTGTTTAAAGCTTTTTAATCTTATGTTTGAGTAACAAACCAGGTTTTTTCAGCGACAATTTTTTTTACGGTTTCTATTGTAAGTTGTGTTATTTAAATAGCGTCTTTTAATACATAAATACATGTCCGACAATAACCCATAACATATTTATTGAAAACACTTAAAATCTCGTTGCAAAACACGACAGTAAAACCTACGCAGTCCAATGACATCGACATACGTCCTTCTTCTACCACAATAATCGATTGTTCGTTATTTTTGTACGCTCTCAGTTGGTAAGAAATATCACGCCCATTCGACCGTTATGACTATGAAGCGCAACAGACAATAAACACCTATCTCTGTCTGACGTACGTAAAATGCATCTAACCGTTCACCTATTTGCCCAGTGGCGCGGGTGCGTGCGACAGTTATAAAAATATCCCTTCGGCGCCGAATCTTCTTAGCAGAGGGTGAGGGCTCAATTTTACCTCTTGTGTAGGTTCACGTTTCTACGTTCGGCTTCCAGAGGTGGGGCTATGTCTGCCTTTACCATATCATAACTACAACTAAACGTTGGTATTAATAAGCCTTTATTATATTTAAATTAAGAACATCGTTCTTAAAATAAGAAGCATCAATATGGGTATCAATGACGGTAGTTTTTAAAATATATGTGTGAAATTAAGGATATCAATTTATTTAGCTTTATAGAAGGTTCTGTTTGCTTCTCTAACCAATTGAAAATTTGCCATCGCGTGAAAAATATTCGTTATTTAATTAGTGCTAACAGTTAACACTTCATGTAAAAATTAAACTAAATACTAGGGCTATTTTAAAATCGCTTTCAGTGCTGACGGAAATGACGTTTCATAAAATGTCTGTACACCGTGGACTTGAATTCTTAATTTAAAAATTGTGTAGCGATTAATGGCGGCGCGTTTCGAATGCATGTTCGAATTATCATTTCAAAAAATAACCGACAAAAATCCAACATCGATTTTAATTATACGATAAAACACGTTGATCCATACGAAAAATATTGCGTACTCGAATAAAGCCATGCGAAGTGACACGTCGGCTAATCGGACGTGACATCGGGACATCTGCTGTGCAAAAAATATAAAGGCTGTACGGGCTACGCTGGCTATATGGCGATATTGTCATTTTTTGCCATCGAGCCAATTTTTCTGTTAATCATCTCGAGATTTGAAATCTTCTCTATTTTAGTGTCTTTGTGTTGTACACACGCGGCGGGGGTCGTATTTTTGTTGTGATTTTGCAAATATAATCGTTTTGTCCAATTACTTTTTACATAGACTGGGTTAATAGGTACTTTATTTTTCAGAGTATTAACATACTTACACTTTTAACGGTATAAAACGCGAAATGTATTAGTTAAACTTAATTACAAATAATTTTAATTACCTGCGGTTCTACGTTTCCGATACTTTGCAGCAGCCCTGGTCGAGGCATGTATTCACTAAAACATTCGCGTTTTAAACCGTTAAAAGTGTTTATTTGTAGGTACATAGTATTTATGTCAAGTAGTTATTAATTTCATGTACATAAATATATTTACTTAATAGATATACCTACTTTAAATACTGTCTGTAGTTTACGCGAGTTGTACACATTTAAATAAAACACTTTAACGGTTTAAAACGCGATTATTAAACCATTTAATTAACCAATAGAGGCGTTTTAAACCGTTAAAGTATCGCGTTTTAAACCGTTAAAGTGTTTAATTTAAAAGATATACTTTATATTAGAATGATTTCGTTTTTAAGGCTATAGATAACGTTCATATTTTTATTGTCTATGTCTTCTATGGTAATAAAAGTATTAATAGCTTCCAACTTTCCGTACCATTTTTTGCGCAACTTTATTAACTTAGCAATTTATTTGTCAAATAAAACGGTTGTCATCGTAAATTTATGAACTCCACTCAATAATAGACATCGATTTGTATAGACGACAATAACCAGTATAGAAATTATAAGGCCGAAGAATGGTCACTGCAAAGGCCCGACACAATAGACCCGTGTTGAAATACCAAACATATGCTCGAGACCAGGAATTCTGTCGCGAAATTGGATTAAAAGGGACATTGTTAAGAATTTGACCGGCTTATTTGAAGGGCGTCACAATATCGGCAAATTTAATTAAAACTCAACGTGTTTTGACATTTGTCAATTGGACTTTGAGTTGGCAAGGTGATCGACATTTATCTGTACCTAGGCTCAAGATGTACCTTTTATTATAGCTTCATTGTCAAGATGCTCTATACAAGGAGTCTTATTATTAGTTTTATTATAACCAAATAATTCAAACTTATTTTTCCATTGATGGAGAATGTGGTCGTACAATCTTAATAACTTTATGTACCTACTAAGTATACATATAAATATAACCTATAAATAATTACCTAAAAAATATTTAATGGTCTACGGGCAATATTCACGTAGATATACACGATAAGTACCTACTCAATTAATAGATTACATACTTTCACCAGTAAGTAGAACTTGTTATTTTAAAAAGGTCTTATAAATCCTAAGGTCTAATAAATAAACCGCTAGACGATTTCTTTACCAGTTTTGATTTAAAATAACTTATTTTAGGTAAGTACTTACACTAGGAATATTGTCGTTATTGCACACGTTTTCACTCAGCAAACGATCCCTGATCTCCCACGCGAAGATCGAAGGGCACTCTCTCTTGTAATCCGCGATCTTCTGCACCACGGGAGTGGTCGCGACCCGCGGCTTGGACCCGCCAATCGCACGCGGCTTTATCGACCCCGTCTCGTAATACCTGGGTGAAGAAACAGTATGAACTTAGCTTAGGAACGCATGGACCGAAATAACATCGACTCGATCCTAAACGTCCTTATTCTGTAACCGCGGCTCGATAAGAACTCGATAGAATTAAGAATCGGCCGATGTTCGATCGTGACGGTCCATACGTTCCTAGCTTATATTGTTAGTAGGTTTTAGTGTATTTAAGAAATGTTGTCAACCTGTTAGCCAGTGGCTTAGGACACCCGGCTGGAGGTTGATTCGAGCCCATCCCGAAATACCTGATCATAGAAATGTATATTTTAAACGATTTTATGTTCCCAGTGCATACGTCCATGTGTTATGTCTATCCTAAGGGACTTAATTGAAATTGTATAAAATAAACTGAGCTTTCAACAACTGCTATCCACTCGAACAGCATTAGCGCACAATTACCAACATAATCTCAAAACTACCCCCTCACTCGAGTACCTATACAAACACATTCGCAACCAACTTATTTCTGGTTACATTTGGTTAAATTCAAACAAAAATCAATCTTACTTTGCTTGAAATAGGACATTATAATGAAATATTCTTTGAAATCTTATTCTGGTATCGGATGTGCTCGACGGCTATTGTTGCAATCGACATGTGTCGATATTTAGGATGTTGGAGATACAATTGTCGATAAATATTATACGATTTTAAAGATTGTGACTCTCAAGTACGAATTTAAGAATCATATTGTTGCAATATTCTATTTAAGCCCCCTTGCGTAGTGTATCGCTTTAAAATACTGTTGTTAATATCGTCTGTAGTTTACGAGAGTAGGACACATTGGTTTAAACCATTTTTAACGGTTTTAAATACGAAATATATTAGCATGTCTCCGCCGTTTCGGATGCTTATCGTAAATTAAATAGAGATTACTTAATATTCTTAGCGATTTAAAATCGAATGCTAAACTATTAAGATATTTCTTTGGATTATCTTACGAACTGTTTTTACATTTTTTTTCTCAATGTATAGCTAATATACAACGGGTCGTGACTTCGATCCCCACCGGGTCCAAAGTGTTTCTTTCGTGTAGGAATATTGAAATTCCGCCCGGGTCACGAACCACCATTCACAGACAGAAAATGCCGTGAAATTGAATGGTTTCAGTCTGTAGATTTCCGAATATCCAAACCCAAAATTGTTCGACAGCTCATCATGTGCAGATTAAATACTGTCTATACTTTACGCGAGTAGTACACATTTAAATAAAACACTTTAACGGTTTGAAACGCGATATATTAGTTGACCGTTTATGCCGTGACCACGGCTGCTGCAAAGCATCCGAAACGTCGGGCCGAAGTTAAAAATCATTTTCAAATAAGTTTAACTAATATATCGCGTTTCAAACCGATAAAGTGTTTTATTTAAATCATGTGCAGATGTTATATATTATATATGTATATTATATGGGTGGGGTATTTAACCTCCCATTAGGTAAACGCCATGTTTGTCCGTCATCCTCTAACATAAAAAAGTGCATAGACATTTTTCTGAAACACAACGCAACGATGCATACAGAAAAACGCAGACGCGTACGCTAAAAAACCAGGAACCGTTACAATACTGTCATCAATAGAATAAAACGTCAACCCTCAAATAAACACTATCGAATGAAAATCATCGCGTCATCTGTCGATACGTGTTTACTTAGCCATTGTGGAGGACTATTACGAGGTTATTACGTTGAAGAGCGCTGGAGAGTTGCCTGTAGCGATTTGTAATCGTTTTCGCTTCGGGCGATATTTTCAGAATAGGGTCGCGGTGCGTTTCGTAAATGGGCGAGTTTAAGACACAGGTCAGTGACCTTGAAGTTGAGAGGGAAAGTCGAGTTTAAACTATTATATATAATCACTATATTTTTCAAGACTAGCGCTATCAATAAATTTATACAAATGATGCTTTAATTCGCAATTAGTATTTATAAAGCAAGTAACTCTGATACTTGTAGTTTCTTGGAGAATGTTTGAATTTGGATAGAAATACCTAATCGTTAAGGAATTTAGTTGTCTCAACAAAAGAATTTTAACCCATAACCACAGCTGCTGAAAATCACTCGAAAGTAGGTACTTAGTTACATTTATTTATTAACTAAACGAATGAATTGGTTTTATTTTAGCAAATTATTAATTCTTCAATATTAACAAAATTGAGTATATTTAACTACAACATACTTTAAAACGTTATTATATAAACGCGTATTAACTAGTAATGTTAATTTATTTATTTCGATGTTTACATAGATGACCCCGTGACCACGGCTGCTAAAAGCATTCGAAATGTCATTCAAATAAGTCTAGTCTAGTCTAGTATATTTCACTTGTTAAACTGTTAGAGTGTTTTATTTTGAATATTTACATAGGTATTATCGAAACGCAATATTTTCTCTCCTAATTGTTTGTATGCAATTAAAATCATAAATACCTCTAGTGCCCTACAAATAATAGAAATAAGTGTAAGTGGGGGGTCAGATGGGATGAAGATAGGGCGCCCTCGAAAAGACCCGTTTGATCCCCGCTCAAGATTGCGTTTCAAGTGGTCACAACCTATTCAGCTACTGAATTGCGATTTTTTCCCAATTCGTTCACAATATTTGTCCCTTTCGAGACATCGCTAAATGCTTTGAAAACAAGTCCTGTAATTTTTGTAGGAAGTATTTTCGTGTAGGTGTATTATTACACATTTATCAAACGTAAAGCAAAGTAAGGATAATTGAAATTTCGAAGATGTACACGTCAATTTCTTTTTATTTAATAATTCTAAATATGTACGTAAAAGTGTTGTATGTTGATGGTTAAGTTTGTTACACATAGAATAATATTTACATATTGTATACCTACGATAGACTTTCTTTTTGACATATATTAAACTATTTTCATTAAACTGAGAAAATATATGTACAGGTACAGATAGAGGAAAAGGAAAGTCACATTTTTATTACGTACACAGATACGTACTTAAGTTTAAGACCTAGACATGGTACCTCATGATTAGGGTCTAAAAATTTACCGTATCGATTTTTTTTGTTGAATAAAAAGTTTAACCTTTGTTCAATGGAATAAAAAAACTTAAAACTCCATAGAACATTTTCTTTCTCATCCAACTTCTATAAGCAAACAAAATCTGAAATCGAGATCTAGCTATGCTGGCGGGGCACCTTCTTAATTAGGAGTCCCGCTACGCTTGCCTTTTTATAAGCCCTAAGGAGCTACCCTTCCCCTTAATTGGCACGATAAGAATACCAAGGGCGTGTGGGAAAATGCCCTTTGCAGTTGCCGACCGAATGGAAACTCGATTAATTTAGAATTACATCGATGTTACAGTAATCGATTCGGGGTAAGCTGATATTCTGCGTTTGATTTCGATAAAGCCGCAGGAAGGATAAAGACCCAATTTCACCAAGGAATTAAAACTTTGACTAAATTTATCTGACCGATAATCTCTCCGTTAGATTCTCTAGTCTAAGCAAAATTAGGAATTGCCAATCATATCATATACTATTTTTTTAAAGATAGCATTTAAAACAATGTTAACGGTTCAAAACGCGACATGTAATCGAATCCTTATTTGCTTAAATTATTTTGAACTATATATAATTCAACGTGTTATGTTCCATTTATGAACCTTTATTCTTCTCCTGCAGGCCTTTTTTTCTCTATGAACTTTGGAATTAGATAATCACAATATCACGTAGTTTCAAGTCATACCTATGCGCTATTTGCTTGTAGAATCTAGATAGTTCTGCTTTAGTTGCTAACTCACATTATTGAGTAATACTCAAAAGTAACGCCGAAAAGAAGCCCACGTAACAAGTAACAATCTTACTCTATAATTAGATCACTATAATAGGATAAACGAACTTTAATTGGATAAAACTAAGACTGTTTACAAAAAGCTTTCATATCTTGCTCTACGAAATATTAAGGGCGCATTCACACTTGCGCCGCGGGGTCACCAATTACCGCAAAATAATGTTGTATTTTGATTTTGATTTAGGGGCGGTCGTGGGACTGCCCTGAAAGGCACACCCTGTATTAAAAATTCTAGCTCCTTTGATTGAAGTTCTTGCGTTATATTGTTCGTGATTGACTTTTGACGTTTTGTTCGCGTCAATTTTCGTATTGTAGTGATTGTGGATTGTGTTAATGGGAATATTTAACGGGGATATGAGAATTGGTTGCTTAGTGGGGTGTAACAGTGTGTCCTCTGTCGCTGGCGCGGTAACCAACGTTTAAGTTACCATCTTTAAATTCATATAATTATTACAAAGTTGTTGGTTTGTTGAATTTTATAGAATAGTATCGTATAGGATCTAGGAACTAACACTCTCAATAATATATCCATAATTTTCGTATTTATTTTAATACTATCTGTAGTTTACGCAAGTACCTATTTGATGCACATTTAAATAAAACACTGATAACGGTCGCAAACCCAAATATAATAATAAATATATCAAGACACCACGGCCGCTGCAAAGCTTTCGAAACGTCGGGTGGTAATTAACATATTTTGTTCACAAGTTTAAGAAACACATTTCGCGTTTCAAACCGTTAAAATTGATATATTTTTAGTTTAAATGTACAATTGATTTAGTTTTATACGGTAATCTAATCTCCAAATTTCAAAACAATACATTTCTTTCCTATTATTCTATTCTCCATATCGTTTGTACCTCTTGTCTTAGGGGCAAAACGGAGGGTCGAAATCCTTAACGACAAGCGATAAAATCGCAATCAAGCGATCCCCGTCGGAATTAGACTGGACGGCGCCCCACACGGCACCTACTTCCCACTAAGCACACGTCCATTCAACGAAACAAAACTATGGGAATGTTTTGTATTGATTAAGCCAAGAAATCTTGAACTTTGCCCCATTGTTCCGCGTCGCGTGAGTCCGCAGCGGGCGATATGGGAATTCTGTCAATTTACCGAGTCCCAGAATTTGACCTCATCTTAGACAATCGATTATATCGTTGCGCGACAATGGGTTTTGTGTTAATTCATTTATTTCCTCTGTTTAATTGTTATGGGTGCTTGGGATTTTATTAATAGTGCGTAATGGTATTATTATTGGATTAGACTGGTTACTGACTTTCTTTGATTGAACGGCTAACAATACGTTTAGCAAGAATGTAATCTTGGATATTATATTGTTTTATTACAAGAGAGACATAAGATGAATAAAGAAAAAAATTATATAATATCCTAATACTTTGTATTAATTTATTAATTGCCTACTTTACATTTACATCAATAGTGGAATTGTTTTTAAAGCTTTCATAAAAAAACTCAATGTCCTCTATATGGGAACTCAATACAGGGTTGTTTAAAAATAAACTCGAGTTCCGAATCTATACTAATATATAACGACGGAAAAGCTGAAAAGTTTGTTTGTTAGGCGCTAATATCAAGGAAGGCGATAGTCTATAAAACATCGCGCTGTGATCAAAAAGGAGCGAAAAAACAACAGGAAATGTGGCGAAAACGGGGAAAAGCATTAATTTTAGTGGGTTTCCGTTGCGTACAGTGCAACCAACCATTCAAAATACCCAAAAAATAATTATTTCTCTTTACATAATCTAAAAAAAATTCTACGACACTATAAGTGTATCTTTTAATATTGACTTGCAAGAACGACGGGACGCGACCGACGTCGTGGGTAACAACTTCAATTTATAAAAATGAAAAGGAGGTTTGCAAAAACAAATTTGGATACCCAAAATAACTATACTACGCGGATGAAGTCGCTGTCATAGCGCGTCATAGCATTAGAGGTATATACCTTTCTATGCCCAACAATTAATACATTCATAACGAACCTTCCAAGAATCTTGGACACACAGCCATTGGAGACCTGGAGTATCCTGCTGATGTCGCAGGGCCTCGCCCCCGAGTGCGCCAGTTCCACTATCTTCTGCCGCGTGGAGTCAGGTAGCGGTCTGCCGTTAACGTAGACCCCTCCCAGCTGGTTGATGCCGCTGTGCCCAGCTGAAGAACAGCCGAACAGCGCACCACCGCCCATCGCTGCGCTATGCATCAGCTCATCTGTTAAAAAAAGTAGTCAGAAATTAAGATATTACGATGTAAGGGCAATTTTATAAAACATTTTTAACGGTTTAAAACACGAACTACACGAATGTAAATTTAAATTTTTTACGTTCCAACAATTTAAGACTTAAGTACTTATATCGAAACATAGATAACTGGCAAATTTGAAAAATTACTATTTTTCTAAGATAATTTAGTTATTCTGTTCAAATTAACAAACAAACAAGTAGGTAATTTTTCCTATGGCTTTATATTATATACTTACGTATAGCTAGCGATTCCACATAATATTAGGTATATCCACGGACTCATTGGTGTAATGGTTAATAATAAACAGATAATGGATTTGATCCCTGCCGGGTCCAACATTTTTCAAATAGATTTCTAATTTTTCTAAAACTTCGTTCGTCTTCGTCATATTATGAATGGTAGGGAAAACAATATGTCGTCCGTGCCACAAACCACCGTCCACAGATGAAAAAGGTGAAAAGTTTAATCGCGTTTCGGTTACAGTCTGTGGATTTCTGAATAGGTATAGCCAAAATAAGTCGATTGCGCATCTTATTTAAATATTATATGTCTCTACTCCTCTATCAATAATTTAACGTAGAGCATACTATGTGACTATATTATAAATTAAATACATATAAAATGTTTGTTGCTATCAAAATAGTACATAGAGCCTAAGCTCACTTTCAATACGTTTTTGGTCTGTATTCCGCGCCATCCTTTATTTCATATTCTTAAGACGAATGCAATTCTCTCAAGTGGTTACATTGATCGGGATATTTTCGAGTGCTTTCTGTCCTTATTTTTTCGTCTACCTGTATAGCTTCAGGCATGGAGTTAAAAAATTTAACCGGCTGATAAAAAAATAATCCGCTTTGCAAAAATGATGTCTGGCGAAAAGGATTGGAATCTTAAGGAAACCGCAAATTATTATCTAATCTCGAGGGATTCAGCATCCTTTGTGTAGTATGACCGTTATAGCTTGAATGGCGTTTTATAAGTTTTTTAAGAATTTCTTGTTGTTGACGAAGATATAGCCTGCGTTTTTTATTATTTTAATTTATTTCCAAGTAGTATCTTGTTTTTTTATTCACATACTTTATTTTTATTGTTATACCAGTGAAAATTTGTTTGTTATGATAGTTAACTGGGCCACGGAAAACTTAAGAATTCTTACTTATCTATACTAATATTATAAAACTGAAGAGTTTGTTTGTTTGATAGCGCTAATCTCAGAAACTACTGGTTTGAATTGTAAAAAAATTCGAAGAACTTTAGGTAAAACATCACGCTGCGACCAATACCGACAGAATGTCTAAGTTTTAAGATTAGCAAGAACGGTAGGAAATGGACGACGTCATTGGTGACAGTTAAAATTTATAAAGGTACGGTGACGGTTTGCAAAAACAAAATTTGATACCTAAAATAACTATCTACGTACAAACGTTAGTAACTAATAGCTACACTTCACAAAGTAGTTGCTTAATCCTTATAAATTTTAAAAAACTTATCTTATTGCAATATTTAAATGTAAACTACCTTCTTCTTATCTTCTTATCAATAAGCAAATTTCAAATTTCAAGCATGTGGCCAGCAGTTGCGGTCCAAATAACAAACGCCAGCGGATTGTTTCACACCAATACTCTTGAATAGATGAATTACGGATCAGCCATCCGACTGATAATTCCTTTTTTACCCCCTTACATGTCTGGCGGTAAAAAGTGAACAATTGGATGCAATTTGTGGGCGAATTTTGGGGCTGGGTCTTGATTAAACCATGGGTGGGAGTTAGCGTTGAAAGGATCAAAACAATGGGGATTTGTGGTCGCGAAATTACATTTGTAGGATTCAATTCCGGGCACAATGTTCTTTATTATATGATTAGTTAAAAAATAGATTTTCTTTACAATTCAAGAGTGCTTTATCTATACCTATATATGTCAGGAACTACTGGTTGAAAATGAAAAAATAAATGTTGTGTTGGTAAGAACATTTGCTAAGAAAAAGTATAGGCTATGAAACATAGCACTGTGAAAGAAACGGGGAAAATTATTTATCATTGTGCCGACTATGCTGCAAAATCAGTTTAGGTTCCCAGAAATGATTCCTTTTTAAATGAACAAAAAAAATGTCTGGGACATTATATATCTAAATAAACTTGCAGGAACGCGGGGCGCGACTGACGACGTGTGTAGCAAACTTAAATTATTAATTTAAAATTTATAAAGATGAAGAGGAGGTCTGTAAAGGCAAATTTATATGCCCAAAATAACTATTTTACTTTAATACTAAAACATACACGGAGTGAGCGTAAAAGCTTTTTACTCGTATATTTAGGTAGTTTACGAGGAATAAAAACAAATTTTGTATAGGTATAAACCCATTCGTTAAGGAATTGTAGTATTGATTATACAACACAGACTTTAAAGTTATGTGACAATTTAAGCAGCATTTTCATGTGACAGATTTATCATGTAAGAACCGATAAAGACTATATCTTTGCTTAATTCAAGCTTTTTGTTTGGATAAGAACCATTGAAGGTTGTATTCCCAGTTCAATGTCCCCTAACCGATATTAATTATGGCTGCCACCAATTAACAGTGATTTTCGCGCCAAAACTCGTTATAAATAACACCTCTTGGCGTACCTTTCGTCAAACGTCAACGGTTGCCCATGCACTAACAAGCAAACGCCTGTTAAAAGAACAATGGACAATCGTTGGGGTAACTTGGTCTACATAGAGTTCACGTAATAAGCGTAAGCGATTACACAAAAATCAGCGAAATGTTCTTTATCTAGAAATCCTGTACCTGTCTTGTGTTGTATTATCATTAATGCTAAATGCGAAATTATGCGCTAGTAGTAGCTTCGTTTTAGTACTTTTAAAGTTCAGTTGGCCCAAACCAAATTCTCTAACATGGGAATTATTAAAAATGTATAGCATATTTAACAGCTTCAAAAACCAATCGTGGCAAATCCTGGTCTTAAATAACGAGTGACGAGATAAAAAAAACTGAGAACGGATAGTTATAGACTAATTATTGTATTTAATTAAATCAATACATGTAAATGTCATATCATTGGATGTGACAAGATAATTATAAGATCGCGAACAAAGGCTTGTTATAATTGAAATCTTAAGGTCAAATAGTGTTGTTTAACTTTTAATCTTTTGTATAAATAAAATATTTATTCCTTATATTAAAATTTAATTCAACTATGCAACTAAAATTTATGAATTAATTATTATTAGACAACTTTTGCTGAACCGTTCCATTTAACTCCATAAACAGTGAGATTATATAGATCGATGAAAATGATAGAAGTCTTTTAATAATTAGCTTAATAATGAGAGTTTTTGTTTCATAAACAACTGGCATGTAGCTTCTATGCACTTTGCTTGAACTCGCTATCGCTTATAACTTGGACCGCTTCTCAATCGAGTGTCGCGAATGCGCGTGTCGTGAGGGAACATTTTAATTTCAGAGGTGCAATTTATTCGAGCGATTTATTTTTAATCCCCGTTTTTATGGCCGCGACTATAAATTTATGTGTAGTTGTAGTTGATTTTTTATATTAAACTCACAATGGCTGTGTCGTATGAAATTTGTGGCGTACTCTGCTCAGGGTATTGCGCTGAAATTAACGTGGACCACATAAAAGTAACATGTAACATACTAACTTCGGGTAAATAACAAATAACCAAGTTGAAGAATTCCAAAGGTTGGATAAAGTATTATTTTAATTAAGTTAGTCTGTCTTTAATTTGACCTGATACTTATTTTGCCATACAATAATATGTCAATTTAACACATATTTAAATAAAACTCTTTAACGATTTCAAACGCGATATAAAGGTTATTTAAAACTTATTTGAAAATGATTTTTAACTTCGGTCCTACGTTTTACAAATAAATATCGCAAATAATTTAAACCGTTAACTGTATTATTTTGGAATATATTGTTGTTTTTGTTAAAAAGACGTATTTAGTACGATTAAGATGAATATACCTGTAGAATAAAAACACCACTTACCGTTTTAATAAGTTTTCAATAATTTAAATTTTTTTACTTTTGATTGTATTAAAATAAAACACATTAAAGGGTTTAAAAAGCGAAATATATTGGTTAATTTCTAACATTAAATTATGGCGCTATCGTACAAGATTTGACATTAAGGCTCCATTTTAAGTCCAAACGCCGGACCGTACTTAAATTAAATTTTATCGTACATTTCGCGTTTTAAACCGTTAAAATTGTTGTATTTTAATATATTTAAGAAGAAATTCTAAATTTTTGCAAACCTATTAGAACCGATGTTATTGTTTTTATGCGACATACATTAATTTAAAATACCTTTGTTAAAATAAAAAAGGCAGATGTTAACAACATTTTATAACGAAACACAATAACCTTCCGTACGCCTATTTACAGTCTAACATTAAACATTAATCAAATGGTATATATTACATAACGCGTACATAAGGGTCGTCCCTGAGTTTGACATCAGACCAGGTGTCAGCAGCAGACAACCCCCACTTAATACCCTTACTATTATTATTTTGTATCTGTTTTTGAATGATTATCTATGGGGTAAGTTTAATTGTGAAGATAAACGCCATTTTGGATGCGCCGAATCCAGTTCGTGGGGTCGGATTAAATGTTTAATTATGTACGGACTTATTTGCATTAATAATTCACTTTTTATATCCATTTATATTCAGTACAGATAATAATATACGTATCCTTCTCTTAAGGTAACAAACTTTCCAAACTTACGATTTTAAACGCACTTGCAGTTTTAAACACGAAGTAATTTAATTCACTATTTTTTAATTTTAACATAGTCAATAGTTAGTAAAAGACATTATTATTTAAACAAAACGCTTTTAACAGTTTAAAACACAATGTATATTAATTAACTATTTTTAATGTAGTTAATTGTTAGTAAAAGACATTATCATTCAATGAAACGCTTTTAACGGTTTTAAACACGACGTGTACAAATAAAAATTAATAGGTATTTAGAATAGAAAAAATACTTTTAACGGTATTATAAGCGAAGTATATGAGTTATGTTATTCTTAAATATAACGTAGGTAGTTGTATATATACGTTGTTGTTAGTTTTAACTACGTAAAAAGGTATACCTATATACATTTTTCTAAAGAAATCACCTACATCTAACAGTAATAAGTCTAAGCAAATACTTCACAAGGTATAATAGAAGTAAAACACAACAGTAGCGAAACATTATTTTTGTGCAATAAAATATAACATTTTATTGCTGTATGAAGCATAGTCGTTTGTTTCGCCATGACATAATTTATGGCAGATATCGCCAACCACGCCCATTACGGACAAAAAATTCTGACAAATGGTAAGCAGACACTTTAAGTTGACACATTTTTGTCTAAAAGGTTTGTGATGTATGACTTTTTGACTATTGAACTACGGCACTATAAATGCGCGAAATTTAAATCTATAGTTTTGATGTACGAGTTTATTTATTAATGGTATTTACTAAAATGGATTGTTTGTAGTTTAGTTTAGATAACATTAAATGGAAGACGTTTAACGGTTTAAAACTTACTAAAAAATAGGAGGTATATCGTGTATAAAAGATTTTCAAATAACTTTATAGTCTTTGTATTTACTTTATAATGTTATCGCCACTATGGCACAATGGTTAAGTGCATTACCTACTTGCGAAAGGTCCAGGATTGGAAACTCGGAAAAGAAAACTTTCGGAAATATCGAAAATTATACCATCTATTTTGGAGCAGTATAACCCAAAATGTTTACGACTGCACCCAAACATTAGGCTCGTTGTTTTCATGTTAGCAATGATTGGTAACAACCAATGGGCCACCGGTTCGATTTCTGGGCTAGCATGTTTGTAAATCATATACCTTCCTATTTTTCTAAACATGTTATTCATATGTAGTAGAAATATCGATAGGTAAAACGACCATCGTTTATGGACAAAAAAAACGTGCGTTTACACAATTCAATTTGGATTTTAGAATGAAAGTCAATAAAAGTCGACAGTGCATTTTACCCTGAATCTTAAGAAATTTCGCTCCCCATGAAATACACTGCAAACAGATCTTACCTCGTAAAAAATCAACAAATAAAGCACTTTAAGAATGTATTTACCTGTCTAAGTTTAAAATATAGTTTTTTTACCGTTAATCTTTTAATGCCCTTTGGAGACATGCGTAAAAAGATTAAAACTTCGATTTTTTAAGAATTACTATAACTGTATGTAGATTATCATCTCCAAACATTAATCTTCATTTTAATCTGGACTCTTGGTTATTTTTAACGGGTTTACATACGAAAAGATTCATTTTGCTGTTTGTCCAAAATCTGTAGGTTTGTTTGCTTAAACACCCTAATCTCAGCAACTACTGGTTTGATTTGAAAAAAATTATGAACTTACTGAGCTTACGTGATGCCCAAAATAACTATCCCACGCGGACGAATTCGCGGGCACAGCCAGTACTTCATAATATTTTATCAAACCGAGATTGAACAGTGAACGAACTGTGATCGACTTTATAGTAAGTCGGCCCTTACCCGTCCAAGTTATGAGCAACAACTTGGAGTTTATAACCCACCATCACTTCATGTATACAGTAGGTACCTACTTTAAACAACGACAACTTTAACGAAACGTATAAACTGTACATACATATTTAAATTTAAGTAGACATTCAATGCGCAGACAATTTCAAAGCTACACGTGAGCTAGACTGGTGGACAGTACTTAATCATTAAAATAACTTGGCGTAACAAAGAATGCGCTGTTTATCTCCCTCTTACCCGTGATTTTCCGCTCTATTTGTCTCTATCTAGAGTTAATGTGACGCGAATGTCGCATGTTCCGTTTGGCTGGCTGTTGAATAATTGCATTTCGTTTCTCAATACGAAAACTGTTAACGTCCATTTTTCATTTCGCAGTGAAGATGTTTAGCTATGATTATTAATTCCTATTTGTTTTGATTTTATTATATATACGTACAGATTTTAAAGATTTTGTATTCCTATGAGAGTTGTGACTACCTTTTCAGTGGTAATAGAGGTGGAAAAAATATATTTTTTTTTTTTTTTGAATTAAAAGTTGTAATTTATAAATCGAAAATAAATTGAAAAAATTTTCGACTCGGGCAGGTCTTGAACCGCCATCGTCAGCGTTCCGTGCTGTTGATGTGAGAGCAATTTATTTTCGATTTTTAAATTATATAGTGCCTTCATGTGCAATAACATGACGTGAAAAATATTAAAGATTTCAAACATTAAAAATTGTAATGTTTTACTGTCTGTCCTTGGGTAGTAAATTTTATTAGAATTAATTACGTATATGACATATTTTTTAGTATTAAACCTATGTGTGTGCAATAATTTTAATTGGAAACATTTAATGAAATACACAAGGTAAATAATATTTTCATTTCCAAATCGAAACATATAGTGAATAAAGGTAGGTAGGGACCTACCTACGAAGAATGCCCAGTTCATTGAAATTTAAACATCCAGCAGTCGTAAAACCAGCGATCATTTAGTGATAATCCCGTTTCCCCACTTGGGGCATGAGGCGAACACAATTTCTGTGTCCGTCAAACAGATCGGTTTCATTTACAGGCAAGTACCTACCTACCTAGTTGATCATACTTCTGTGCACTGTTCAAAATAACTATTGTTTCCCTGGAATTGGAACATAGGACGTTTCAAGACTGACGCAATGCTAGTTTAGTTTGTCTGTTAGAACTTTCCTCAAGACCTACTGATTCGAAGTCTTTTGTTGATTAGAGTATCAATAAAAAAAGGTTTGGAAAAACTAATATTGATGTCCAAGATAACTATTCTACGCGGACGCAATCACGAGCCTATCTTATATAACTATTTTCATACTATTAAATGAAAGATGTTTTCAGTAACCATAGCAACGCCACACGTCAAAGTTTCCCTGTCACAGCAGGACAACGCTTCTTCGTGCTATGAAACTAACTAAATTAAACTAGTCGAAGAAGCCGGAGTCTAATAAAAGGCCATAAAGTGACCACTAAACTATGTACTAATAGGTCTTGAGAGTTGCGCTGACTTGATAACTATTGTCAAGTTGGGAGCTAACTTCTTGTCTTGTTACCAACTTGAGAGCGCTTTACATTTGGTCCTTGGTCTTGGGTAATTATAATTGCATTTTTGTATGTTATTAACGTAGATACGGAGTTATTTTTTATAGAGGAGAACAGACAAGCACGGTTGACGGTACCTCACTTGACGGTAGGGAATGAAATACCCCAGCCAAATAACGTCTAAACGATGCGCTGTCGACTTATTTAGGGTTTGGATAGTCGGAAACTGAAACGCGATTAAACTTGACGACTTCATCTGTGGACTACTTCGTTATCTGGACGGAATTTTGATATTCTTACTACCGATTTGATATCCAGATTTCCAAACGAAGTCTAACATGTTTCAGAAAAATTATAAATTGAATAGAAACATGTTGACCAAGCAGTGGTCGAACCCAGGACCCTTGTTGTTGATTATTAGCCATACTTTCCTACATTTACGCCAAAACATTACTATTTACGATTTGCGAAAATTGTTTAAAAATACAATATTTTAAAAGTTTGGTGCTTTTAAATAAACCTTTTTCTACTATATTTTATAATAACAATAAATACTGTCTTAGTTTACCGAGTAGTCATTCGAATAAAACACTTTAACGATTTAAAACGCGATATTATAGTTACAACTAATATATCGCGTTTTAAACCGTTTAAGTGTTTCATTCAAATAACAATAAAATAGTATGGAACATGGCATAAAGACTTCGTCAGTAATAAACATGTGTTTAACATTGAACCTTTTTGATCTGCTATGAAGACTTAAATCAGTAGTAAGAAGCGTCACAAAGAAAATAAACAAAAGTGTTCACTTACCTTTATGTGGCATTTTCCAAAAAGCTTCGGCCGCCGTGGTGGGTTCCCGCGGCGGCGCCACCAGTCCACCCACCAGCGTGGCGGCGTGCGCGGGCGCCGGCGCCGCACGCCCCCAGCCCCCGTGGAGAGCCACGCCGCTGCCGTGCCACGGAAACACCACACCGACACCCCTATCGCACACCCCTATCTTGCCTGACTCACAGCCCTAACTCTCTAGCCCAAACGCTAACTCTATACACCCCTGAACAGCTTGAGCACTACGTCATCAAACCCCTAAAGCTAAAATGACTAGAATCCGTAATATTATGATGGTTTCCTGTTCCCTGCGCCGTGACCTGCAAAGAAAGATTACATTATTGACCTCAAGACAATCGCATCATCAATTACAATCAAGCCTTTTGATATTTGTGTGTCTCTTTCTGGCGGTTCGCTAGTGAAAGGGAGAACGCTAATTGGTAGATGACACGCGGATTGTGTAGAACGCCATCTATTGTTGCATAGTAGGAATAGTTATAGCGTTCGTGAGCGGATAATGATCGATGGTTTAATGAAGTTAGATGGCAGATAGTGGTACCACCCAGATTGTAGCAACTGAACGGTAGTCCGTACGTCAATGTGTCGGGATGTTTGAATTTTTTATTTGAATGTTGGGGTCATTGCGGTCGATTGTGTATGTCGGTGAGCGCCGGTACTAAATTTAACTGTACTACTCAATAAGAAAAGCAACATTTAAAACTATGTTTGCGTTTTTCATTTTTCGATATTACTTTTCACTACTTCTCACGAAGATTACCCTAGGTACTAGGTCTATCTAGAGTCTAGATAATTTAGTCTATAATTCTACTATAAAAAGGTAAAAGAAAATGTAGCTAAGTGAATACAATTCAATCCTATACAAAAACCTTATTGAGTTACTGTAAGAACAGAGATGTATCTTGAAAATTTGTATTCTTTATTTTTTTTAGACTTGCTATCCTGTTTTATACTCTTTCTTTCATAAATTCGTTAATATCTACATATCATGGCGTTATATAAATTAAAAATCGTTTTAGATTCAAAAATAAAGTGCGGGACTCGAACCGGCATCCACAGCGTTGCGTGCTGCTGCTCTAAGCTACTTTGTTATACTTTACATCACTATTACTTTCTTCCACTTCCAAAATAAATCGATATGCATATAAATATTATGCCAAAAACACAACACCTAACCGATAAGTCAACCTCTCCCTTTGACGAGCCAAACCCCACGAGACAGTATTATACGTAAGTTATCGAAAGTAACAGGTACTCAAATAAAACGTATTTGATCTTTTCAAGTTGCCAATCGAACGACTTTGATATACATTTCCTTTTTGAAAAATGTCACAATAGCCTAAGAGCTGGGGTCGTGCCTTTGAGCCTAGTCAAAGAGAGGGGACTAGCTAAAGGGATAGAGATCTTGACCAATTAATCGATTGTAATGTCATGTGTACATATAAACTTTTTTGGAGTCTGTCTGGATATTTGTTTTATTAGACTTTTATCCCTATATATATGGTGCTATTTATGGCAAAGGACTACGTCCTCAATCTGTACCACTGACGTCACGTCTCGGCCATCTCAAATATGATGCATCACTATCTCTCGCGGTATCAGCCGCGATCGCCGGCCTCTTTGTATCTTATCTGTATGAGATCCAGTTACCGGACCAAACTCGTTTCTAATTAATATAATTAGCCGGCCACAGAGCTAATACCGGTTAGACTCGGCCCGCAAATGCTTAATAAATTTTACTATGATTGACAACTATTATTGTAACTATATTTTGTGTAAAACACTTGAACTCATTTTTATGATACCGAAGGATAGTCAAGAAACGAATATATTTTGCGTTTAAACCCGTTGAAAGTGTTTCATAGATACTGATAAAATAACAGCAAACAAGTACATAACTTGTTGTGATAGAGGAGCACAGACAAGATGGGACGTAGCATCTAAACAGGATGCTCTGTCGGCCTATTTTAGCTTTGAATATTCCGAATACTCAAAGACAGAAACCAAAACGCGATTAAACTTTGATCTGTGGAGGGTGTAAAGTAAATTAAAATAGTAACTAAAATATAATTCGTATTAAATCGTTAACAGTGTTTTATTTGAACTCATGCGTATTTGCTTTTTGTTAACAATTACTGTCAACTAAAACCACCATCCACCATCCCTTACAGTTTTAAATTTCCAATTGGTTTGTAGAGTTAACACTCGAGTCAGTATGGCGCGGTAAGTTATCGGGAAACTGTTTTTCAACATCCACGTACTTCACTTTTTGTTTGCGTGTTTGTAGTTAGCTGAGCCGCTTATTGAAACCGTTTTTCTATTTGAAAATAAGCACTGTGTAAAACTGTTTTCGAATAACTTACGCATTGATTCTTAAACGTCTATACATTTGGAACCAACTAATATCAATTACAACCCTTTTATTTATAATGTTATTAAAGGTTATTGAGGAAAAGCGCAAAAGACGGAACTGTTGGGAGTCAAGGATACCATTGGTACCAGCTTATCACATGCACGTTAGAGGAAAAGCGAAAAGACAGAACTGGGTGGAAGCGAATAGACGAGAATTTTACTGCAGAACGCGGACCTTCAATAACCTCATAATAATATAAAGAAATTTTAAAATACCTATGTAACTTAATTAAAACAGCTTTTTTTCATTTTGTAATAGCTTATTACGAGATTCATAATTTGAATTTTTGCCTCGCCCGTCTACAACTTTGTAACTCTATGCCGGTATTTAACGTGAATTTTACAGCGCGTCATGTACACTTCATTTTCTGCATAATATGGGGCAATGGCGCTACAAATAAACGTTAAATAGTGAACAGCGAGAATCGAATTAAAAAGTTTAAAAAGAAAACTCGTAAGATCCCGAAGCGAATTTCACCGAAGACGGCGTGTCTGGCGTGTTCCGCTTGGCACACCTCATTAGTTCCCACTTTGATTCCCTATCCGGCCGCAGGTGGCGCTAATGCCTCGCTCTTTAGTCAAACGGATAGATTCTGTAATCGAATCCCTGAATAGTTTATCTTTTAAATCTGCGAACTCTTTTCTTTTTAACTTTGACTTTTTGCGTTGCTTTCTACTGTAAATACAGGAGTTTATGGCGACAAATAGTTTTAATGTTGCAAATACTTGTTTTGTTTTTAATCTCAGGATTTTTTATTGAGCATATTTTAAGGCAAATAGCTTAGCAATTCATATGTAGCTTTTCTTTATATTATTATTATTTTCCTTCTGCACACCAATAGATCATTCTTTTCTTTCAATCAATTCTCTTTTCCTAATATGCAGAGATTTTTTGGTTATTCAGTCACTGCGTCATTTTCAAACCATCTGGTTTCTTCTTCGTTTGTGTTCTTCATAGTAACAAGACACATGTTTAGACTTGATTGTAAAATAGCTAAATTGACAGTACCTTCTATCTTCCTAGTAAAACTCGCATGCACTTAATTATAACGAGTGCCTGTAAAACATTAATTAGGGTGATGATACAAATTGTTCTCTGCGGGCCTATTGCTTTGTCGCCGACGAACTACATTTTGTTATATTCAAAAAGCCATCAAAGTACAGCGACACACGTGCGTCACAAAACATGTACCTAACTCGAGTGCTCTTACGCTTAAGTTGCAAACGTCAAAGCATCTTCCTTTTCACTGGGTTTTTTAAAAAATATAAAAACAGAAAAAGGGCGCTTTCACATGTACCGGGTCTATACATAATTAACAGTGATGTGGCTGCGTTTTCACCGCTTACGTTCTTTGAATTGTCAAGTGTCATAATGTTCGTTTGATGTTTTTAGCTTTATGTGTACGAAATCGTTTTATGTTTCTGTCTGCGTACTTTGTTAACGGAATTAACTTGATTATGTACGCGGTGCTGTTTTGTGTTTTGTCATCAGAAACGTTGCTTTGACTAATTGTCGCGTCACCACTAGTTTGGGGTATACAAGGCGGGCACAAACGGAATAAAGCATGATGTTCTTGTTCGTACATTCTGCCGCTTTCGGTCTTAGTATTTCGTGAAAAAAGTCATACCTGTATTGGTTAACTCTAGCATTATTTCAGTATTATAATCACCAATATTGTAAATAACTTCAGTAAGTTTTTTCAGCAGTACTGAAATTGTATAAAAAAAAACAGATAACTAAATTAAATAAATATATCTATGATAAATAAATGCATACGATTCTAAAGCCTAAGAAGAGAATCGAAATCAAAGAGAGATTATATATTATATTTTTAGTAATGTATTTTCAGTAACACTTATGAAGTTGAAACACTTTCATGTATTAAAACATTAAAAATGAAATCTCGTTTTTCCCTGTGGGGCATGGGGTATTTATGTGTCCGTTAATCGATTTATTTCAAGGCAAGTAGGTAATCAGACTTCTGTGCCCTGCCCGTCCGAAACAGTCTATTTTGTCCCCGGGATCCCGACTTTCTGCACCTAACGCATTGCATTACATTTAATATTTAACTACAAAAGCGGTATTAAAACTTAGTTTAGTTATCACTAAATATTGTTTGAAATAAAAACTTTATCCTACAAAAATGTGGATTATAAAATCTCTTTGACGCAACTCTAAAAACTAATCTTAATATTCACTCGCAAGAGCTATAGGTCAATCCTTTCAAAATGAATTGTTAGTTTGAATTCCATACTCAAACAACTTTGTCTTTTCGGCTTGTCTGTGTTTATCTAACAAAAAACGGCACCCGATTTGTTATTATCTTGACACTGATAGCAAAAAAGATCGGAATTTGTACTTAGAACACACTTAAGCATTAACCTCTAGTCTATAGATCGAAGGTTAATGTTAAAATTTAATATTAATATAACTTAGTACTGTCTATAGTTTACGCGAGTAGTACACGGATGCTTTGCAGCAGCCGTGGTCACGGGGAGACACGGCTGCTGCAAAGCATCCGAAACGTCGGGCCGAAGTTAAAAATCATTTTTAAATAAGTTTAACTAATATATCGCGTTTTAAACCGTTAAAGTGTTTTATTTAAATAACTTAGTATGCCGACGATATTGTCGTAATAAAAAAGCTATTAATTTGTATTAGGTACTGCGTTTTACTAAGCATTTTTTAAGAATCCGTTTATTAATTAAAATCACAATTTGTAAACAATTTGTCGTAGATAACAAATATGCCTTCACAATATTTTACACGAGTCTAGAATTCTACATTGGAAGCCAAATATGTTTATTTGCTATCCGTACAACCCATTACAGTATTTTGAGACTGTCGGTAGAGAAATCAATCAGTCTTTGTGATCGGTTCAATGCAGATCTTCGCCTCCAACTTTACAGACTATAAAAACTAATAATGACGACTAATGATACTATACACTTGTATGTTTGTTCCTTTTTTATGAAGAGCTACTAATGACCTTACAAACAGAAGCCCGCTTCGGGGGTCATCGCTTTTGGGCCTTAGAAAAACGTTCGATACATCCTCCGCCTTGGTTTTGAAACTTTAACTTAGCCACACGTTAGACTAATTTTTTGTTCACTGTTATTTTTTTTTAATAAAACACTTTAACGGTATAAAAAGCCATGTATATTAGTTAAACTTATTTGGATATTATTTTAACTGCAACCCAACGTTTCTGATACTTTGTAGCCGTTAAAATAATAGCGTAAGTAGTTAACATAATTTCCAAATACGTTTAACTAATATACATCGCGTTTTAAACCGTTAAAGTGTCTTATTTAAATGCGTAGGTACTACTCGCGTAAACTACAGACACTGTTAGATATATTAATAGAGTTTAAGATGAGTGTAAAACATTTATTTATTAAATGAATTATATATATTCTCTATTTAACAAACAAACGTCATTGATGTTAAATTAAGTTTTTAAATAAGCAAGACATTTAATAGTCCTGTTTCTGGTTAAGAAATATTTTCGGACGGATAATATGTAATTAAATTTAGTGTACAGATTTAGGCGTTAAGTTTTATATTACTCTATAATAAAACGATGTCTGTTTACTGTAAAAAAACTTTACTGTCGTCGGTCTCTAGTTATAAGTCTTATGTCAGTAATATAGTCTATGCATAGACGTTTGATTAACTACAGTGTATATTCGCGGCTAAATCAAATGACGTATCCTTATTTCCAATTAAAACATGACACCTTTAAACGGATCGAAACTTATCGGTTACCCAAATTACCGGCTAAAAAACGAAAATAATTGCCAGCAACATCGAAACCTTTTTAACAGTAAAAAGGTAGTATCTTAATCCTTAAGCCTTCATCGAGGATACAGAGAGGTGTTATTTGTCCATCAGGGATTACTTTTTTATCGGGCGCAGGTTCCGTAACACTGGAGGCGATAATATTAACTTTTAAGACGATTACGAAATATGAGATTCGAGTTTATAAACTGTTTATTGACTTAAAATATCGAAAAAAACAATATTATGATCTAAAAACGTGAATCAAATAGGAAAAACAATATTTCAGCATAAATAACATAATAACTTCGTTAAATTTGTTATAAAGTAACGAAAATTAAAACAGCAGGGCCACGAAACAGAAGTGGGCCACGAATCCACGACACGCTGTTGGTCTACAAAATAAGGTAACGTCCAGCGCGAGTCATATTTTTTTGTAGCCTAAATAGGTTGTATATAAATGTAGGGTAGAAAACAGCATAATTTATTTCTTTAGGAAACTAAACAACGCAACGCAATTAGTAAGTAAAAGTAATATATTATTTTCTTATAGTTTTTACACTCTAAAAGTATGTATATACTCAGAGGGAGTAACTTTTACTAATAAAAGATACTATATATTGTAAAGGTGTTGTAAATAAATGCTGTAATCGATATTACAAAGAAATACTGATCTAACTACTTGAAATATTATTTTAAAAAACTAAATAAATTTTACAATAGTTCTTCTCTACGCTCTTCCTAAAAATGCTTTTCTTTAAAACTCAAAACGCGCCGTAGAGAAAGAACTCATAATTTACTCTACAAAAGGTAGCGCGTTTTCTACACTGAATCGATTATCGAGAATGTTTTTTTTTCAACAAATTTCGAACCCGTGTAATGACAGCATGTGAGAATTTGTATCAATGGCTATGTCTCTATTGTCGCTAAAATGTGTCGTTTAGAAAAAAAACGTCCACCTCTCCCCGGGAGACGTATAATGTTCTGTCAACACGGTTTTGAAGTGTAAATAATATAAGAGTCGGTACTTTTACGATCACCTTGTCGGCGACATCAATTGACGGTAGAATTTATTGATTCTCGCTCAATGACACGGTGGAAAAAATATCTGCAAGTGTCAATTGTGAATGGATAGTAGAAGTCACTTGTGTTAAACGATAACGACTACATCTACTCGTTTGTCAATAATGTTTTATGAGTTAATACAATTTTAACGGCTTAAAACGCAATTTATATTTGTTTTAATTTTTATTATTAAAAAAAAAGGAATAATACATAATTTTGATAATTAATAAATATATTGAAGGCGTTTTATTTGATTACCTATAGTCGTATACGGAAAACGCAACGTATTTAGTAAAAAGAGAGTTACATCATTTCTAATAAATAATAAGACGGAAGAGTTATATTTTTGTTTTGTTTAAAATATAAAAGGGTTTTCTATTAAAATTTCATAAATCAAGCGAGTAAAATATCTTAGAAAAAACAATTACTCCAAACAGACAGAATTTGTAACAGATATCCGTTATAATTATGATGACCATATCATCAGTAACGAAAATGTTTTTCCTAATTAAAGTCCAGTAGAAGTCTAGCATTTAAATAAGAAACCTATTCTACAACTCGCTATTAATGTCTATGGACAAAAGTATTTAAAGTAGACACGGTCCCAATTGTGTATACAGAGTATCGTTTACCGCAAAATAATTTACAATTCAACTTGAGATCTCCATTTGTTATCGACACTGCCGTTTCACAAAAGACTCAATTCTGTAACGTTCGGCGCCTTCAAAGGTCTTCGAATCCCTAGAGTTAGGTGTAAAAAATCTTTGCTAATAAATATAAAGATGATGTAATTTTTTTAAATTAAGGAAACATAAAAAATATATAAAGATACTCATTATCTGTGGTTTACACAATAGATAAAATAATTAGAACGGTTTTAAAAGCGATATAAGTTGATTTATTTGAACTACAGTCCGAGGTTTACAGGAGCCGTGGTCTTTGATGAAAAAGTTCAAAAAACCTAGTACTGCGGAGAACGTTTGTCCTAACCATTTTAATATTTTTTAAATCCCAATAAAACATCTACACAGTATAGGTTTGAAAGGTAATTTAGCCTAAATAACATTATTCTAATAATAATATTTAAAGAGATTACTATTAACTTTTCAATAATTATATAGATAAATCAGAAACGACTAGATAACATAAGACATCTATGAATTATAAAAAGACCCATCTTCATTTTTAAAGTTGGCTCACAATGTGCTCATCACATTTTAAAAATTCACAAACTTACAAAAAAATTACCAACTGCAAATGTTTACAATTACAAATTGTTACACAAAAGAAATTAAATAGATTTAGCCGATGTTGTTAAAATGGGATCCTGTTTGTAAAATATCAAATTGCAATAATAGGGTCAATTACTAACTCAAAACAGGTAGAAGGGCCTTACATGAAATACGTTAAAAAGCGTATTTCTTTACATCTGAATTTGACTTTATTTTATATGAATAAAGTACTTTATAAATAATATTTTTTAAAGTAAATTCGTTACATAATTTATGAAATAAAGATAGAAAATGTATTATTGGCATTAGGTGGCGGTTCTATTTTCCTAGATGGTTTTAATACATTAAAATAAAATTGTATTTAATATTTTTAATTTTTTATGACGGTCTATTTATATTCTTTAAATCTAATAATCAATAACACTCATATTTAAAGCTATACCTAGGTACATTTATTTTGTTTTGGAGTACTTCGCTCTATGACAGTAACCTATGTAAATAAAAATAAAATATATATTAATAATAATTGTAAATAATTATTGTATTATAATTGAAGTAGTTACATAAGTTAGTTAACAGTATTTTTAATTATTGTGTCTCATAGAACATAAAAGACTTTTTATATCATACGAGTTACTACCTATTAAAAATAAAATGCGAAGCATGGCCTAGGTCTATGCTTGCCTTACTGATATTTATGTGTCTAACAAATATTTCCAGAAACATCTCTAGTATCCTATCACTTACTGGGTTACCGTGGTATCACGAAAAGATCTCAGAAGCAGTAGAACAGTGACCTACCTAAAGCGGCGTCGGTAACACAAACAGTCCACTCAAAGCACAAACAAGCACAGTTCAAAATCAATGCGCGTAATCAACCGTGGGTCTATTCTTTAATTCGAGTTTCTAAACCGTTGGCCAGCGTAGCGCGAATTATCGAATGCTCAATATTGAGGGTGCGTTTGGAGGCTGCGAACCGTTCGCGATGTCACGGCTCGCTTACGACTGGCCGAGCCATCTGATTTCAAGTCAGCCGTGTGAGCAGCGAGGGGCGGGGCCCGCGCGGGCCGTGTACGTGCACGCAGGGTGGGTTCGCACACAGGCGCACGCACGCGCACAGGCGCAGCGTCTGCGTGCTGTGATTTTGTTCGAATTTTGATTTCAAGTTTTCGAATATCGAAGTTCATTTGGAGGTAGGCGATATTTGGATATTTGGCGGGCCCTCGCGTTTTTTGCTTTGGCACGTACGTTTCTTCGTGTTCGCGATGGATTTTCGGTGTTGACGGTGCCTTAACAGTTTCAAGGGTGGACAACAAAAATGAGATAAAAATAGAGATTTTACTTATATCATACTTTTTCGACCAATGCCCCCCCTCTGTTATTTGAAATGTCGTAACGTAATAGTGAGTAGGTACTTAAATGGTTCTCTAAGTAAAAAGTGTCGTAATCAGCGTCCATTAAAATTTATTTCTATACATACTAGATATTATTTATTCACGTCAGAAGCCCTTAGAGGCATGTAAAATAATTTAAAATAGGCTAGAATGCTATCATATAAAACTCGACAGACGTGTAAGTCGTGTAAACTTATAAAGTATAAAATTAAGGCGTATGTTTTGACCTGAGCCGTGGCTCGTAAAATGCGGTTAGCAACTTTATAGTTCCGCCCTAAACTTGACGACTTTGGGCGGAATGGCTAACGTTAAACATTCGCTCGCTAAGCAGGAAAGATCTTAAAACTTTATAACAACTAGTATTTCACGTGGAGCTCGTTTTTTATGTCATTTCAGTGCGCATGAGGTTAAATGCGAAAAAGTTTAATTGGGTAATAAGCTTCCAGACAATTTGATCGCGTTTCGCTATTGAGAATAATATCAGCTTATATAATGGATTCTATATATTATCTACGCTACTACGCGCATATGAAAATATATAGTAATCATTTGTTTTTACCTATTAATATAAAAAATATGCATCATATAATTGTGTGCCCTAATGCAAGATTAACATGTTTTACTCATTATCATAAGCACACAAGGCTGTAAAGAAGTTTGCACATAAAACGGTAACACCTCAAACTAGGACTCTATGAGAAGAAGAGTATCAGAGATCACCAGGCAGGCAGGAAACTTAAATTACAGTAAAGATAACCATAATTTTAATTGGGAGTAATTGTGAGTCTTTAGTTTACCTATGTGAATAAATGACATCAATCTACCCGCATACACCTCGTCTTAGTTACTTAGCAATTACAGTACCACCTTAGAAGTAGTCCAGTCACTACACCTACATTAATGTATAAGTACCATTAAGTAGATACCCAAATGATCACAATACAATAAGACAGTTTTTTCATGGACAGGTCACGAGTTCGATTCCCACCGGGTCCGAGATGTTTCTAATTAATTTACAATTGTTCTGAAACATGTTTTACGTGGTAAGAATATAGAAATTCTGTTCAGATGAAAAGCCGTGAAGTTTAATCGTGTTTCAATAGCAGTCTCTGGATTTCCCAATATCCGAAGCCAAAAGGTCGACAGCATATCTGGTTTCAGTATGGCCGAGATATCTAGCTTCAAGTGAACCTCGCGCTTGTGTGTCCTCCTCATAAAAAAAGTTCTGCATGCAATTAATTCATTTTACGCCTGTCGCTGCGATTTGGAAGAATCAACAATAAAAAACGCCACGCGGCGAACGGCGTGCGTGGCTAAGCGTGCAAACGTTAGCCCTAATTCATATAGATCTAATTTCACGCTCGCTCTTACTTATTGTGAGATACAGTGGTAGCGTGACAACGATTCGTCGGGCCTGGTCGGATTGAGACATCATTGCTTCCCCCCTTTTGTATTCTTATAGCTGTAGCAAAGTAGAACAGTTACATACACTATCTGCAGTTTACGCGAGTAGTTCTCAAATAAAACACTTTTAACGGTTTAAAACGCGGAGTGTACGCAACTTTACAAATTAATTTAACTATGGCCCGACGTTTCGAATGTTTTGCAGCAACGGTCACGAGACTAAAGATGCGAGTCTCTAATCGAAAGTAGAGCCGTAGTTAAAGTAATAAACAGTCTGCGTTTTAAACGGTTAAATGAGTTTTGTTAAACTCAATAACCGCGATCGATGTTTGTATGGTTGGACAGGTGAATATTATTAATACTATGTATTTTAGACTATAGCAGTGATAAGGGATTTTCAAAGCTAAGCAAAATGTTTTAAACAAATTGAAAATATTTCACTGTAGGCACATGTTTTGATAGTGAAAAAACAATTTGGACATTACTTAAAACCCAATGTAAATACGAGAGTAAAATATTGGGCGATATTCACGTATTCGAAGCATTTGTTTCTTATTAGTATTCATTAATTTATTTTTGATTTTATTTTGAGTAAAAGCTGTCCGTTTCCAAAACCTAGACCTAATGAAACGTGGGGCTCCAGTTAAAACGAGTTAGCTAATATATTTAGGTTTTTGAACCGTTAAAAGTGTTTATAATGTGTCAATGAACCAATAAAATTTATACAAAATAATCATTCCCGACAATAAAATCAACAAGGTCAAATACGGTTTTCAAATTTCGCAACAATAAAGCCCGACTTAAATTAATTCACCCGAACGATTTTCACGAAAAAAAACACAGAGCCATATAGAAAGTGTTTGTGCAAGAACAATACTGTATACCGCAGCGGGTATTCGCGATTTTTCTATGTTTTTTTGTTTGCACTTACCTATGACGTGACTGAATAGCGATCCTTAGTTTACGGATGGCTAGATTCATTCTTCAGCCTATACGTAAGGGATTGTTCTTACGTTGTTACATTGCATATGGTGCCTTTGTGCAAAGATTAGCGATCTCGCTTTTTATTTTAAAATCCATTACAGTTGTTTATAGGCTACCTATGGCACGTTTAAAAAAGTAGTAACAGACAAATAACTTTTATGATCTAAAAAAATAAATATATTTTTTTTATTATTGTTTTTTTATTGCTAGATAAATAAATAAAAGTAAGTACGGTTTTTAAGTATTGCTAACTGAATTAAGTTAAAAGTAAAGTTGTTTTAAATACTGCCTATAGTTTACGCGAGTAGTACACATTTAAATAAAACACTTTAACGGTTTAAAACGCGATATATTTTAGTTAGCTTGTTTGAAAACTATTTTTAACTTCGGCAAAGCATCCGAAACGTCGGGCCGAAGTTAAAAATCATTTTAAAATAAATTTAACTAATATATCGCGTTTTAAACCGTTAAAGTGTTTTATTAAAAAAAGTTGTTTTAATATACATACATTTCTGACACGGACGAGACACGAACTGATGACCTACAGTTCACCGTTCTTTGCCTTACCAACTATTTTTTTTTGCTGTTTAATTATTACCTTATTTAAATTAAATATCTAATATAATTATACTATCTAATATTATCTTATTAATATATAGAAATGATAATATTTCCACTTTCGTTATTATACTATAAATCCAACACAAAGAAAGCTAATTTTTAAAAATCGAAAATAAATTGAAAAACTTTTCGACTCGGGCAGGACTTGAACCGGCATCGTTAACCTTTCGTGCTGTTGCTCTACCAATTGAGCTACCGAGTGCTACACCTCATCGTAGAATTTTTTCAACTTATTTATACGTGCACCTCTCGCTTCAAGTCCTGCCTGAGTCGAAAATTTTTCAATTTATTTTCGATTTTTAAATTGTATAGTGCCTTCATGTGCAATATGTAAAAATTAATAAAGTTTTCAAAGCTATTTTTTTTATGTCTTTATAGATAAGCGTAGGTTTCACTCCATTAAAGCTGACAAAATTCCAACCATATTACATCTGATCTAATGCGTAGTCGACTTATTTTAGTTTTAGATATTCGTCAATACACCTTCTGAAACGAAATTGAAACTATATTACCTAGATCAGAAAAATGTTAAGCCAAGTGGGGATCAAATCTACGACCCATTGATTATTGGCAATACATTGCTATGATTAGAACCGCCAGTCTGAAGTTACAGCATTTTCCTATTTACAGTGAAATGCGTTAGACTAACGTTTAAAAACAATAAAGGCAAGTACACAATGAGTGGATAATGTAACTCGACAGTCGACTGTAGTCAGCCGAAACAGCTGCAGCGTCTTACACGCATCACTGCCGACTCACAACATCGCGGCTCTAAGTAACGAATGCTTTGTGCATGCCGATAGATTACACAAATGGCTCAAGTCAAAGGTGACAGCGATCGGCGGACAAAGCAAGCAGCGTGAATGTTGTTTTAAATTATCAAGCTACGATTCGCAAATTAAATTAAGTATTAAAAGAATATGTTTCGCGTTTTGAACCGTCAAAAGTTTTCTATTACAACTGCTTGTAAATAAATTGAATTTATTTGTAATCTTGTATGCGAACACAAGGCCTCTCGCGCTTAATGCTCGAATGTAATCTATAAAATGAAGATTGGTTGTAAATAATTCGAGATACACATTCTATAAAATACTTACTATGATCTTAACTGCTGAATCCACCGGATCATAATTAAAAATAAATTAATTACTGATAAATATGTTGCGTGTTTTTAAGCGATAAATGTGATTTAATCTGCCAAATATGAAAGCGTTCTTTATGGTCGCCGTAAGATTTTTAAAAATAGAACTATCTTGAATATGTATTACTTTTTAATAAAGAACCATCTTGCTTCTATAACAACAGTATTTGCGGGTTATTTACGTAGCGTTTATAAAAGAGGTGAATCGCTTAGAGCTCACACTTTATACCGTGCCCTAGCGTTAAAAAAGGAGGAATCCTTTTCACCGATAGGTTACAGATTAGATCGCGTTGTGGCCAATTTGACGTGCGGTATCTTCCGCAAGCCACGCTTTTTGTACCTTATCGATTTATAAAGGCCGTACCTAAAGGGTGTGGGGGATTCCACTCGCATTATTCTCACAGTTCAACATAATCTAGAACACTGAGATACATTTAATTTGTAAATAAGTGCTGTTTGACACATAATTATATTATGGGTTCGATTTCCATCAGGTTATACACGTTAATAATGCAATAGGAAAAAAACAATATCGATTATTGCATTAACATTTTCAACGGTTTAAAACGCGAATTATATTGGTTAATTAATTTTAACTACGACTCGACGCTTCGCATGCTTGCAGCATCCGTGGTCACGGAGG